AATGAGGGATATGATGTGGGGACCTGTCCACATTGCCAAGCCTTCACAAAACAAACCCAGAAACACCAGACTGACAGCCTGAAGGCTGAACTTTCGAAGACTCAGATCACCTATTCTACCAGCAGTTCAGGACTAGAATGCCCCTTCACCTTGGCAACAAGTGAATTCCTGGTTGACTGACACGCAGGTTGTTCACCCGGCATGGCTAGGAAAGCACCGAAGTGCCCAAAAAAGATGACTTGCCACCAAAGAAAAAAGGGATGAGCCATGAGATCCCCCATTGATCCACAGTACCAAGGATCTTCTTGCCCTCATGCTCCAAATAGTCATGATCCCCAGCACCAAGGGATGACACAGCTTGTGTCACATCAACATCAGAGACCACTTCACCAGATCACCAATCTCTTCACCATCCCAGGCATCAGCATTGAGGTGCAGTCAATGCAATCTTAGGAGCCAACCCCACTACCTCCTGAGACCAGCTTGACATAAAGGCAATCCACCTGTACACTGCCAAGACCAATGTCATTGCCATTGGAGAATGATGTGGCACTGAGATAAGCAGTCCTAATCTTGCCAGCATAGGCATTGCAACCACAATTGGCAGCCGAAGGACACTGAGACAGACTCATTGAATGAGACTGTGGGCCTCCAACTGGTCACCACCACCATTTCACTCCCAAGAGAGATCCCAGAGCATTGCACAATAATGACAGGGGCTCTCAGGACCAGGATGACTCCATACCTTGGTACTGAGAACATCAGCACCAGTATGTCAACAACTTGCCATGGATACCAAGACAATATGCTTGACGCTGAGATATGAGGCCTTGGTACTGAGTGGACACTGGACCTTAGTACCAAGTTGACCCCAATCACTGGCCCCCTCGATGTCGAGACCCTGGAGATTGAGCACACCATCCTGCTCATAGAGCGTGGATGACTACATCTCATACTTGGAGTCTATTATTTTGAAGGCCCTGTCCATCTCGTTACCAGATGTGGCCATGGCATCATAAGACCCAGGGTTCCCCGGAAGTGAGGGGTTGCTTTTTGGAGCAGGTCCTCAGGATGGCTACTTCCCTTTGGCTAGAGTGGAACAGCAGCAAGATCTCTAGTCACTGATCCTGTATTTGACACCCTGAATACAGAGTACTCAGCACCAGTAGCTATACCATTCTTGCCCACCTTGCTGCAAACTGTTGGAACGTCTTGGAAGACTCCCTCTGCTGCATGAGCCAGGTCAAAAAGGCTGAAGACTACATACCAAGTTTTGGAAAAGGGTGTCTCATTGCTCTTCCAACATCCAAAACCCAATGCAGTAACAGTCAAGTGCAAGGGACCTCACAAAGAGACCACATGGCACTGGTGATCTGTGCCATGACCATCTGCCAACATGCCTGGCTTCACTCTGTCAGACTCCCACATGAGACTTGATCCCCATTGAGGACCTCCACTTTGATGGGGAGGGCCTCTTCAGTACAGAAACAGATGAACAGATGGACTCTTTACAGAAAGCCAGGTCAACAAGTGCACAGTCTTCCAGCAGCCAGGCTATATAAGTGGTTTGAGGCCCCAAAAACGGGGGATGGCCTATGCTGAATGACCACTAGGCTTCAACCAATCACCCAACACAAGAAGTCCGACCCCAGTGTCCCCTTTAGGCAGGCAGGCATGTGCCCAGAAGGGGAAAAGTGCCACTGCTGAACAGCACCCCCTTCCCCTTCCTTCTGCCCTGCTTTTGATAGAAGCCTCGCCCAGTTCCTCCCCTCATGAGAAACAATAACATTCAACTCTTGGGTCCTATCCATTGTAGAAAGAGGCTATCAGATTGAGATCAACACCCTCCCACCCCTCGATACCATAAGCAGTATCTTAAGTGCTGCTGTTAGAGGTTGACAAGCTACTCTCCAAGGAAGCCATAGAGATAATCCTTTCCAATCTCATGAGAGGCTTCTACTCTTGGTACTTCATGGTACTGAAGTGAGACAGGGGACTCAGAGCAATCCTAAACCTCAGAGGTATTGACCAGGTTATCAGACAGAGGAAGTTCTGGATGGTCACTCTGCAGAGCATCCTCCCTCTACTGTAGCAAGGGAACTGGTTTGCCTCTATTGATCTGAAAGATGCTTACTTCCACATCACCATAGACCACTATAGACCTCCAAATTGGGGATGAGTTGTTCCAATTCTCAGTCCTCCCATTTTGCTTCTCAGCCTTTCCCAGGGTTTTCACCAAATACATCATGGTGGTCTGCATGCACCTTTACCTCCAAGGAGTACAGCTCTTTCCATACCTCAGTGACTGGTTCCTGGTTGCACCATCCAAGTGAGATTTGCAGCACTCTGTCCACACGATCTGCACTCTACTGCAGACCCTGGGAGTGTGCATAATCATGAGAAATCTGTTCTTTCTCTCTCAATCCATTCTCTTTGTAGGGACCCACCTTAGCTCACTCTTGGCAAAAGCTCTCCTCTCAGTGTCCACTAAATGAGATGGCTGCTGATCTCAGAACATGACTTGCCACCATGGCTCTCTGGATACAAAAGCTTCTCAGCCTCATGGCCATGATAGTACAAGTGGTCTTTGCAAGGCTTTGGATGAGACCCCTGCAACTATAATTTGTCTACACCTACCATGTGCCAAATGAACCACACAAGCACATCCTTGGACATTCTTCCATCCATCCAGAATAGCCTCTGATGTTGGCCCATGCTTTAGAACATGGTAAAAGAAAACAGCTTTCCTCTCTGCAGAGGCAACAGTCCACACAGACTAATTCAGGCTGGGGAGCACACTGAAGCAACCTGCAAACACAAGGGACTTGGGACCACCATGAAGCTACAGGCACATCAACTTCCTAGAGATGCTAGCTGTCCATAAGGCCCTGATTATCTTCCTCTCCTTTCTGTGGAAGACAATGTGGTTCCGTGTGGTTCTTTTGTACAGACAACAAAACCATGGTGTTTTATATCAACAAGCAGCATATACTGACAAAACTGGCCATCAGAATTTGGGAATGGTGGATTGACAGGAACATAACCATCACAGCCATCCACATGCCAGGCAGGAGCAACACCCTAGCAGATACCCACAGTTGCATGAGCCTTGACACATGCAAATGGCAGCTGAATGCAGCGATTCTCCATGATCTCTTCAACACAAAGGGCACATCCTCAGTAGATCTGTTTGCCACAGAAGATAACACAACATGCCTGAATTTCTGCTCCCAGGCAGGACTTTCTCCTCCAGTGGCAGGGAACACTTTTTCACATCCCCCCACCCCCATTTCCTTCTGATCACAAAGGTGCTCACAAAGATTAGGAGAGACAGGATGGACTGCATCCTCATCACCCCATAGTGAACAAGGCCACTATGGTTTGCCTAATTCCTGCTGCAGTCCTAGGAGTCCAACTGCTGCACACCTAGGACCTGATCTCAGAAGACCAAAGCCAAGTTCACCATCCTGACATTAGGATCCGACATAGCATCAGGACACTCACAGCATGACGAATCATGCCATGGAACCCATGGCACAGACACTGTTCCAGGAAGTCAGGTCCATCCTCAATGCAGCACTCAAGCCACCCATGAGGTGGTCATACCAGGTGAAATGGAATGCCTTCACATGCCAGGGGAACCTTGCTCCACAGCATGCCACTATTGAGCACATCCATTTCTTGCAGCTTCTTTTCCATGAAGGGCTAAAAAACCCCTTCTCCACCAGCATATATCTAGCATTTCCTCCTTCCACCCACCAATTGAAGGAGCCTCAGTCTTCAGCCTCCCCCATTACCACTTCATGCGTGGCCTCCAGAACCTTGTCCCACCATCTGAGCCTGCATACTGTCTTGAAGCCTCTCAGTTGTATTACAGGCCCTTTCCAAAAAGCCTTTCAAGCCACTGGCCATGGCAGACCTCACCTTTTGTCACCTTCCTAGTGGCTATAATGTCAGCCAGACACACCACTGAACTGTGTGCCTTTGAGAAAATCTCCATACCTCAGCTTTCACAGAGACAGGGCCTTGCTCCAACCAGATCCAGCCTTTCTTCCCAAAGTTGTGTCATCCTTCCATCTCAACTAGGACATCATTCTTCCTGCCTTCTTCATTGTTACTGCCAATTGGATGGAATCCATGCCCCACTTGTTAGACATCCAAAGGACTCTTGCTTTCAGTCACTCCAGAACAGAATCATTCTGCTGCTCACCAAGACTCTTCCTCTGCTATAATGAACATAATAAAAAGGACCCACTTTCCACTCAGATGTTGGCAAATAGGGTCATGGGTACTATTTCTGTGGCATATGAAATAACCAGCCTTCAACTCATCACCTCCCCAAGGGCTCATTCTGCTCAAGCACTAGCTTAATCCATGGTCCCCCTCACAGGGATCTCCTGCAAGACTGCAAGAAGTCTGCAGGGCTGCTGCATGGTCCATGCCTTCCACATTCATCAAGCACTACAGGGTGGACTTCCGTGCAAAGACCAACTGCTTTTTGGCAGAGCAGTCCTTGCCTCCATCCTCCAGTGACATCACCATCCCACCATCTTTCCTCAGGTAAGCTTATTAGTCACCCACATGTGTAGTGCACAGAGACCATGAAGAAGAAAGGCAGTTGCTTATCTGTAACTGTCATTCTTCAAGTGATCACCTGTGCATTCACACAATCTGCCCTCTGGTGTTGTCATTCTGATGAACACAATGGGCCAAAGCGGGTCTGTGATCACTTCTTCCTCGGTTCTGGGATCTGTGGCAGTCTCAACAGAACTGAGGGCGATGGGTGTCAGCCTCTCCCACACTTCCTAGAATAGGAAGGGGAGGGGCTCCCAACCAATCAAATGCTTAGCTATAGAAGCTTCCCAAGGCTCTGCACAACACCCATATGTGTGAATGCACAGATGATCACTGGAAGAACAACTATCACAGGTAAGCAACCTGCCTTTTCATTGATGAAATTCAGACATGGTCAATGTTAATTCCCTTTTTCTTTAATTCAGAACTGTTTAATAAAACATGATGAGAATGGATATTCTGCTATAGTGGGTGACTTTGGCTTGGCAGAGAAAATTCCTGATTATAGGTAAGTGTCCTTCACAGAGCTAATCAAAATGAAGGATCAGTAGTGTTACAATTCTAAGCTAAATACTCACAAGGCATCAGCTTAGAGGAAGAAACCTCCCAATCAATTCCATTGATTATATTCTGATTATGTTATTTGTGGTATCTGTGCATCACACACATGAGCTCTGTTTCTGTGTGGAGCCTGTTGTCAGGAAGATTTAATAGCTAAGAGCATTTTGGCAGGAACCCCTCACTGACCTGGTGTCTGTTATAGAGAGAGTTTCTTTCCTTTCCCTCTGTTCTTTCACTACCTTCAGTGCCTTGGGGAGTTCTCCTCTCCTCTGTGAGCTACTTGAGCATTTTTTTCTTCCTCTTCATCAAAATATTATGTGGCTTCTTTTCTATAAATCTTGTTTTTTCTTCCCTTTTTGCATAGTTTCATTTCTCCCTTTCAAACTGCTAAGCAGTTTTTCCCCTGCCTTCCAACAAATGAACCATCTTCATTATCCTACTTTCTTCTCCCAATCTATATGTTTCCCGTTCACCTGGATGTCAGCACTCACTGCCTGATGGTATGGAGGATCTATCCCTAGGGCATACCTGCTTGCTGAACTGAGGAATATCCTGGATGTAGCCTTGGAACTGTCCACCAGGAAATCGTGCATTGCAAAGGAGAGAGCCTTCTCTCCCTTTCCAGCCACCGAGGATTTTGACCCATATTGGTGCACAGTTGAACAAGTTCTTTTCTACCTTGTTCCAGCATGGTCTGAAGACTTTGTTCATCTGTGCTTACATGGCAGCAGTTTCCTCCTTCCACAGCATGATCCAGGGGTGATCCATTTTCTTGCACCTTTTGAGTAAGTGATTTCCACATGGACTCAAAAAAATTGCCTCACTTATTCAAATACTAGAACCAGCGTGGAGTTTGTCAGTTGTCATACAGCTTTTGACAAGAAAATCTTTTGAACCCATGGCTAACTGTTGACCTCTGTTATCTTGGAAGATGACCTTCCTGGTGACCATCAATCTGCTTGTCAGTCCATTGTGCCCTACAGCTTGATCCTCCATACCTTGTGTTACACTGAGACAAGGTGGAGTTGCATCAGAGCTGTCCTTCCTTTCTTCATTTCATTTAAAGCAGGACATTGTTTTACCAGCCTGTTTTGCATCCTTGTCCAATAAAGTCTACGCTGCAAACTTTGGACATGTGTTGAGTGCTGGTGTTCTACCAGTCTGGGACTGAATCCTTCCATCAGATACTGAAACTTGCAGCTTGGGCGGTATATCCTTGGCTTATGAATGGTCAGGACTGCAACTCGTGCTTTGACTAAAAACCCATTTGATAGGAATGATGTGACATCAGCTGCTCTGCACAATGGGATTCCCTTATTGGACCCTCTGCAAAGCAGTGGCATGGTCAACTCCATGAACCTTTGTGAAGCATTATAGACTTAATATTCATGCCAGAGCAGTCTGCATTTGGGAGTGCAGTTCTCTCGTCAGTACTAAAATAATGACAGCATCTCACCATCCAAGATTAGGTAAACTTGCTAGCTGCCCATCTGTATGATGCACAGAGACCATGAAGAAGGAAGGAAGGTTGCTTATCTGTAACTGTCTTTCTTTGAATGGTCATCTGTGCATTTATACAACCCACCCACTGGCCTACTGAGTGCCATATCTTGTTTAAATCTATCTGCTTTAGGACTGCACTGAATTAGACAAGTTCAAGATCAGTCCTGTTAGTCCTCCCTCAGTGTTGATGCTGCCTGGGCAGTCTCATGTGAACTAAGGGAAAGGGTGGGAACTCCTCACTATATAATGGGCACCAGGGGAGAGGCGGAGTTCCCGCCAAAACACTGTAAGCTATAATCTTCCTGACAACAGGCTCTCTGCAGGCAGAGAGCCCATGTGTGCAATACACAGATGACCACTCAAAGAATGAGAATCACAGATAAGGAGCCAGTCTTTATATCCTTTCACCTCTAGCTAAACTGCCAAGCTCCCTGTCCCTTCAGGTTTTGTTTCTTTTCACCCCTGAATTGATGGTAAGCTGCAAAGCACCAGCCACCAGAATAATGCTTATTTCCAAGAATGCTCCAGGCCCCAGAAGAGGTATCAGGATGGTAAAAATGATGGGAGGCTGCAGCAAAATGCTTCATTCTGAAGCATGCTTAACTTTCCAGAAAAAGGCTAATCTGGGCGATAGTAAGTGGTAGATGGAGAGCAAGAAAATATTTTGCTGTATATATGTGCCAAAAAGACAGACCCCTGACACAACTGGAGCCTACTTCATTAGACACATAATGTGTTATCCTCAGCTAGTGCTGCCCAACCTCACTCAAGCTCCCTTTCTTTTTCTTTTGTAGAAGGTAAAAAACATTAGGGATTAAACAGCAAAAATCCAAACGTTCAGCAAATTGAACAAAGTTTAAAACAATAACTGTTCACAGGTTGCTTAGAAATATTGAAAAAACTGTGTTAACACCTATAGCAGGACAAAAAGCCATTGGCTCTTTTGGAGTCCAAACAGAATAAATCTTTGTTATTCTAATTTTGTTATTTCATGCTGGAGTCTTTGCAGTTTCCTCCTTTGGAGAATGCTAACTTTCATGTCAGTATTAAACTATTCTGCAAAACAGAATAGGACAGAAGAACATAATCATGCCATACTTCTTCTCAGATCTGTCTTCCTTTGTCCTTTTAATCTCATGGTTCATATCCCCCTCCCCATATACCCACCTATGTTTGTAATATCTGTATATGTATAAATGTTAAACCCAGAGAGCCATTTTGGGTGTATGGACATTACAACAAAAAAATAACCAATTTCAATTTCATTCATCTGCTGAAGTGGACTCTAGTCCATAAAGGCTTATGTCATGATAAGTGGCTCACTTCTTAGGATGCTTGTGATTTTGCTGTGTGTGTGTTGGGGGGGGGGGGGGGGGTTGCAGTTAAGATGACCATCTGTTTAGAAATTGTTAACATGAATTTGCTTAGTGGCCAGTTACAGTGAACTTCTAAAAAGAGAAGTACTTGTGCCTTCTGCCATCCTTTTACCTTGCAGCACTTTCCAGTCCTCTGTGTTTAGGGGCAGGGTTCATCTTCTCAGTGGTGAGGGAATGTGCTTTTCACCTGTTCAAATTTACCTGTCTTCATATAATCCAGAATTGAATTCTGGTACTGAAAACAGATCCTGGAAAGGCTGGTGGATTCTGAAGTGTTAACCATAGAAAATGCAAGTAAAGCAAGTTCAGTCAGATATCACCATTTTGTTCTTCACCTAGACATTTTTCTCACTGCCCTCCTGATTTTTCTATTAAAATTGTTATTTCATTATTACTTGACTATATTACGTAAAGTAGTATGAGCACTAATTGTTGGAGTGCTATAAATTAAATAATTAGTCTTCCAATGACACTTTGGATTTTGAAGATGTTCTACAAACAAATGCAAACCATTATTGTCCTAATGTGATTTTTATGTACATAAAATATTAAAAGCAATTCATTGGATATTGATCCATTAATAGACTGAACTGGAAAAGCTTTGGCCGTAGCTGAAACAAAATGGAAATTTAAATATAACGTATTTGACTTTGCTGCCATATAATCTCCAAATATGAGTTAAACCATTGTTAATGTCAATACTGTATCAAATGAAATATTTTCATTTGCAGGAATCCTCCTATCATGCTTCCTAGAAGGAATGCCTTTCAGCATTATGTAGAAAGAAACTTGTAAAATACTGCCAAAATTGTTCTGAGGTACTTTGCTTGGGGTTCGACAGTGTCACTCCCAAGCTAAAAGTTTAGCAAAATGTTTATGAAATGCTACTACTAACCATTGCCCCCTTTTGATATATAAAGTGAGAAACTGCCAGTGGTGGGATCTCCTTATTGGATGGCACCTGAAGTGCTTAGAGATGAGCCATATAATGAAAAGGTTAGTATGCTTCTATAACTTCATAACTGCCCTGACATGAAGTTAATCAAACTGTTGACCTATGTGACTTTCACTTAGAAAATCTAAACCACATTTTAAAGTATAGCTTACAAGAGACCATAGCTAAATTGAAATTACAGCCATTTTGATTTTGCCAAATAGAGTAAATATCCATGCTTTGATTTGCTTATCTTTCTGTCCATGCACACATGGCACAAAAAGCATGAACTGTTCTGATTTTCAATCCTGATTTATAGAGAAATTGCAGTTTCTGTGGGAGATTCGGGCCTAATATTCTAAAAAGTCCTTCTTTTGTAATGCTAGAGTAGCTGGAGGTGCTTATTACTCATTGCAGCTCAAATAAATGATGGTGGTTTGGACCAGGTTTGTACCATCTGAAGCAAATTTAGATTCATATTACTTTATTAGAGCTGTGTTCAGTCTAATTTCATTCAATGCTCCAGTGATCACAGCTTTTTTCCTAATTCTATGCAGTATATTCATTATATGACCTATGAAATATGCATAAATATGTATGTGTAACACCTTCTAAGTGCTGTAAATGGCTCTCTGGCACATTGGCTCTTTATCAGACAAAGGTTACAAATGAACTTTCTCAATTTCACTGTATGAAAGACATTTTCCTTCTACAGCAGTATCCTATGTATACTTTTCATCTATTGTCAAGCAATTAAACATATCTGGTGGCAGAAATTTATCTCTCATAAATTTCTCATAATTCTCTCATTCTCTTAGGAGTTCTCTCATAATTAATAATGCAATATTTCTTGACTTCTCAAGGATGCATAGTGGAATACATATGGATTAGTCATATTCTGCTGTACATGTATTGAATGTAGACTCCAGTCCATGGATGCTTATGATAAAGCTGTTAGTCTTTAAGGAACTGTAACACTTAATGGGAGGTTTGCACACTATGGACTGGGGTTGTATTTGTTCAACCAAGAACTTTGGCAACTATTGGAAAGAAAGAATTTTGAATTCCAGAGCAAATGTGACAAAGGAAGGGCTCTTTTATGATATAAAGCAGCCAATGAATGCCTATAAATAAAACTGGTCATCTTTTCTTTCTCCAGGCAGATGTGTTTTCCTATGGGATCATTCTTTGTGAGATCATAGCTAGGATCCAGGCAGATCCAGACTATCTCCCTCGAACAGAGGTGAGCAAATGAGTGGCAAGGGATGAATGAATGTTCAGGAATTTCATTCAGTCATGAATGATTTCTACACAATTTCTAACCACTGCTAGAAGGATGCTAATAAAGTGTTCATCCTCAAATACAGTTGTGTGCAGGGTGTGGCACAGAACTCTCTTTTTCACCTCCACATTTAAAATTATACTTTACAGGTGAGTGGTATATGTGTAATTTGTCAAGAGCTTCTGTATTAACTGCTAGTTATTAAGCAGGTTATTAGTACAACCTTGCCCAGTGAAAGAGACAGTCTGAAAAAGAATTCTCTTCCAGATTAGGGTTAAGTTTTGACATTGGTCAAGTACTACATTTCTACCTTTTCACAGGCAAGTAGGATGAATGTGCAATGGTCACATTTATCCAGAAATAATTCTTTTTCTGTTTGCTGCACACCTATTATCTGAACTTAGAAATCACAGGTCAATTCCCCCCACATTACTTCTTAAAAGTAATAGCTTGACTTGAGATTAAGTAGACCACATTTGAGAAATTCCTGAGTTTTAGAAACCTGGAAAGTTAAGTGATAAACGAACCATTTCTTAATAGTAGAGCACTGCATAGAGAAACCCCCAGGTTCAATGCCCAACATCTTCAATTAAAGTTAAAAGGATTAGGTAGCAGATGGTGTGGAAGACATCTGCTCAAGATCTTGAGAGCTGCTGCCAGTTAAAGAAGACAATATTTGGCGAAATAGACAAAATCTGAGCTGATACAAGGCTGTATCCTGTGAAATAACTTTGATAATATATCCACTCCTTCTGGTAGTTAGGAGAAAGAGATGTTCTTAACTTGGAGAGATCAAGAGGTCATCTTTAAGGTAACTGGGAATTTCATAAGTGGTACATAACAAAGTAAGTAGTACAATTATGTTCATAAGCAGATTTTGATCGAAGTCAAGAGCTGCTTATTTTCTCACCAATTGGGTATGCCAATTCCTTCCCCATTCTGAGCAGATGATGGCCAATACTGGGCAGTTAAGAAAGTCTGATTCACTTCATTCTACACTTTCTGGTATAATTAGGCACAGCTGTAAAATCCCTGACTTGGAGATCAAGGCCAATGTCATCCACACTATTGTAGTCTTGATCATTATGTAAGGGTGTGAAAGCTGGACAGTGAAGAAAGTTGACAAGAAGAAAATTGAAGATTTGAAACATGAAATTGGAGTAGAGTTTTGACAAACCCTGAGCAAACAGTTGGTCCTAGAGCAAATCAAGCCATAACCTCCCTGGAAGCAAAAATGATGAAACTGAGGCTGTTATATTTTGGGCACATTATGAAAAAGCACAACTCACAAGATAAGGCAATAATGGTAGGAAAAGTTGAAGGCAGAAGTAGAAAAAGAAGACCAATTATGAGGTAGGTGAATACAGTAGAGGAAACCAGAGTCTTCAGTTTACAAGAGCAAGAGAAGGCTGAAAGGCAGGACATTTTGGAGGGCACTCATTTATAAGGTCTCCATAAGTTGGAGAGGATTTGCTGGCATATAACAACCAGTTCTAAAATGTTAGACTTCAGAGAAGCAAATCTTCTAATTTCCTAGTGTTGCACTAAAATTATAGCACTTTGAGAACTTTCACACTTTTGTACTAGAACTTCAAAAGGATAAGAGAACTGTTTGAACCACTTCAGAGTTGTTTATACTGTAAACAGTTGCTGTTTCCAAAATGAGTGTCCTAGCAGGGACACAAAGAGCAACTTTGTTCCTCTCTGCTGTTGTCAGAATAAGTATTGAATAAATGCAGAAGCATCACGGCTTCCTCCTTCCCTTCCCCACCAGCTGAGGGCAATATGAGGGAAGCATTTAGAGTAGATAGGGGCATGATTCTCTTAGAATCCTTTAAGCTGCTTTTAATGGTACAGGGGCTTGTGCAAAGTTATATTGACAAAATCTAATATACTTTCCAGCTTATATCAGGCATCAGCTTGGGACAGTATGTTTCAGTACTTCAGCCATCACAGCTTAAATCAGTCTTTGGGATCAGGCCACTTTACATGCAGGCACACAATTTATGGTCAGGTACTAAAAAGAAGGCAGGAGCAAGGTTATTTTGTGTTAAAGCACATGAAGGACGGCTCTGAGAATGCACCAAGACTAATGAATCACATAACACTCAGCATCACATAATTAACAGTAGGCTGTTTTGGAAAAAGTGATGGGTCAGGCATTTTCTGCCCAGACAAAAGATGTACAGAAATAGAACTAAGAAGAAAAGCTGGGGGAAAAAATCTCAATTTCTCCTTGTCACTTCCTATATAAACCTTAGGAAGCTTGCCTTGGAGAACTACGGACATAACATGTGTGTCACCATATTGTTAGTATGGATCTACACATACAATTCAGTATATTGCTAATATAGAAATTACCTTCCCTAATTACTTTTCATGTTTTGCCTCTTAACTGTCTTCGTAATTTCTCCACTCCCTTGCCAACTACTTTTTCCGTGTGTGTTAATAGTCCACATCTCACATTTTTCCTGCTGCAGAATTTTGGATTGGATTATGATGCCTTTCAGCACATGGTAGGAGACTGTCCCCCTAGTTTCCTTCAGCTGGCCTTCAACTGCTGCAATGTGAGTATTTAAAAGAACAGAATGAGGTTAAACAGTGGCCAGTTAAAAGCTTTTGAAGGCTAAACCTTTCTGTAAGATAGCGTCAGATATCTGAAACTGAGTGTAAAAGGATATAAATAGTTATTGTTCTTTGTTATCTCTGTACATCACACATGTCAGCATTGCCATGCAGCACAAAGCCTGGATTGGAGAGAAACTTCATGGAATAGGTGGAAACCTCTATTCCATTCTCCCAGCCTACTGAGCCTATGGCCGACCCTATTTTCGGAACCCTGACCTCAGACCACTCTGCTCTTGTCCCCATTCTCTTTTCTCCAGCCCTGCTACACATTGCACAGCAGTCTTGTAAATCCTCTGAAACAGGGCTTACCACCTTGCATCACATTGTCTCCAAGACAACTGAGGAAGTGGCCAGGAGCCCCCCCACCCACCTTATCTAAGGCGCCTTCTTATCCACTCCCTGAATCCATGACATTTAGCTTTGGAAGTTTCTTTCTAATCCAGGCTTTGCACTGTGCAGTAATGCCCACAGGTGTGAAAGCACAGGTGACCACTCGAATGACAGTTACAGGTAAGCAACCTGCCTTTATTCCTCATCTTTACACTGATTTAAACATATGGCTCTTGAAATGAATGATAGATCATCTTTCCTTCACAAAGTCAGTTAAAAATGTTCCTGTAGCTAAACGCGTATGATAAATAGTGCTTGTATAGCCTGATCTGTAAAATACCAGGAAAAACTTGCCTTTTTGTAACAGCAGATTTTGCTGACTGACTGCAACTTGACACTTATTTTTCTGTTTTTAGATGGATCCAAAGTTACGCCCTTCATTTCCTGACATTGTCAAGACACTGGAGGAGATTCTAGGTAATCTGAAAAGTGAGGAGGAAGGGAGAGAAAGAAAGCTTCAAAATATAGACAGTGCAGATAGAAAACCCATTTCTGTTTCCAAAGGTAAGGATGAAGGGGGACAGGCACCAAATATTCTGAACACTAAGGAAAATACATATTGTATTATAATAGGTGGTTCATTTCTTTGATTTTTTAAAGGAGAATGTAAACCAAACTTCCCATTTATATTATGAGACATCGTCTCAATCAGCATTACAGCAAAATCCAATTGAAATATAATTATCTAGTTAGCATATTAGAAGCATAATCAAGTCTATGCAAGTTTAGACAGAAAGCAACTTATACTTCCAGCATGCTTGCATTTTAAACATGTTTAAACTTGTATTGGATTGCATCTTGAGAGATTTATAGGGAAGACAGACATGAATTAAATTTGGAAATACTAAGAACTCTTCACTGTCTATTCAGATTGTTTCTAGTAGTCAGGGAATGGTTCCCAACTTTTACAATACTAATTTTACGTCTTCTCTGTTTGATCTAATGTAGTCCACAAACATATTTGTAGCATGCATACTTTTGTAAATGTGAGGATTTGACTATTTTTGGAGCTAACTTGAAAGAATCAAGTTAGATTTGCTTGTTCATCTTTTAACACAACTACTAATATAGTGAAAGGATTGGTTATCTGGAAATAATGCACATTTCTTTTATAACCCATCCAAAAATTTAAGTGCAAAGCAGTCCCACCATACCTCTGTGGACCTCTAAGTCACAACCTCTTTTGTCATAAGTAATTTCCATTATATTAGATGATAAGTGTTACCAAATACATTTCCTTTCTCCCAAAGAAATCTTATTAGCAATTCTGTATTGGGTACCTCGTGCCACTTCCACATACATGACTTAATTTCCAGAAACTAATTTCATTTAATTGCCTTCTACTAAATAGTAATTTAAACTCATCCACAGGTCTTAAGTAATTTAGATTATTTAATATATCATATTAGGTCCTTTGTACATATTGGATAAAGCAAGATTACTTTTTCAAATCATTGTTTGAAAAATGATTTCAATTGTAGAATTGTTCATCTGGAAGAAAACAAATACAGGAACTCTTTTTCCTCATAACAGTAATCTTCCAAAGCCCCTAGCTTTTTCTCACTGTCCTGAGTCTTCAGTAGTCAGGAAAGTGACACTCATGAGACTGCCCCCTTTTGGCAAGTGCTTCTTTTGAAAGCTTTTATGGTCTCTTCTTTTTAAAACTTTGGTAAATCTTCATATTTATTTTTTGACAAGTATAGGCGATTCATTGCTGCATATTTTATTGTAAAAAAAAAAAAAAAAGCAACAACTGCAGAGATTTGCCAGAGAGGGGGAAAAATCTCAGTGGGCACAAAAGGACTTAAAATTAGGGGGAAGATACAAGGAGCTTTTGCCATAAATTACCCTGGGATACCTGCTGGAGGACAGAGGTGAGGAGAGCTTGGTCATCTGTCTGCCATACATTTGGTTATTCACAGGGTGGCTTATCATGACATGTAAGCTTAACCATTGTGTCATTAAGGTTCATCTTGACCAGTAGGCTGAAATGATTTTTTGCCCATGTCTTAATCCTAATGTGATCAGGGGAGATGCCTTTTTTGAACAAACTAGTGACTAGTATCCTTTCAGAGGCATGCATTTTTAAGTATCTTAGACTATGAAAGTGGATATGAACACTTCTCATAAGCATTTCTTGTTTCCACTTTTGGAGTTTTAAGGCACAATCCTATGCATATCTAAACAGAAACAAGTCTTGTGACTTCCAGAATCCACCAGTCATGCTGCAGGACTCATTTCTGTCTAAACATGCATAGGATTGAAGGCTTAATATCGAAGACTCCTGGTGTCTGCTGGTGTCCTTAAAACAGATTTAAAGATCTTCATCCCCCATTAATCCTTTCTTTGATAGCTTTGGAAATCTGAGATTTAACTGGTTGCTATTGCAAACTTTTCCTGTGGAAAATTTCAGATCAACTTGATTTTTTGCAGATCAAAAGAAAAATTACTCCAAAGTTGTTGTTGTTGTTGTTTTATTTGTGCAAGTGGCGCAAACTCAGGCACTGGATACTTTTTTTTGTAAAGCATCACAGCGCCACCCGGTGTGCTTAGGGAAATTAGGGTAGAATGTCAGATATCAATTCTAACTTTTTAGAGGAAGGTATTTTGGCTAGATGCCTACTTTCCATTTAACCTTAATATTTGCAGTTTCTCTGTTTTGTGATGCTTTATTTAAATGTATTTAACAGATTCCCCCCCAAAGCCCAAGTGCTGTGTATCCTAGTTTCTACATTGGACAATATGCTGATTCAAGGCTGATGTGGAGTATAACCCCTTCACTTCCAGAGGGAAGTATTACCATTTGCCTTCACCTTTCACGGCAAAGGGGGTGTCTTTGCTGTAGGGAAGCCTCACTTTTTTGAAGACATCGGCCTTTAGTAGCACAGATTTGTACTATAGCCGTATTGGTGAGTGTTCTACTAGTACACAAGGCATATAAAGAGATCAGAAGAATGTATCACCTGTCATATTTGAAATGTTTACCTTGATGAATTTGAGGTGGAAAAGATTTGTAGAAGACAATAAGGACAGAATGTAACTATTGTCATCAACTGCATTCTTTATTAATGGCCTGTGAATAGTGAAACCCAGGACAGGGAAATACTGAATCGCCTTAGATAAAAGATTTGGAGTGAGCATGAGGAACTAGAGTCCATACTGGAAGACTTGAAACTCTGCATTATTTATTTGTAGCAGTATTCTATAATAGACCTTTGCTTCCTATATATTTTGAGGGGGGAAGTCCTCTTCAGATGAAAAGGGGAGCACTTCTTCTCCTGGACAATTCCTTATGTGCATTCACATGTTTCCCAAGTGTATGTTCATGTATAGCACTTACAAAATTTCACACATCTATTGGTGATTTTTTTCCTTGTACCTGTATGATTCCTGCCCTCTTACTACCACCATCCTTGGATTTCAATCTGATTCTGTTTTTAAATCTCTCCTTGTTTAGGGTTACTAGAGAGAGGACAAGGAGTCAAAAGGTTAAGTTCATTGGATGACAAGATTCCACCTAAGTCACCCCGTCCACGACGTAACATCTGGCTGTCACGCAGTCAGTCAGACATCTTCTCTCGTAAGCCTTGCTACAAGATTAATGTTCAGGATCCTTACTACACACCAAGCAAAGGGGCAAACCGGAAAATCAATCCCTTCAATTCTAGAGAGGACTTGAAAGGGGGAAAGGTCAAATTTTTTGATATGCCAAGCAAATCTGTGATATCACTTGTATTTGACTTGCACTCTCCAGAGGCAGGAGGTTGTTTGAAAATGAGCCAGCCCCAAATCAGGCATACTTATGGCACTGACTGGCAGGAATCTCTTGCCCTTCTTGGAAGACGGAGCAGATCACTTCCAGTCTCGCCTGAATTTGTGCATAAAGATTATAGTACATTTGGGGATCTCTCATCAACAATCAGTAGGTGTGATCCCTGCCAGCTGGGGGCTGAGGTACGCCAGAAGCTATTGAGCAGCAATAAGTATGGTGTGTCTGAGATCCCTCCTTTTCAGGCCAAACACAATAGACAGGGGTCTCCTCCTTCTTTGCCAGAGGAGGAGATGGACTGTTCTGATGGGTTGGAGCCCCAAGATGAAAATGGGTTCTATCCTGTAAAAAGTTCCACTGAAGAAACAGAACTTGGAAAGCCTGTGGGACAGGCTCTGCAAGAAGCCCAGAATGTGGATGGTGTCTTGTTAAAGAAATTAGACTGCACAGAAGGCAAACCTTCAGAGATGTTCATGAGTTGCATGGCCACTGAAGATATGGAGGTGGAAGATGAAACTCAAAGGAACATCCCTTCTACTGGGTTGGAGTCTTCCAAACTGTTGTTCAGTGTTAATCCTTCTTCACAGCCACATGGAGAAGCTTCTCTTTTTGAAGTACAGATCAGTGACACCTCAAATACTGTTTCTCTGCCATCTTCCAGTACACCAGCATCAGTCAGTGAACAGTCAAAATGTGACATTTAAACTCCAGCCATGATACCATGGTGGGAAAACTCCTTCTTTAGTTTTAGTTTTCTTCATCAGCATGCTCTAGGGAAATACAGCAATGCAACCAGCCCATTTGGAGGTACTGCATAGATGAAAGTGTATATAAAATAATCTGCCAGCATAAGGGGAGAACAAAATCCCCATGGGATGCCTGGGTCAATGTCAGTACTGGGCCAGAGTTCTAGTGTTGTTGAGATCACAGGCATGCCTCAGCTTAGAAGCCATCTCTCTCTTTGCACACATCTATGCTTTAAGTTCTGTCACAGGAATTATTTCATGTTTGGTAATGGGTTTAAATTTTAAACTATAACTTCAACTTCTTTCCTCTTGTTAGCAGTTGCTGAACATGTATAAATGGCTTTATATGTGAGTTGAAGAGATTTGAATTTGGCAGTGGCATGGCACCTTAGATCAGTGGTGGGAGACCAGTGACCCTTTATACATTGCTGAATTCCAGCTCTCATCATTCCTCATTGGCCATAATGGCTGGAGTCAATAGTTTCCCACCTTTTTCTAGACAGACAGGAAGAAGGTAGATTCCTGATTTTCTAAAACACTGAAGTTTGAAGAGCTGTTTTGAAATGCAGAGTTTTCTTGTATCTATTGAACATGGTCCAACTTAAGAGTAATAGCCAAATTTCTTACCTTTGCAAACAGGTTTCAAATACTGGATGTGAACAACTCAGATTCATACCTTAAATCATTCCTTGTCATATTACCACTTTGCTCACACAACTCTGACCAAAGAGTCCTAATTCCCTTCATCAGTAGTATTAATTTTACCACCAAATGCCCATTCAGTAAATCTGTGTTTTCTACAAAAAGGATAAACTCTGTATTTGTAGCTCTTCAAAATCCCCATTCCTTCTATGGTGCAGAAGGAAAGAAACACATGACCATGCAAATGTTCAGCATAGGAGATATGATAAGCTAACTCTCTCCTCAGCACTGTGGTCTAAATTTTAGTTTTGTGGGTCAGTCACACTCTGAGGAAATATGTGTTCATATGAAAACTTGGGTGTATATTTACATTTGTGTACCTCACTGGAGAGTCTCCAAATGGAAGGAATTTCTTTGCTTGCTATACCCTAGCTGCAGAAATAGTATTTTTAGTTAGTACTAGCCTCTCTGTGAATATTCAGACCAGCACTGAGTGCTCAACCATCAAGAAAGGTTAGTATGGACTAGGTAAAATGGATTGGAGCAACTTGACTTGCCTCTAATCCCTTATTTTAATACATTAGTGAGAAATCCCCTGTGGGGAGCTAATAAAAAGCAGTGCTGTCTTCTGATGTGTGTAAGTTGCCTCTTCTATTTCCTCAAATGAACTATACAGTGGTTGAGAACTCATAAAGTATCGAGCAATAACTTGAGGATCAAAAAGATGTAGAAATCTTGGAGCAGATAACCTCCTACCTAAGAGAAACTTGTTGGAAAAAATGATTTACTATCTATTTAAGTAGGAGTCCTTGACACCTACACATTCCTTCCAGAGACCTTGTCTGTACAGCAAGAACAATAGTTATCCTCACAATCATCCATTAATATAGATTTCTAAAGTGGCACCATATTCTGTTTCCTCCAATTTGTTACATCTTTCAAAGTCAGCCAAGAAGAATCCCCCTAATTTTGTTATATACATGCATTAAAAAAACAACAACAAAAAACAAATACGCCTGAATTACCAGCAAGTATTTGATGCATATTTTGAATCTGGTATCATCTTCCCCACTCAGGCAGAGGACTTTACTTTTAATTGGTACACGGATGGTGAGAGAATTGAACACTTGAATCTGCGTCAGAAGCTATAGAAGGGAGACCACACCTCTGCCCACTCTAGTCCTTGGCTTTTTGTGTGGACTTAATAACACTGTAGCCTTTACTTGTGCTTACTGTTTTGTAAAGGTTCAACATTAGATCAAAAAGCACACCCTTGAATGAGTGGCCTCTCTTCTGAGCTTGATTCCCTCTTTCTGTATTTTTCGTACTGTTGTACAGTCATTCTGACAACAACCTGTGAGTACTGGTATTCTCTCTTGGGAGTTGGTATTAATATGGCCTCTCTGCATTCTTTGCAGAATGCTGGTGCTAGGTATTTACCCTGATGCAGAAAGTATGAATTCTCCCCCATCCACATTGTAATGGAATAGGACTGGCTTTGAAAGAACTTTAAGTAAAAGCCAATAACTTTGTAATATGTGTTGGTTAAACCTAAATGTATACTGTCCCCTTGTGCAACATGTAAGACCTCCAGGACTCTGAGTGTGCAATACAGCTGTTGCACATTTGTATTCATTACAGAATGTGGTCAGACAAATGCAATAGCAAATAGTTTTATCATGTTTTTGAATTGCTGACAAAGATGCATTTTGCTTTTTATAAAACACAGACACTTCTGAGATCCCCAGTCTGCTTTTAATTCACTCAATTTGCCTGTATTACATTTATTAAAAATTATTGGTAGAAGATTCTGTGAATAAATGTATTTAACAAATTGCTGCCCCAACAGAAGCCAGAGGTATGATAGATTTATTCTTGGTTGCTGTATCTTGTCCAAGAACACTGGTATGTCTTGCCAGTTTTAACTACAGACACTTGAATAATTCCTCTTTGCACTTAATGCTGCTGTTTATACTGCATGTCACTACATTTCTATGCAAAAAAGAATAACCTTTGGGAACAGCCAAATATTTGATTAAGATTTCAAGATATATTTTCATATTTATGAAGGAATTTTATGTCTTAATATTTGCAGTCTGTAAATAGCTAAAATTTGTGATTAAAGCTTAGGAAAAATGCATAGCCTGTGCATAATTTAATCCTGCCAGGAAAGGAACTTTGCAACATGTTTTTCCCCCTTAATACTGCAGATATTTATGAATGTGTAAAGAAAGGAAAGCTTGGGTTTTATGTTGATTTATTTTGTCTGATTTTTTCCTGAACTAAAAAATGGTATGTTTTACTGGAACTAAGGTAACCAAAGAATCTAGTTTAAAGTATTTGCATGTTTTGTTGGATTTCTGTATAAATTGTTTCCCAATTTGCTTTGGAAATAAAAACAAATACATTTACCTTTGCAGTTGAAGATAACAAGACCTAGGAGAGAAAGGGAAAAATACAATACATTATAGTTTTTAAAAGCCAGCAGAAGTCACCCTTTGAAAATGGATTTTTTAAAGGCAAGGATGTCATCTGTGGGTTCCTCACACAATGTTTCCACCTTCTGTTTATTATATAGTCACCTTTTAAGGAATATGTATTTCTCTCCTTCTTGGTAAATGTCTTATTTCATAAAGGAACACTTTACCTTACAGTGGTTTCAAGATTCCTGTAATGTTTTCATACAACAAAATCATTGCATACTTGTTGAGAAACCCGGCAAATTTCTTCAAGGTGTTTCAGCAATAGGCATCTCACATTCTGCAGTACCGAAACTGAAATTACACTGTTTAGAAAGTAGTTCCTATGCCCCTGATCGCAATCTTTCCCTTTAATATACATAGAAATATACTATTTACAAGAGTCCTGGTGCATTAAACTGAAGGATCAAGATCCTCTTCTCTACAGTGGCCAGCAAAATGCTTTCACAATGGTCAACAGCATGAAAGCAACTTAAATTGAGGCACATTGCTCTTGACTTAGGAGTTCCATTTTGCTATAGTATCTGTTGAGACCAATATTCTATGTGACCTTGTCTAACCACTGTGCTGTTGGGCTGGTTGATCGAAAGGTTGCTGGTTCGAATCTGCACGACGGGGTGAGTTCCCGTTGCTCCATCCCAGCTCCTGCCAACCTCGCAGTTCAAAAGCATGCAAATGCAAGTAGATAAAAAGGTACCACTTCAGTGGGCAGGTAACAGCGTTCCGTGTACTTCGGTGTTTAGTCATGCCGGCCACATGACCATGGAGACTGTCTGTGGACAAACGCTGGCTCCCTCGGCTAGGAAACGGAGATGAGCACTGCCCCTTAGAGTCAGGCATGACTGGACTTAATGTCAAGGGGAAACCTTTACCTTTAATCTAGTTTACCTTTATTTCCATGGATTCTGTAAGCTAATTGTGAGAAATACTTCCTTACAGGCATCCTGACAGGACAGAAAATGCCATGTTTTCTTTTTCTCCCCGCTTTATAACTTGATAAATTACAATTATTTACTACCTTAGGTAACAGATAACCAAGTGCACAATTTCATGCATGTTTATAAAAACTGCCAGGTATGTAGCAATATTATAAATATAGGAGTCCTAATGCCTTTTCCACTATTTCATAGGATAGAATTTTCCTATGCTGCCACTGAACTAATTGTTTTATTGATCTAGCCACCAGATTGCAAGGTCATCTACCTTGGCTAGTCACCCTCAGTTCAGGCCACATCAGTATGTAGCTGGGGCTTTGCATCACCTTACATTTATTGCATATCTGATTTAGTTTTGCTGTGTATTCACACAGATCAGCAAAATTTGCCTAAAACTATGCAGGCAGCTTTATCACTGGTTTTCCTTACTAATTTGGTGTCATTTGCAAACTTAGCCATGTCTTGCTCAGTTGAATAGTAGCACCACTAAATATTCTCTTTACAAAGCCATCTACTTTCTTTCAAGCTGTTACTTAGGTATGAAAGCCCTTACCACAGGTACACAGAAGCTCAGTACCAGAGACCTGGGAACCCAATCTGGCTCTTAGACATTCCCCAGATGGCCATGGCCCCCTTCCCCCATCTTTTGATTTTTCAGTTTTTGGGCAGTTTTTTCTCTAAATGTTTTCATCGACTCTCCTAAGTGTTAAGTTACCAGCAGCATAAGCTTTTAAGCCAAAATACTCTGGTGTCTTTGGCCCACCCCTTTTGCCTCTAGCACCTACCCTACATTGGAATGCAGTACCCAATGGGGTCAACATCTCTGATGTATCCCTATTATTGCTACATTTGATTCAGAAAGCTTTTTGTAAAACGCTTTTTGGACGTTTTAAGTCTACAATTCTAAACTATGAATATACTTATAGGTGTGCTCTGAACACAAAGTTTGGTAGGGCAGGACTTCTTTGGCAGCAGAAGCTATGTTAATGTTTGTTTTTCTGTGTGGTCAATGCTATCTTTAATCATACATTCCATCAACTTATCTAGAACAGACATTGGACTAACAGGTCTGTCATTTCCTGGTTTTCAGGAGGAAGTCCTCCACTACTATTTTCTAAAGTGTGGAACTAGGAAACACTACTAAATCTGCATAGAAAGGAATAAAACAGAAAAGGTATGTCAACCCTCTGGAAAGGCCTTGTCAAATGGTAGCTTATTTGAAAGCATGAGCTTTCTGTGACCTGTGAAATACACAAACTTTATTTCAAGTTTCCTTCCATTTGTAAAAAGCTGTGCACTTAAGAAATAGTATCAAAGTGTCATCTTGGTTATTCTTCTCTTAAAACTAAATGTATATGTTTCCCCTAAATCAACATTTTCTTAAGAGAACTGACAGGTAATAAACCTGCCTTTAAGTATTGACTGAGCCATAAAACAGTTGGAAAAGTTGCTTTTATTCCCTCTACTCTATTGTATTTACTCCAGGGAATTTACATGGTCATCTGAAGTCCATGAGGTGGGTAATCCCCATAGGAATCTAATTATGTATCCCTGTCAAATGCTGTTCAGTAGATTACTTTGATTTTCAAAGAGCTAGGGATTTGGCTCCTATGCATACATGAACAGCTTTTCAGAGATCAGTAGCAATAGAAAAGTTAGTTCAAGTATGGTATATGTACATTTCAGCATTGCTGGCAGTGGGCCTTATGGCATCAATTCAGGCAAAAAATAGCATGCGCGAACCTTTTCCCATAGCAATTCTATGTAGCTGAAACCCACAAATCCAACTAGCAAAGTAGTATTACAACCAAGTAATAGCAAGCAGATTAAAGCATACAGGTTATAAATATTAGGAGCAAAAAGCAAAAGCTGAAGAATGCATGAAACAAGACAAAAAATACAGAAGGGAAGCTATAATTTACCAATGCAATCACCAAAGATGGTGGGGTGAAGCCTAAATGTTATCACAGATCTGGGACCTATGACTGACTTGTATAGCACTTGCTTAGTGCTATGCAGTTATTTTGCCCTCATGTCAGGGCTTGGCCAGAATCCATATGAAGCACTGGCTAACAACTAGATTGATTGGAAGGCCACACTAATAGCATTGCACAGGAGAAAGCAACTGTGTTTGGCTGCTGAAATAAGTTAATTTGGCCTAAAGAGGAAGAGGGATAATGCACTAAACAAGCAGTTTCCTTTCTATCCCAAAACTAGCAGTGATGATGTCAATTAAGATTGATACCTTTTGTAAATAAAGGATACCAGGATGAGAAATAGCATGTGAGTGCTAACTTGGTTAGGGCTGGAAAAATGTGCTTCATGCCTTCATTCCCAGATGACTAAGGTAAGGCTTGATTTTTAAAAGCATTTGTGAATTGCTCTTTCAGCCTAAAAGCTAATCCTAAAAATTTTACCTAAAACACACTTGAAATCCTGTACATTTTGTTTTCAGGAGGTCGTCTGATGAGGTTAAAACATACCAAGGAAGATAGAAATAAAAGATTGCACAGAATTAGGCAGCAGCCATTAGGTTTTCTGCTGCTGAGGAATAAAGACTTCCAGTTTCTAAAGCCCACCAGCATTTTCTTTATGGAGTATCTAGTTTTTGAAAGTTCTGTCTTGCCCTATATAACAAACTCACTATAACTAAGCAATTGCTTAGAACAGAAGCAAAATCTTCAGGTTACTAGAACGTGTTGTTTCTCACACACACAAAGGCAGTTTTTCCACTTTGTGACAACAGAATTTTACCCAAGCTGTTACGAGTTTATGTGGAGGAAGACTAGAACATGCCTTGCCTTGGTTCTAATCCCAATGCTATCTTTTATTCCTACATGGTTATTTGTGTATATTAACTGTACATATTAAATTAACATGCTGTTTACTATTACTGCATGTGCAGATACACAGTCCCCAAAAATGAAATTATACAATGAAACTGGAAAGAATTTCTTATAACTGCTAGCTGCTTTGTCTCCCTATGGTATCAACAAGAGATGTGGTACCCATAATCATTATAGAAATAAGCTGCCAATTCCCATATTGTTTCTATGGGTGAATGAACTAGATGAAACTTCTTTAAATGAGGCCTTCTCCTAGTTTGCTGTGAATTCTTCTTGAAGACAGCTTCCTGGCCCTATGAATATAAGGGATCTACTTTTAATGAACAAGGGGAAATATAGTACATAGAAATTTAATTGTGCAAATGTTTACAAACAAATCCACATACAGACTGCTACTTTTATGCTACCTATTTCAAGTAGCCTATCTGAAGTCTTTAGTACTACTCTGTTCTGAGAACAGTGTCTAGAAAATGTTGCTTTGTTTCCAGCAGTTCTTATCTGGACTCTTAGTGAGAAGAAGTCTTGGCTCTAATTACTAGCCCAAGCCAATTTCATCTTCTGGCTGTGAGCTTTAGAAGATTTAGAAAACAAACTTTTCACAATGTGAAGGGGCACAGACTTCCCACTGAGGTACAGTTTGTTGTGACAGTCTGGTAACCAAGGCCCTTCATGTGAGTCTCCACATTTATCATTCTTGAGCATATGGACATACGCCATGATGTAGCCTGTCATGAAGGCATCAAAGCCAGCCCGGTGAATACCACCCTCTGAGCAACCAGGCATAGGTGCTACTGGATTCTCTGTGGCAGATAAGATCACCGCAGCAGTACTGTCCAGCTGCACAGTTGCCCCTGATCCCTCAGTCCCTGCTGCCTTTTCTTGCTGGCCATCTTTGAATAATGAAGAAGGGAAGCCCTCGTTGTCTGTAGCACTGAATTGTTCCTCATCCATCTTGGCATCAGCTGCACTATCAGAGCCCAGTTCTCGTTCCACATCCATAGAACACTCTTCATTACTGGACACAGTATCTGTGCCTGCAGACTCTACAGTAGGAGCAATTGCATTGCTAGGGCATAGCTGCTTGGAGGGGGGACCCTCTTGCATATTCCAAGCCGCTGCTCCATCCTTTTCAGGGCTTCCTAACCCAGGTTCTTTTGAGGATTCCACAACATTTTTCCGCCGCTTCCATTTTTGCTTCCTTTTCTTCCGCTTCTCCTCTTTGTGGTTCTCATCCTCATTAATTATCAGATCTATGTTGTGAGACTGTGAGCACTTCAGCCCATCTGGACACCAGCCATAAGCCTGAAGGAGAGGGTTTGAATTAACTTGGATGAAAATCTATAATCAGAACTTAGTTTTCCTAGAGTAGCTTCCAATTACTGAGCATTTCTTGATGACTAGAACCAGACATTTCCTGATTCTCTGGAAAACACTGCTAAAACTATTCTGGGCCAGCTAAATCTCCCCAATTTGCTTTCAGAAGTCTCTAATTATTAAGATGGCAGCATATCTCATTAATTGGAATGCCTCAGGGAAAAATAGCCTTTAAGATTCACCCACTACAGCACACCCCATCGGTCAAGGCATCTGACCCAAGATGAGAAACAGGAATCATGCAAGAAACTGACCTTCTTTTATACTGAACTATCTGAGATGCTGAAGCAGCTATTACCAATTTAGTCTTATAGAAGCTTTTACAATCCTTAACTTTAGAGGAAGAGAGAAGTAACACTTACAGAAAATGTCTGGCAGATGGCTACTTTGTTAGCAGTGTCAATTCCAGCTTGGCTGGCATCAGACAGAGAACAGAGGCGGTAATCAATGTAGCAAGCTATGCTGGCGGGATAGCTGCAGAACTCTATGATGAGATGCTGCTTTTTGGCATCCTTCAACCTGCAGTTCTCACGCTTGCTGAAATGCAAGAACTGTATTAGAAATGAGTAAAAAATCAACTAGAAATCAACTGCCTTCAGGAATGGCTTTTCCTTCACGTACTAACAGGAGAGAGAGTTAGACTAGGCCCTTTGCCTGTACAAACAAGCTATGCTCAAAAGGGAATTAGACTGTAGAACAAGCCTAGTATTGCTATTGAGAAAAGAAATGAAGATATAGGACTGCCACTGAGGCTTCTTTACCCCAACCTGCACAGGCAGGTTGCAAACCACCTGTTACCATAATTCTTTATACCATGCACAGGTTGAACCTGGCAAGGGTAGTTTCCAAACAGCCCTAGAACCAGCCATGGGCTGCAGGGTAGTATGGAAGCCACCACCCCTCAGGTTCAGAGCACAATCCACGCATGATACAGGCAATTATGAAAATGAGGGAGCAATTGGCACAAGCAGGGAAAAGAAGTGACCATGACTGCTTTTCTTTTCTCAGTCAGGCAAATTCAGTCAGAATAGGGCTATCGCCCAAAACTGCTACTTTTCTCTTAGAAGCAAACAACTCCTTTAATAATTACTTAGAAAAAGAACAATGTAGAGAACAAAAAATGAAGAAAGCCTGAAAAGTGAGAAACAGTTCAGTCAGTTTCACAAATGTTTCTTCCTGGGCAGCACATATTGCCCCTTTTCTCAACACAAAAGGAAAGATCCTACCCTTCCATTCTCCTGAGAGAACTGAAGGAGGAACCTGCCACCATCTTGTGCAGGAAAAATTAACCCTTCATCTCTCCTATGTTTTCTGGCATATATAGGTAACTTGGGGAAAGTGAGGATAATTATTTTGCTTTGACGTCTCAGAATTGGTGAGAATCTCTTGCTGTTTTAAGCAGCTTCAAGACACAGTATGAAATGAGACAGCAACCCTTTTCCTTCCAAATTCTCAGTGTGTGCCAGAAGAGAAGGGTCAGTGGCAACCATAAATAGCTACCAAGAAAAAATGAAAATGCTTTTGGACTTGAGATGTAGTGAAAATTTTACTGAGAATTCAGCATCTGATACTAAATAGTAGAGCCATCTTCTGAGTACATGACTCCTATTGTTCCAAAGGCCCCATGAGGTTACAGCCAAGAAAGTCCTGATACTTTGCATTGAAGCAAGTATCAAGAATTACTGATCAAGGCTATAATAAGCAAAGCCTGAGGCAAATTGCATGAATGTAAAACACATGCAAGTGAAGTTGTATCTCACACTTCACCCTTCCTGGCTAATTTCCATAAGAACAAATGAAAGAATTAAAAGGGGGGGGGTTATTTTCCTGAGAAAAAATGGAGAAGTTATCTCTTTGCTGTACTTTCAAAGATCAAGCCTAGAGGAAAAAAATTCTATCTACTTCTCACCAGGAGATCCACAGTGGCATTTATAGCAATTTAAACACTTTTTATTCTAATCATTCATACGGAAATCAGATGTTTTCTCTGCACAGGAAGCAGAAGCACAGCCTTGAACTCAGCAGTTAACTTCTTTGCAGGCTTTATCTGCAAAGGGATACCTACCATTTCTTGTAGGCATATTCTAGGTAAGAAGCCACAAAGCGTGCTTCAAACTCAGAAGCATACTTGGTGTCGTAGATGCCGGCTGGGAACATTTCTGAAAGATCTGCAGTGAAAGTGCCCAAGTTGTCAGGCAGATGGGCATAGAAGCACTGGTACAGAAAGACCAGATCAATTAGGCCATTATGCAGGATGATGGGCTTCCTGGCTCGGATCAGTTCCAAGAAAAATGTACGGACAGTCTGGCTCTGATTCTCATTTCCCTGTGAAAAACCAAAGTTGGGGAGAAACTTAGTTCCATTTCTGAAGTCTGCACTAATTTCCTTATCAGAAGACCGCCTTTGACTGAGGATACATTTCATGACTTTAGATGGTAAAAAAGTATATAAGTATGCAAATATCTGACATATACAAAGCAAATACAATCCAGTCATGATATATCGATAGGTATAAAATCTTCCTTGGTCCTTTTTGGCTAGTAACTAAAGTGCTGGCAAGAAGAACACCAAGGAATCCTATACTTTACACTCACCACTGTCAGTAAGATCACTGTCCACTCAGAAAGACACTAACAGCAGTTAGGTCTCTGATCCAAACATGACCCTCATCTCCTTCAAAAGCAATCTGGAATCAGTCTTTGGTATACATGATGAGAAGTCTCAGTGTTTTAAAAAAACATAAATCACATTATCTCAGCAATATAGTACTGATGTCCAGATGGAAGATCCCTCAGCTATCATGGTAGGAAGGAGTGTTGTCTTCTTGGGATATCTACTGAGTAGAAAAGCAATTCCCCCTCCATTGCAAATTTCTTCTTGTACTCTCAACATATTTAGTCCTTAGGCTTAATAGTTTTCATACCTTGTCATTACCCCTATGATAAGGAATGCCCTGAGAATACTGCTTGTTGAAGTCAAAACCGTGTTGCACTAAGAATTGGACTGACTGTGGTTCGATGATATAATCCTCCATACAGAGCAGTGTCAAGTTGTAGATCTGGGAGAGGTATGTGTGTTCTGTCTGGAAACACAAGCCAGCCCAGTGAAATTGAGAACAGCACAACAGAAAAAGTCCAAATAGTAATACTTCATTCAGTTTCTAAGAACTATCAACAGTAGGATGAAAGTCACAAGATGAGCACCATACCTTATCAGAGAGCTGTTTGAAACAAGCAATTCCTAGAGACAAAATGGAGCGTGTTTTGGCAGCACTACAAACAGCTTTGTATCTTTCTTCAATACATCTGGAAGGCAAATAATGAAGCAACTTAGTAGGAAACAAAGTCATAGGAAATTTGAACCATCCAGTCCACGTTTTTATGGGACTTCCTATGTGCATAACAGTTTTCTCTTCCCTATTTAATTGGATACAATCATCATTACTCAAAAAACTTTGCACAATCCTAAAGACTATTAGATGCATGAGGGACTGCCTCCATGGTTGGCATAGTTTCTGCTTTCAAAGGACTGATGGTTCATAGTAATCACTGCCTTCACCAAGAAATGTAACTGAAGTGTATTCAGCTAGTCTCCTGTACTGCGTGGGAGAAAGACCCCCGAGAAGGATGGCCAAATGCTCTGTTTACAACACTGTCCATGAGGAACCAATTACTCAGAAGAAGAATAATTTGAAAACATGCTCCAGAAGGGTAGTGGTTAATTATAGCATGTTACTTACTGGTTCAACAAACTCTTCCTTGTTCCAAGTCCACTAAGTTCCTAAGGACAAAGATGCCAGTTAGACCACTTCCAAGTGCAATAAGCTATGTAATTATGTATAATGTGCTAGGGACAGGTCACAGGATAGCTGCAGAACACAGGATTTATATGCAAAAGGCCACAAGTTCAACCCCTGATATCTTCAGGCAGGGCTAGGAAAAACTCTTGTTTAATATCTTGTAGAGAGACTACCAGTCAGTATATGCAATGCCAAAATTACTAGATGCGCCAGTGGTCTGATTCTGATATAAAACAACTTTCTAATTTTTAACAATATTACCATAGTTACAATATTACCATAATGACAATGTTTTCTATGTATGATTTTATGCTGTTTTAGCATTTGTAAGCCTCCCAGAGAATCTTTAGGTTATGGGGCAGCATAGAAATGGAAATAAGTAAATAAAATGAAACATGCATACAGTTACGGGGTCCAAGCTTAAGCTCTGTACAAAACACTTATCTGCAAGCTATAAATGGACTAGGGGAAATAAAAGTTGTCCTGTTTTGTTAAAAATTAGCTGATGAAAATTGTAGCAGCTTTCCCAAGGAAAGACAACTGACCTGTCACCATCCAAGACAGTCATTCCTACAGCATAAAGCTTAACTGTCTTACTGCACACTATCTCCCCTTTAATCTTTACAGGAGAGGTAAATCACACAAAGTAACATTTCTACCCACCGTGTCAACAGCTATAAAACTGGAAGTTTTGATGGCCAAGAGCATAGATGGCCAGAGCTCCTTGAAATTATCATTCTGAACATCGATGACTGGCACCTTCAAGGAAATCATCCTCACAGCTGTTGAGCAAAAAAACACATATTGCTTTTTTAAAAATCAGATTAAATTTGCTCTTAGGAAACGGTAACTAAGGATCACAGTAATCCGTAGGCTGCCAACTGGGATTCTCAAAGAATTAGCAGGTCAGGAGTGAAGGAAAAGTAACAGAACGTGCATATGACAAAAAACCCGAGAGTTCCATGCACAGGCACAGAGGCTTCCTTCTGCCAAGGGTCGCAACATGACTAGGAAGGGAATAATAAGCAATGCAATGCCATCAACCATAGCCGGTCAGCCTACAGGCGAGATCGGAGGCTCCTCTGACACATTCCTTTTCTGCGTGGCTATTAGCCTGCATGGAAAAATCCACATTAAAAAAGAACCAAAATATATAGCCCATACAAGAAGCCCCGGCACTCCACGTGCGGCTATAAAGTGTACCGGAAGTTTTCGAACCTTCTCTTACACCCGAAAAGCGCACACTTCGAACCCTTCAAAGCACCACCATCTTAAGAATGATGACTTCCGGTGCGCCGTGCTGTCTAGGGACCTTCCTTTGGGTTGGCGCATAACTTAGGTAACTTTGCAAGTGCCTGTCCTTGGATCCAAATGCGCTCAATATCTGTGCATACTTATTTGAACTGTGTGTGGTGGCGCTTGTCAAATTAGTTTATTGCAGAAATAGCGAGTCTTGTAGCACCTTAAAGACTAACAATTTATTCGGGGAAAAGTTTTCGTGGACGGCGTTCATACGATGAAACGGATTATAGTGCACGAACGTTTGTGCCTGGATAAAAGTATAAAGTGCCGCAAGATTCATTTTGGTTTTACTCCTCCAGTGGGAGATTGCCTAGCACTAGGCCATCACATCGCAATCTAACGTGCGTTTACACAGAAGTAAACCTCTCTTAATGAGCTGGGTATAAGACTGCAGCTTTAATTAGTAATCCTCAAATTACGCATTACCTGATATAGGTCCCAATGTACTCAATGGACTTATGTCTGAGTTAGACAGGCATAACATACGCTGTAGGGAGCTTAGCAACGGGTTGCATAACACAACTTAGCAACATAGGTAGAAAAATACTTCTCACGTAATAATTGTCAGAAACTTCATTCACTTACACGCTACTGAGCCTTTGAGTTGATTTGGATTTATTTTTACTGTATTGCGATTTGCGAAGGGCAGCAGCCCAAAGCGACTGAGAGGTAGATCTGGACTGATTGGGCATTTGGGAAGCAATTTAACGAAACCGGACTTCGGTACAACCTGTGGAGATTGTCCTTATTTGGAAATTCAAACCAGCAACGGATAGAAACGAGGATAATTTTCATTACAGCATTTTAAACACTGCTAAACAACCCTGAGAGTCAGATTACAAATTAGTTTAGATAAAGCTGGACCTTACTCTTCAATGATACATTACTCGGGGCTGTTAGCAACATAATTTAAAACAATTTACAAAATTAATGCATAAAATAAGGTCAAAGGATAGCGTCAGTAGTGGGGATTTTCAAGCGCTGGAGGAAGGACGTTTATTCCTCAGCAGTCTTTTTACAAACAAATGCCCCAACCGCACCGCTATCCCCACGCATTCGGGGGAGGGGCAGATTTCCGGGGGTACGTAACCAGGATTAAAAATAACAAAGAGTACTTATTTTTCTAGCTTTTAGTCCTCACTGTTTTGGACAAATTTATTAAAATTAAAAGCCTAGCAATTTGAATAGTCCTAGCGTAGTCCTTCTAAGAGCTAAGTAGTAGTTCCAAATACTCTTGGTTGCTCTGATGAAGATATTACAGCAACACGGAATTTGGAGTTTCTGTTGGAGCACACGGTCACCTTACTACTCCGCAGCTTGTCGCTCTCCTGCCTGTCCCCAGGAAAGGGAAACAATCTTACTAGCACCTTTGCTGTGCTCAATGTCCCCTCTTCCCCACATGCAAACACCCCGCGCGCTATTGACAAACTCCACGAAGCTAAACTCCATTCCGAGTTTTGTTTTGTTTGCTGTTCACTGTCTCAACTTCATTCCCAACTTGCAGCATTATTAGTGAACTGCATTTCAGGATTGGTTTTTTTCTACACTAAATTATTGCGTTTGTTATTATAGCTCTATTAGTGTTTTTTTTTTTTTTTTTTTTTTTGAAGGGGGCTGAAATACACTGGGTCCCATCACAACTACACTAATACGTTAGACTTCCTCATTGCCGCCGCCTTCTTGCACCTTTCAGGAACATGGCGCTAATAAGAAAACGGGAGTGGATCTTGTTCCTCTTGATTTTCCTATCTCTATGGTTCTCACACTTTTCTTTGAGGCGGGGGAGAGCGTGATTGGGTGTGATCGGCGCCAATCAGGGCGAGTTGGGGACGCGCAAAGAAAATGGCAAAGAGACGCAGGTAGGAGTACTAACAAGGAGCGCAACACGAATGATAGTCGTTTAATAACCATCCCATTTTGTGTAGTTAAGTGCATGGAACACATTTGTCTAGAGTGCACGTTGTTGGGCTAGAAAGAACCAGCGGGCGTACACGCGGGAAAATGAAATGGTTGAGGCTGAGAGTTGTGGAGGTGGAACAGCCTGGATCACTTCAAAGTGTTGGAGGGCTGCTTTTTTTGAATTCACTCCACCTCCTGGAAGAAGGAATAACAGGAGAATGGTATAGAAACTTTCTACCCAGTGTGGTAGTTTGGCACTTGCAAGGAGTTTTTACCTAGGGAAAGTTGTTTTTTAATGGCTTTCCCAATTTTAATGTGAAGTGGTATAGTCCACTCCAGGACTTCACGATTCTTTTACAAATAGCCTGCTCCTTAAAGAATAATTCAAGCAATGGTGTTAGTGAACCTTTGCAGTATACAATGTGCCTTTGTCCTTTTTGTTCCTAAATATTTTCCCATCTTGCAAACTGCATTGATAACATTCAGTGATGCAGATGGAATACAAATATTCTATCCAGTTCTGCAGTAGGGAGATCTAATATAACAGTAACATACTTTTTTATTATTCCTAGGGTGGTAATGGAAAAACTTCACTTGGCAACACACAGCAAGCTTAGAACAGGATGGGCTACTGAGCAACAACCGAAGTCTTTGAAGCAATGTGAAGAAAGCAGGCTCTGCAAAGGTGCTTGGGCTACAAGAGGATATTGCCCAAGAAGCAGAACAATACCAATCAGTGTAGTGTGAAAGGAATTTGAAAGAATCTTTGGGGCCTGTTTTCATGATTATTTATCTTGAGATAACTCCTAAACTCCTCAACTTCTTGTTTACACATTCCAAGAAAGAATTGGAGGGCAGAGTTACAGAAATTGATCCATCATTCATTCCAGGAATTGACTTTGCAATAGATAGTAAGCATTCAGAGTATCCCTGATGAAATAATTAAGAGGTATATATTTGTTTAATTAACCCAAGAAAGCTGTGCCTGCCTTGGCTTGATTTTTGCAGTGTTCTCTGTAGTTGTGAGGGTTAATGAAACATTCCAGCCAGGTGTTTATTTGATAGTTTTTAAATTTTGAAACATATTTATTTGGACTATATAGAGCAATTGAAACAGCAGAAATATTCTTTTATTGTGACTTGACAGTGCCTCATTTTCTTGTTTGGTGTATTGTCATGACCAAAGGAGACATCTGCTGCTGATACATGCTGCTGGGGTTCTTAGAAGAAGCAAATCTTTTGAGAGCATTTGAAGCACAATTGTCAGTAGGAATGTCCCTTTTCAGCAATCTGTTAGAAATGTGTACTGGCTAGGGTTTATTGCAGGTTTTTTCATAGCAGTGTATTTTTGCAATGAAAGGAAATACCTACTCCAAACATTTTAATTGGCCTCTCTTTGTTGCAGAAGTGCCCAGCCAGCAGCCCTTATTCCACATATTCAGCAATGCAGCTGAAATCAAAGATTTCCGGAAAAGGCTGCTCACCTGGTACAATAAATGCAAACGAGACCTTCCATGGAGGAAAATGGTAAAGTATAACATGCAGGATCTAAGATCCTCCAAAAAGGTTGCTGTTCATTTTTTATTTTTATTTTTTTAAGATTGGTGATTCCTTTGTTGTGTCCCGTTTCCCAAAGTTCTCTGGCCACTCTTTTACAGGCTGCAGGTGAAGCTGATGCAGACAAACGAGCATATGCTGGTAAGACAAAGATAAACCTATGTTTGTTGTGAGTTCTTGCTATTGTTTTGCTTTCAGGGTTTGCTGTGGAAATAATTGCACAGGCCATACATGACATTATCTCTACTGGTATATACGATGTGGGGATATCAATTGTATTGCAGGGAAATACATTTTGTATTGTATCCAATAAACCCAGTTCAACCCATCAGGGATCTCTGGCAAAGCAATATAGTAAACTAGTCAAGCCATGGTGTTCAAATGGTAGTAGTGTAATATTTAAAGGGACAGTCGGGAACTGCAGGCAGAACTAGCTTTCCCCAGCTGCCCAGTCCCTCTGGATAGAGGAAGTTGCTCAGTATAGACTGCTTATTTCCCTGCAGTCACTTATGCATTCTTTCAAATACCTCCCACGTACCATATAGAACTAGGAAAGTTCTGAGAAGGAATCAGTATATACCTAATGTGTCTACTTTCCCTTTCTAACTGCAGTGTGGGTTTCAGAGATCATGCTTCAGCAGACTCAGGTTGCTTCAGTGATTGGCTACTACAATCGTTGGATGCAGGTGATGCAGAATTCCTTCCATCTCTGTGGCACATTAGCACTCAGCTCAGCAAGGTTTCTGGACCATTCTGCTTTGTAAATCCTATAAACAAGCCTGTTTTTCTTTGTGATGCAGAAATGGCCAACCTTGCAGCACCTGGCTGAAGCTTCACTAGAGGTAAGAAAAAGGGTACGGTAGCGTATGTGCATGTCCAAATGCTCATATGTGTGAATCTTTCCCTCCCCACTTTTAGATTTTTTGTAGCTAATTCTGTTTGTTATAGGAGGTGAATGAACTGTGGGCAGGACTTGGCTACTATTCCCGAGGGAAGCGACTCCAGGAAGGTGCACGTAAGGTACACTGAAGGGTGGCATTGGGTCATCTGTGTGCATTTGGGCTGGTGCTTGAATTTTTTAAGAAGATAGTAGCTCCCTTTCTATTATCACTTGACATAAAGGAATGCTGTTGAATGTTTCTATTCAGTAGCCACTTTGGAAAAAGCCAAGTGCAAAATATCTAGGTATTGTACTGTTCTAGTCTGCTTAAGACAGGCATGTCCAAAGTCTGGCCCGGGGGCCAATTGTGGCCCGTTTTCACATTTCGAGCGGCCTGCAGCTCCCCACCGGCTCAGCCTGTCACTCATCCCTGCCAGCCGGCGTTTTTCCCTTCACCGCACAGCGGTTCCTGCAGTTGTCCCCTGCTGCCTCCTGCTCCTTCAAGGCTGGTGGTTATATTTCACCAGAAGATGGCAGTAAACCTGAATCAGCACTCTTGCCGCGTGACCCTTGTGACACAAGGCTTGTGTGCCCATTGTCAAGAGACTGTGGCTGTTTTCAAGGAATTCAATATCAAGAGGCACTACCAGACGAAACATGTTAACTACAACAAGCTAACTGGGAACAAACACGGCGAAAATTTGAAGGAACTGGAAGCTGCTTTAACGGCACAGCAGCGCTTTTTCACAAGAGCCTGTGAGTCAAATGAAAATGCCACAAAGGCGAGCTACGAGGTGGCAACACTGATTGCCAAGCACTGCAAACCTTTTACTGAGGGTGAATTTATTAAAGACTGCGTGATGAAAATGGTGGAGAAAATTTGTCCTGAGAAGAAGCAGGAGTTTGCCAATGTTTGCCTGGCTCATAACACTGTGGTACAGAGAAGAAGACATTTCATCTGATATTAAGAGACAGTTAGAGGCAAAAGGAGTGGAGTCTGACTTTTTTTCGTTAGCCTGCGACGAAAGCACGGATGCATCTGACACCGCTCATTTATTGATTTTTTTGAGAGAAGTGGACAATGACATGAACATGAGTGAAGAGCTACTTGACCTCCAGAGCCTTAAGGACCAAACAAGAGGAACAGATTTATTTGTATCTGTTTGTTCTGCCGTAGATGACATGAAACTACCATGAAATAAAGTCACTGGGATTATTACGGATGGCGCACCTGCCATGGCTGGCGAGCGAAGTGGATTATCAACCCTAGTCTGTAACAAAGTCAGCGAAGAAGGAGGCAAAGCTATAAAACTCCACTGTATTATTCACCAACAAGTTCTCTGTGCCAAACATCTGAAATATGATCATGTTATGAAACCGGTGATGAAGGCTATTAATTATATTCGCTCCAAAGCCCTGTGCCACCACCAGTTTCAACAGTTTCTACTCGACATCCAGGCTGAATATGGAGATGTTGTGTATCACAACGAGGTAAGATGGCTCAGTCGGGGGTCTGCACTGCAGCGCTTCTACTCTCTTAGGGAGGAAATTGGACAATTCTTGGCAAAAAAGGGACAACTGATGCCAGAGCTATCTGATCCTGTTTGGCTGGCTGATTTTGGATTTTTAGTTGACATAACACAACACCTGAACGTGCTGAACACGAGCCTTCAGGGGCAAAATGCAGTGGTAAGCCAACTGTATTCACATATCAAAGCCTTTGGGACCAAGCTGCTACTTTTCCAAAGGCACCTGTCACAAACACAATCCAATACCACACATTTCCCTTAGTTGCAGGAAATAACGACCAGTTTTCCACAGAACAATATGAGTGCGCAAATGAGGTATGAAGCAGACATCTCATCTCTGGCTAAGGAGTTTCAACAGCGCTTTCGGGATTTTGCAGCTATTGAAAAGGAGATCATGCTTTTTTCATCTCCTTTCTCTGTGGACCCTGATGACGCTCCAGACCACCTGCAGCTGGAGCTCATTGAGCTGCAGTGTGACGCCAAGTGTCGCAGTCGGCACCAACAGCTCCCTCTTGTCAACTTTTACCACCAACTGGATAAAGACAGGTTCCAAGAGATTCGAACATTTGCTAAGAAAATGCTGAGCTTGTTTGGTTTGACATACATGTGCGAGAAGACATTCTCGGTTATGAACATTAACAAGAACCGCGTGAGGACAAGACTAAGTGACTTTCACCTGCATGACATCTTGCGCATCAAAACCACTGTTTTTGAGCCAGACCTGGCCTATATAATGCAGTCGAGATCTCAGTATCACCCTTCACATTAGTTCAGTTAAGTTATTTGTTCAGTCTTTCATAAAATAGTTCATTAGCATTTAATGTTAATGCTTCAAAGAATGTCAGGCTGAATGGTCGGCCCCCACATATTTTCGCCTCACCAAATCTGGCCCTCTTTGCAAAAAGTTTGGACACCCCTGGCTTAAGACATCTGGTGGAAGTAACAACCTGTTCTTAGATGACTAGATTGGTATTTCTAAAGAGTTTGGTATTCAGGGCCTTGAGCAGCTCCCTAAAACTGAGAGCAAAGTTTATGGGAAGGGAGTGTCTTAAATCTCCCAATATATATTTATTTGTTACTTTTTGCATTCTACGCCTACAAGAGGCTCAGAGCAGTACTTTAAGCTTACAAGTTCTCATTAGCAGAGGGAATGTTTCCTGCTTACATCTCTTGGAAGTTTCAATAACGTTTTGAAGCACCTCTCCAGAAATGGTGTCTGTCCATAAAAATGCCCTTGTGCTGCTGTGGCCGGAGCTCAGAATTGTGGTTCAGCTTCCAGTACTAGCTGCTGCTTACATGCCAGGTTTGTTTGCTGTAAGGTTAATCTTGACCTTTCCCTCTGGTTTGGTTGCTTTACTCCACTGGTCTTTTGCAGTTGGTGTCTCAGATGGCAGGTCGTATGCCCAGGACAGCAGAGGAGCTGCAGAAACTTTTGCCAGGCGTAGGAAAGTACACTGCAGGGGCTATTGCATCCATAGCATTTGGCCAGGTAAAAAGACTTTCCTTTGGGTAGGGAGATTTCCTTTAAGACACTTACCTGTGGGAAAGAAGCAGCAGATTTTGTCTTGCTACTCTCACTGCTGCCAAATCACTTTCCCCCCACCCTGCCAGTAGCTGTCAGATAAGCTGAGAGAGGCTAACTGTGGGGTGAAGACTGATCTCTTCTGAAGAGTAACACTTCCTCCAGTCCATCAGGCAGTTATCTGCAGACTGGGAGAACAATTTAAACAGGGAGCACAAGAATGGCTCCTTACAGCCTGCCAAACAGCTCCATGAAGCTCTTTAAGGGGGAGGGTGCTTTTTGGCACTGGGAAAAGCTGGGGGCCATGCTGAGTAGCTGAGAAGGTGAGGTTTGGGAGGCTCCATGCAATCTCAGCACTCAGGACAGATCTTAAAGTTCCCCGTCCCCACATGCTGTAGAAGCCAAAAGGAAGTGGGAGAAAGAAGACTCTGTGTGTGCACAGTCAAGAGTGGAGGGCAGAGGTGAAAGTGTGCCTGAATGAATATAAGAGGAAAGGGGTGAGAGGGATAGCAGTCCTGGTCTGACCCACTTTCCTTTTGGCTGCACCCATCATTGGCATGCAGCACTCTGTGGCCAAAAAGTTGCCCGTGCCTGAAAGATGGCATCCTGCATTGAGTTGCCTTGCCTAGTCTAGCTGTGTGAGAGGGAATCCTCTGCCAGGCCACAGCTCTGTGCATTTTGAAAGCCATTTGCAGCTGAAGGCCATTCTGTTGGTGTCCTTCAATATAATGACTAGGTCCCTCATTTGCTCCCTGGTAGGACTGAAAGGGTTCAGAATGTGAGAAGATTAAATGCTTTCGCACAAGAATGGAAGCATTTTTAAAGAAAATGGGAGCTATGCTTTTTCACCTTTACTCGGATGACTGAAGGTAGCTTCCCTGAGGTCACATTATGAGTTTATGGCAGAGGCAGCATTTGAACCTGATTCTTCCTGATTGGTAGCTTTGTCACTAAGCTACATGAGTTTGTTGTGGATTTTCAGAAAGAACTCAGGATAGGTGGAGTAAAGTCCTTTGCCATAATTCTGTTCTTCAGAAGTTCAGTTTGATTTGGGACACAGTCTGCTCTTAGATGTATGAGCCGTCTTCTAGCTGTTGCTTGAAACCATGTTCTCACAAGTACATTAACAACTGGTTTTTGTTTTGTTTTTTGGTCCAACACACTCAGGTGACAGGTGTGGTCGATGGGAATGTCATCCGAGTCTTAAGTCGTGTGCGAGCTATTGGGGCTGATCCTGCCAGTTCAGTTATTGCTGAAAGATTTTGGTGAGGGAAGGAACAGGGTTGTACTGGTTGGTGCATGCACAGGTTCAGGCATGAATATGGAAAAGGATAATTACTGGAAGGAAGATAAAAAGATTTGATTTTTAGCCCCATCTGAAATCCAAATAGGAGAGTAATACAGCCGGGCAAGATCCAGGCAGTCCCTAAATGCAAATGGAGGGCTTTTACCTAGCCTTCTCTCAGTAATGGCATAGTAAAAGATTCTAGGATCTAGCTTGTTCCACAGACAGAGAGATGGAACAGAGAGGTTTGAACCCTAAGGTCCAAAGCATGTTAATTCTTGCATTGGTATGAAGATCGACAGCACGAGGAAGGAAGGAGATTGAGGATAAATAATTAACTCCTTACTTGAAAGGAAATTCCATTCAAATTAATGGAACTTAGTTTGAATTAACACGCTTAGGATCAAATTAAACATTCCTTTAGAAGAACTAGAGACCATAGAGGAAAACAGAGTGCAGAGTTTTTAGAAATACTGATGGTTCTTATATTGGACATTAATCACCCTATAACACTTCAGATTGCACTGCTTTAACAAAGTGCTGTTCACAGGTTTTCTAAGTTTGTTCAGAACTAAAGGACTAGATGCTGTCTCTAGAAAATGAAAGGAGGCATTCTTAAAATTATCTGTTTTCAAATTGTGTGGTAGACAAAATATGCATGTCATGTCAGATTAATTCCTAGACACCTCTCTAAAGGTAGGGAGGTGACAGCCACCTTTCTATTCCATTTTTACAACTGGGCATTGCCACCATCTGCAGTCCCAGGACAAAATCAGTATTTCTCTTCCTCAGTCTTATGTCACACAGAGCCCTACTAGATACATTCCTGTGGCTCCTCCATCATATTTGCAGTGGTGGACAGAGGAGAATGTTACAGCCTATTCCCCTGGACACATCTGGGCTGTTTGCTAATGGATACTACTGTTGATCATAGGGCTTTAGCACATGCTCTGGTGGATCCGACCCATCCAGGAGACTTTAACCAAGCGATGATGGAATTGGGAGCAACTGTGTGCACTCCCAAGGCACCGCTGTGTGCAGAATGTCCTGTGAAGCAGCACTGTAGAGCTTATCACTGGGTAAGGAGGGCCTTTACTTTTTATTCTCTATGTTCCCCTAGCTTGTTTTTCTGTGGGGTTAGCTTAATATCTGCTACTCTTTTTTGAGAGGCTTGCTGTAGTCACCTAACATCTTAGACAAAACAGTCTTCAGTCCTGTTGCACGCACGCATGTACACACTCATTTACTGTGCATGTTTAGACCGAAAAAGTCCCGGTATTTCCCAGCCAGCATGCTTACTTGGAAGTCAATGTGTTCAATGGGCTTTGTTCCCAAGTGTGTTTAAGATTGCAACATTTTATGTATTTATCTGGGAGTAAATCCTATTGTATTTAGTTGGACTAAGATTACATTGGTAATCTAAGAAATCCACTAGAGGTGGCTTTGCTAATGAGGTTTGTGTTCTATCTGAAATGACAGAACCTTCCCAGTCTCATCCATAGATCTATATTCAATTCATCATTGTTCTTGAAATGTTGTGTGTATAATATACATCCTGTTATGACTTGGGCTTGATTTCAGCCTTGAAATCATGTCTAATATTAGCATAGGGCTTAAAGTGAGCACAGGAGTACTGGGGTTTTCAAAGAAACCTCAAACTGGTGCAACCCCCAGCCCCTCCTCAACGTTGGTGTTTACTGGTGTCTGAAACCCCTTGCAGGTGGAGAAGGATCTGGTAGGCTCTACCAAAAGACTTCTAGGAAAAACTTCTTCACAGTGCTCTCAGATGGTGGATGTAGAAGAATGTGGTATGTGCTGATTAGGATGCTTGTTTGTGGATGTTTTATTTCCATAAAGTTTTATAAAGGAAGGAAAACATTTGGATCTTCATCCCTAACAAATCTTTGTATGTGTATCTGGCGGTCGGTCAGCATCTGGAGGTCAACAAGCAATACATTCTTGATTTCCCTGAATATCTCAGGCATTGACTATAATAGAGTGCCAGATTGTTCCAGAGCAGATGAAAAAAACTTGTAGATGTTCAGGATGTAGGCTTATATCAGTTGTGCTTGATTTGTTAGAACTGAAAAGTTGACCTTAGAAAAAGACTGTTCCACTCTACAGGAATGTGTTTCACAGTAGTATTCACATCTGCATAAAGCCACTGATTGAAAGTGTCTTTAACACTGAAGTGAGGCCTGCTTTTAAAAATCCATGATATACTGAACTAGTGTCTAAAGTCGTGGTCTGATGGATGAGGAGTGGCAAACTGATGCAGTTTCTCACAGTTAACTTAACCATTGTGGAGGCTGGTATGATTTGCCATATGTAAGCTTTGCTGCCATTGGATGAGCAACATAAGAGCAAGCCAGGCCTTCCTGCCTTAGACCACTAGAAAGATGTTTCACGCAGTTGTCTAGAACTGTCTGCTGCCGGTGGTTCAAAACCTGCTCCATTCTTCTCCTTTGTAGATAGCAGCACAGGCAACTGCTCCCTCTGCCTGCCTCCTTCAGAGCCGTGGGAGCCCAGCCTTGGTGTGACCAACTTCCCCAGGAAAACCACCAAGAAGCAGCCCAGAATAGAGTGTACAGCCACCTGTGTGCTACAGAGGGGATGTTGTGATCAGCAACCAGAGTATCTTATTGTGCAGAGACCCAGCTCAGGTAACCAGGTCAGGCATCTAATGAGTAATGATTGTTGCTCTCACACAGTTGGGCAAATTTGGATGGTAATTGTTCAGTCAACTCAAGGTATCCTTGTGTGTCAGAAAGCACATTACAGGAAAGGATTGCTTTGTTCGTAACATTTAAGTTTTTCCTAGGAGGAGGCAGCCAGTTTTTCTATGCTTCAACATAAAACTGAGGCTTGCTGAATCAGACTAAAGGCTTATCCAAGCCAACCTTTTCTACACCCACAAGTAGGTCATGAGTACAAAAGCTGTTTGTACCCAGCAACTGAGGTACTAGGAATACTGCCTCTGATACTGGAGGGAATATATAGCCATCATGACCAGTAGCCATTGATAGCCTCATTCTCCCTGTATTTATTTGATGCCCTTCTAATGCTATTTAAATTGATGACCATCACAATATTTTGTGTCAAAATCCATGGTTTAATTATGAGCTGTGTGAAGAATTGTGTCTTTTTAGGTGTCCTGAGTCTCCCACCCCAATCCAGGATGAACCTGGAATCTAGTATTATGGGAGAAAGAGCAAAACATTTCTTTATGCACTCTGTATACAATGCATAATTTTGTACACAGCTACACATAATTAACTTTCATACATATAATTTTCTGTGTGTCCTATTGATGACTTTGACCAGGAGGCTGCAGAGTATGACTGTCCACTATATCAAAGAGTTCTATTTATCTGTTTGGCCATTCTGGGTAATATCCTGTGGCATGGACATGCTGAATGCTCTGAGACTTCATTGAGCATTTTCTCAGCACTTGAGAAGTTTGCGCTTCAGCTGAAATACAAGAAAGCAAACAATTATTTCAAGCAATGTTTCCCTTGTACTGGCCAAGACAAAGAACATTCATCCCTAATATAGACATGTACCATAAGAGCATAGCTTAGTTGCTATGAAAATAGTCTTGCCTAAAAGCATGCTTTGTCTGCTTGATAGAGAATAGCTATACTTAAATAAAATAATTTAGAGTGTGTGTGCATGCATGCACATGTTTGTAATGCATTTCTTAAATAAGTTGTAGACTTTCCTGAGAGAGTATACAACTGCCCTCTCAAGGAGACTTGCGTTATCCCAATAATTTGATTGAAGTTGAGAGTCTGCAGTTTTCCTGAAGAACACTAAGCTCATGCCTTTAGCTGATTTTTGAACTGGGATTTCCAGCTCCAGCTGTTAGCTACCATGATACATTGGTTCATGCCTTTTCTTCTAGGCCTACTGGCAGGACTGTGGGAGTTTCCCAGCCTCCTCCTCAAGCCAGGGCATCAGAATCAACAGAAGGCCGCCCTGGCAAGTCACCTCCAGACCTGGGTTGGAATTGATGTGGCCGTGGGGCACCTGCAGCCTGTTGGAGAGGTAAATCCCAAATAAAGGAGCAGCAATTCAAAGTGTCCGGATGAGCCATGGCTGGAAAGCCTCAGTGTCTCCTAACAAGCTTCTCCCATTCTAGCTTAGCTCTGTACAGCATTCAGAGGCTGCCTGCACTTAGAGCAGTGCTAGCAGCAGAGGCTCTGCTTTTGTTGACAGCTGTGTCAAAGCTTCAGGGTGTGTGCCCATGCATGGAGCTGTTTTGATGTACTTTATGGAAAAACAGATGTTACATTTCAGAATTGGTAGGTGGAAAGTTGAAAGCACATAATCAGCAGTGAAATTAGCTCCCAAATCTAATTACATGCATTAAATTTTTAAAAAACAGCTGTAATACACAGACTTCACAGATACCCTCACTCTCAACCATTCAGTGTCAATGTTATCCTTACACTGCCATAAGCTGTGGTTCCATACATCACTTTCTCCAGTTTTTGTTCCGACTCCACTTCCAGAAACAAGGTGGATATGTACCTACAGTTCCTTGTCTCAAAAGTAGTGATGGATGAAGATTGGAAAGGGGAAGGCCATTAGCTCCTCTCTCTCAAAAATTCCTCGTGTTCAGCCTCCTTTTCTCCATGCTTTCACATATCCACAAGTCTTTGTCTCCATCAGGTTCTCCACATCTTCTCCCACATCCGCCAAACATACAAGATCTATTTCTTGAACTTGGACAAAGAGAAGGGTAACTGGAACGAGGTGGTGGAGCTGCCAGCATCTCGCTGGGTGACCAAAACAGAATTCCAGAATTCTGCAACCTCCACAGCCATGAAGAAGGTACTGAGAACCTAGGGCCCAGCCACTTCAAATCTCCCAGTCGACCACCATGCATTTCTCCTAGAAAGATGCAAGGCTGAGGGCACCAACAACACAGAATATTAGCTATGGAACCTGAAAAATGCATGTTTCATACCACTAGGGGTATGGCAATACATACCTTTCAGGGAGAGAATGACTGGCTCTCTTTCAGCTGCTTTTCTTATTTGAACATTGTCTGCTCAGTCACATCGTCTTTGTGCCAGTGGCTCAAGCAGTAGGTGCTTCCAGGGGGCAACTGATAGTTTAAAATTGTCCTGTGTGTAAATAGATGCAGCTGTGACTCCTAATGTGGAAGAGATGGTGTTAACACCCAGCCCTATGCAAAGTCTGATTCTCCAGTGTCCCCTGGTGTGCAAGTTTCTCCAAAGACCTTCACATACTTAGCACTAAGGCTGCAAGTGTGGTTGGCTGAATGCATTTACAGGTCTGTTTGCAATAGGAAACCCTGCTATATCTGTTTGTGTTCACTTGATAGTACTTATCCCCACCACCCCCCGGCAGCCTTTCACATTCCATTTGCAAGAGTCTGTGGAAAGTTCGGGCTTGCATGCACATCCTCACAGCAGCCACACTAAACATGGGCAGGTCAAATGGCTGCATAAGCCTACCATGTACTTTGTATGGTGCCAGTTGTGTTTTGGATGTGTCCTAAGAGGTGTCCTACATTTTCAGGTGTTGAAAGCTTATGAAAATTGGAGCTCTAAAGTCAGTGCTGCAAAGGTAAGTTCTCCTTTTGCTAGGTCCTGTAATTCTCTAGAGCTCCCTGAATGTTCCTAGCATAGGCTTGGCCTTTCCTCTACCCAAGTCCTGGAAAATGGTCCTGAGTGTTTTAGGCTATCTGCCAGTTACACGTCCTTCCAGCCACACTGGGTGGATCCTAGCAGTTTGGGTCTGCCCCCAAAGAAGGTGCTTAACAATGCCAGGCAGGAGGATGGCGTGTGTAGGCAGTTGCGAAGGCTTCTGTGTTAAATACTTAATGCATATGTGACTGTACAGGTTGCAAAGAGGAAACGAGACGTTCTGTGCGCCAGTCAATCAAAGCCAAAAGAAGAGAGCAGGTGTTCCAAAAGGCAGCTTTCCCTGGATTCATTTCTGGCAGTCTCTCCCAAGAACTGAGCTGCAATCTTGCTCCTCTGTCTGACTGCAGATGGAGAGGAATATGCATCCTTCCACTCTCACCTGTGCTGTATAGTACTTGGAAGCACCACTAGTGCCTCCGTGAGATGCTCCTCACTTGAAGACCTTGGGATTCTATCTGCAACCTTTTGCCCAGACAGTGAAATCTGCCTACCTGTTGTTATGCAACATGATCTACTGGAGTCCAGTGCAGCAGGGTGAATCCTATTTTTTCTGCTGCATTTCTGCACCCACTGCCAGATGCATATTATACTTTCAGAGATGTGGGCCTGGGTCTTCCCCAAAGGTATGTAGAAGGAAACAGCTGTGGCTGCAGCAAACACACCACAAGATGGGTGACTAACACTGTTCTTTAACATTTTCCCACAACTCTGGCTGTTCCAAAGAGGGTAGATTTTGGCTTCATTTCAGTGTGTGATACAGTGAACAAAGTGAAAGTTTTTTAAAGTATGTGGGATAGACTGGCAAGGGTGGGCTGAGCCCACATCCATTCTCTATAAGCTACCAAGCAAAAGACTCCAGCAGATTGCCTTGGACTGCCTCCTTTAGTGTTCTTTTCTTAAACTGATTTCTTAAGGCAAGTAATAATTACCATTTGCCTGATAGTTGTTTGCTTGCTTATGTATGAGACAGTGTCTTACTGCTGTACTAAATGGTAGCATTTCTGTAGTTCGCTGGTTAATTTACAATGCCCTGTTTTAACTCGTTTTCCTAATAAAGTTTTAATCAATTTTGGTAAGTTTTTCTTCTCTCTGGTTTCTGCATCAGACATATGGGCTCTGTGGAGCATGTTGTTGGGAAGATTTTATAGCTGAGGGCATTTTGGCGGGAATCCCTCCCTCACTGTGGTGTTCAGTATAAATGAGAGAAGTTCCCACCTCTTCCCTCAGTTCTTCAACCACCTTCTGTGGTGCCTCAGGAAGTTCTTTTTAACTTTTTTTTTCTTTTGAACATTTCTGTTCTTTTTTTCATTTTATTTCTACACTGTTACTCTTCACGTGCCAATTTCTACTTTCTTCTACTTATTTCACCTGTGTGTGAGGGATGTTCTGAGGGACTTTTTGTCAAGGGCATATGTCTGAAAGAGGCACGAAGATCATCTTTTCATGCTGGATTAAGGTACAAACTGTCTAAAAAGACTCTGAGTTGGCTAATGAAGCCAAAGAGCCACTCCTTCTGTGATTCTGGTTCTAAACATGGTCTAATGTTTAGAGAGCCAGTGTGGTGTAGTGGTTAAGAGCATGGGACTGGGACTCAGACGATCTGGGTTCTAGTCCCCGCTCAGTCATGAAGCCAACTGGGTGACTTTGGGCCAGTCAGACTCTCAGCCCAACCCACCTCACAGGGTTGTTGTTGTGGGGATAAGATTGAGAGGAGGAGAATGATGCCAGCCTCTTTTTTCTTACAAGAAAAACGCAGGATGTAAATCTAACACATACATAATCCACATTGCCAGTTTGCCTCAAATGGCGAAGGAGCCTGTGCCTCCTGCAACCGTGGCCCTAACCATGAGTTTTAGTTGTATGTTCGTAACAATTATTGAGCTGTACCTGCTTCCCCAGAGTGACTATATTATCCACACTTACGTTGAAAAGTTTGTCTCCTTGATTCCTTGGGACCAGCTTACTGGTACCTGAACTGTTATGGCACTTGACAAGGAAACAAGTCAGCTCTATTAAAAGATGTGGAATCTACAGGTTGTCCCTGGGTTAAGAACATGTTCCTGATATTGTTCTTAAGTCGAATTTCTGTGTAAGTCAGATCACAGGTGTAAGACAAATGTTTGTCTTAGTGTATGTATATATTTTACCTTTCTATGCATATAAAACACTTAAACACTTCCACATTCACTAAAATATCTTAAAACACAATACAGCCTTGTATCATAATATAGTATTATTATTATTATTATTATTATTATTATTATTATATTTCTATGCCGCCCCTTGCCGAAACCTCGGGGCGGCTTACAACACGATAAAATACAATGAAATACAATAGCACATAAAAATTACCATTAAATACAAAGTACAAAAAATACATTGGTTTACAAATATAAGATTAAAATTATCAGTATAACTTAAGTAAATAAAAATATAGGAGGAGAAAGAGAAGGAAGAAGTTGCCCTGGCCAGATCATATGTTTTAACAATTCAAATGATGTTTAAATAAAAAGGTCTTTACCTGGCGCCGAAAAACCAGTAACGACGGTGCCAGGCGGACCTCTTTGGGGAGTGAATTCCATAGGTTGGGTGCCACCGCAGAGAAAGCCCTCCTCCGAGTACTTACTCTCCTAATTTCTTTCATGGAGGGTTCCCGGAGAAGGGACTCTCCCACAGATCTCAAAGGGCGGTCGGGCATATACGGACGTAAGCGTTCGTTCAGGTAGCCAGGACCCAAGCCGTTTAGGGCTTTATAGGTCATAATCAACACCTTGAATTGGGCCCGGGCTTCAATGGGAAGCCAGTGAAGCTGACGGAGGACTGGAGTCATGTGAGCATAACGCCCCGTCCCCGTCAGCAACCTGGCAGCTCTATTTTGCACCAATTGAAGTGTTCGGACTGTCTTCAGGGGAAGCCCCACGTAAAGCGCGTTACAGAAGTCTAGGCAGGAAGTCACCAGCGCGTGTGTCACCGTCGCCAGGCAGTCGAACTCCAGGTAGGGGCGCAGCTGATTAATCAGCCAAAGCTGAAGGAAGGCGTTCCTCGCCACCGCTGTCACCTGAGCTTCCAAAGAAAGCTCTGGGTCGAGGAGTACTCCTAGGCTGCGGACCTTATCCCTAAGAGGGAGTGTTGCACCATTCAGGACCAGGTCAAATCCACCCTCTCCGAAACCCGATCCGCCAACCAACAGGACCTCCGTCTTGTCTGGGTTGAGTTTCAGTTTATTTGCCCTCATCCATTCCCTTACCTCGGCCAAGCACCGGTTCAGCACAGCCACTGCCTCACCTGGATTAGTGGAAAACGAGAGGTAAAGCTGGGTATCATCAGCGTATTGATGATTCCGCAGCCCACACCTCCTGATGACCTCTCCCAGCGGTTTCATATAGATGTTAAATAGCAGAGGGGATAGAATGGAGCCCTGTGGTACTCCATGGCATAGCTGCCATGACGTAGGGACATGGTCCCCCAGCACTACCTTCTGGAATCGACCGTCGAGATAGGAGCAGAACCACTGCAGAGCAGTGCCTCCAACCCCCAATCCCGCAAGTCTATCCAGAAGGATACCATGGTCGATGGTATCGAAAGCCGCCGAGAGGTCCAGAAGAACCAACAGGGATGTACTCCCCCTGTCCTTCTCCCTGCACAGGTCGTCGTACAGGGCGACCAAGGCAGATTCAGTACTGTACCCGGGTCTGAAGCCGGACTGAAAAGGATCCAGATAATCAGTTTCATCCAAGAGTGCTTGGAGTTGTCCCGCCACCACTCGCTCCAACACCTTGCCCAGAAACGGGATGTTGGCCACAGGTCTATAGTTAGTGGCCATCTCTGGATCCAGTGACGCTTTCTTCAGGACCGGTCGTATTACCGCCTCCTTTAAAGGGGCAGGCACTCGACCCTCCCTCAGAGAAGCGTTAACCACTTCCAAGATCCAGGTCCCAATCCCGTGCTTGGAGTTATTTATTAATAGTACTGTATCATAATATATAGTAATAATACTATCATAATATAGTAATAATAAAGTAACTACAGGAACTGGAGAGAGAGAGAGAGAAAAAAAATAAGGATTTGTGTAGGTATACAGTATTAAAACAATTGGCCTAACTTGCCTCTTATGCATGGCTTTATATACTTTTAAGCTTCATTTTCCATCCATCTTTAATTTTAATGTGTGCCCAACAGAAAATAACTTTGATCTTTAAAAGTGACTTACCAGTCCCTCATTATCTTCCAAAGTGCTCTGATAGTGGGCTGCTAGACCAATATAGTCCAGTACCTGCTTATTACATTCAAAACCCTTTAATTCATGGAGAATTAGTCTCAATGGGTCCATGTATAGGGGGAGAGCTGGCTGATCATTTCTTGAGCTTCCAGTTTCAGTTCCTGATGGAGCACAAGGCTTATGTGGAAGAGGGGGCAAATGTGTTGTCAAAGGTATTGATGAGCTCTTGGAGAAGGTGATAGCATTGGTCTAAGGAAATGGGTTTCCATGACTATCTCTAGGGAACTATGCAGCCACTAATGACATGTTGCCAAACACATTGTGTAGTTACCTATTCACAGCTTTTTGCGAGAGATACTCCAATAGGATTTATGGCAGTCCTCACATTGGTATGTACAGGTTGCACATAACCCAGACATTTGTAACCTGAGGACTATCTTTACCAGTATGTGCCACTTTACATATACATAAAAATGTACTTACTACTTCTTAGTATTTACACACTACTTCCCTGCCCCCATGACCCAAAAGTTTGGCTTGGAAATAAATGTGTGTTGCAGATTCATTTCCAGCTAAAGCAATTTGAAAAACACATTAGGAAGACATCTAACTGGGATATGCCAAATGATCCTCTCTGTAAGGTACAGGTTGCTGAATGCTGTTGCTTCCCCATTATGGGGACGTCATTGGACAAGCATCAGCATGACATTCCCCTTTTCCATTTCAGGTTTTCCAAGCACCTTTGTCACTCGGTGCCCAAATCCAAATAGGAGTTACAATCATATCTCTGTGCTTTTTGTACATTTGTCTCACTTGTTCTAGCAGGCAGAAGCTTGTTGATGAAGAAATATTTCTGTTTCCAGAACTGTTAAACAAGCAAGATGGGAGTATATTGGGTTCCACCTAGCAAAAAATCAGGTACATCGTACTTCACATTTGGACAAGAAAAAGTGAGGCAAGGTAAGTGTTTGAGAGGGGAAAGAAAATAGTCTGTATTGTCTTTGTAGGGTTTCTACAAAAACAAAATTTTCCTTTACATCAACACTCCAGCTGTACAACAGATGTACATGCAGCTGTTAATATACAAATAATACATTACTACTTGATAAGTAAATAACCATACATTACTAAAGTAAAAGTAAACCACCCAGAGAGCTTCAGCTATGGGTTGTATAGAAATAAAATAATAATAATAGGAGAAAATATTGGGCCTTCTCTCAGAAAAATCTAGGGTTGCTTTAGGCTTGGGAAGAACCTTGAGGGAATTACCAGGGCAAGTGTTTAAAAATCCCTAAAGCTTCCATTAGCAACATGGTTTGGGGAGTAGTAAGAAAGCATAATGACAAGAGGAATTTGGAGGTATGACCTTTCCTCAGAATTGTTTACCCTTCTAGATTATTGTAGAATTACTAATTCTATCTATAGTAGTGTAATTTTTGGAATGTTTTTATAACCCAACATCATGTGTCTGGATCTACAAAGCCACAAGATTCCCCAGTTGTTTCTTGTTGTTTTTCTAGTTAACAGACCAAACTGCCTGTCCAAGTAACAGCACGTTTTATAGAGTGTAAAGGGCTAGAAGCAGTACAGGGGAAAATAACATTTTCTGTTAGGAGCACTGTAAACTGCAGTGGACTGCTAAAGACGAAAACAATCTCTTCGGAGTTTAAGGTGGGAAAAGTATAGAAGCTCAGTGTTCTCAATGGCAATTGAAAATAATTCATTGGAATAGCAACTGACTTATTTCAGACTCAGCCACCAGGTTCTAACAAAATGTAGGATTTCCTGCAAACAAATCATTTGAAGGTACCAGTATTTGCCCCTTTTCAGGGCAGAAATTCATGTCAAACTTTAAGGACTTTGTGTTGCAGTGCTAAAAATGGCTAGCTGAGTTGTCCAGTGAACAGCACATCACATCCAGTGAACAGCACAGAGAGCCAGTGTAGCGTAGTGGTTAAGAGCATGGGACTGGGACTCGGAGGATCTGGGTTCGAGTCCCCGCTCAGCCATGGAGCCAACTGGGTGACTTTGGGCCAGTCACAGACTCTCAGCCCAACCTACCTCACAGGGTTGTTGTTGTGGGGATAAGATGGAGGAGAGATGATGTAAGCTGCCTTGAGCCCTTTGTAGGAAAAAGGCAGGATATAAATCACAATATAAATAAAATAAATAAAAAATCTATACACATGTGTTTGAGCTGAGGCTGCTGTTGCAATGCTTCTTTGCTATATTTAGCTCACATCAGAAATATACACACATTCTACAGAGATGATGCATCCAATTCAAAGGATATTTTTACAGGAGTGTCTGTATGCAATCTAGGTCAGAACACTTGTGCATTACATGAGAACCAACCCCACAGGAGGAAGCTTGGAGCAGCACCCACACCACAAGTCTAATGCATACACTGAGCTCGTATCTCATATAATAGAATGCTTGAGCTCATAACTACTGCTGGTCCATATGGTCTTGCACAGATTGCCAGAGAGCACGGACATTTCCCTCACCAAAACCTCTAGCCCTGCATCGCTGTATAAGTTCCAGAAAGAAAGTCTCCTCTGTGAAGAGAGGCTCAGTGAAGATTTGCATCAGATATGGCTTCCTATGAAAGCCAGGGCTGCTGCTGCTTCCTTCCCCATCTACCTCAGCATCCAAAAGGATGCCATTGTCCTTCAAGAACTGAAGATCCTGCCCAGCTCGCCATATCTCCTGTTCCTTATTTTTCTGATTGTAATAAGATGAAGGTGGTTTGAAAAAATTCACCCCAGACTTTATCATGGTTGCAGCGGTACCCACAATGTCTTTGGTGTACAGTGCCACATGCTGGATGCCAGCTCCACCATGCTGCTTTAAGAAAGTATCGACCTGGTTGTTCCCGTGCTCTGGCAATGACTCAGCCAGAACAAATTTGCAGTCATGATCAGGTGAAGTAAAGCCATTTCCATTGTATTGCATGGCAGTAAGACGAAGGCCCACTCCAGCCCCCTGGATTCTGTAGCCTTCAGCAGCATTGTCTCGCTGATGAATAAGGAAGCGGTGAAAGCCAAAACAGTGCTTGTACCAATTCAGCACTGCTTGTGAAGTACCTTGAGGACAAGCATAGGTGATGTGATCAAAGCGCATGACTTCCCTGGGCTCCTGGAACTTCTTGGGGGCACCCTCCACAACATGGAACCCTGGCAGGAATGGGCCACAGTACTCCGATCGGTCAAGCAGTGTGTGGCTGACATTGCCCACGATGGATCTCACCACAGAGTAAGTAACATGCCCCACTTCATCTGTTACAGTGGTTGGTGGGATGAGAATCTGGCAGCCTCGTTCCTGTAGACTTTGGGAAATGCCAGGTACATCCTCTGTCTCAAAGCAAATATTGGATGCTGTACTGACTATATGCTGCAGATCCACATCATAAAGGATCCCTTTATCCTTACAGTTGCCACAAGATGATACAGGTGGAACTTCTCCCCCTACTGGCTTCAGCTTTTCATTGACAAGGAAAACCACATCTCCTCTTCGGACAGCCAGCTGCCTGCTCCATTCTGCAATTCGTGAAGCAAACAACTCAAAGCCAAACTTGTGTACCAGGTTGCTGACCAACTGTTGTCCCTCATGGACATGGAATCCAACATGGCACAAGCGGTTCAGAAGAGCAGACATAATGCAATGGTGGCTAGCTGAAAACCCAGTTGTGCTGGTAGATCTACAGAAACAAAAAAGAAAGCCTCAGTGGTTGGGAACTAGAGGATAGAAAGGACTGAGATAGAAAGTGGGAACTCTGCTGCTCCAGGAAATGTGTTGTAGAGCCAAACTGCCCCTTACAAGAATTATCCAGTGCATAGCTTAGCCTGATTCTTTTATTTACTGTAGTGACAGTGGCTGGGTTTGCACATTATGATAAACAATCCTACCACAGTTTGCTGTTTTTTACCTTGATGTGCCTGACATCACATTTCTCCAGCTATCTCCTCCCCTATCAGTCCTCCAGGCAATATCCCAGGAGACACTGAAACGAAGGATGTGGCTCTTCCCTTTGACAGCCACAATCGTGAGCCAATTTTGGCTTAGTGGTACAAACAGGGTTCATGCCCTGAATGCAGCAGAGAAGACAAGGAGCCCACTGGAGCACGGCTCATGCCTGATCCATGCTCCAGCAAAAGGAGAGTGAATCAGCTGGGCAGTATTACAGAAAGGAGCAGTGCTGCTCAGCTGCAGCCCCTCCTGCACACACACATGGGACATCACTCACAGAAGAAACAACTGAATGATGGTGTCCAGTTGGTGGCAGCACTCCTCAACTGACTGCACTGCTCACCGCTTTTTCTCATTCCCACTTGGCAGAGAGGTGTCCCCAACTGGGCATCCACCCAAGCATCTGTCTTGTAAGTGGAAACAATGTGGCTAGCATGATGATCAGCTGATCAACCATTCCTGCCCCAAAGAAAATATTTAGGACAGGAGCCAGGCAGAGTGGAGACATCTCTGTCAGCTGCACAAAACAGCAGCTCTCTGTGGCGCTCTGTCTCGCAACAGACCATGCTTGTCAAGTGGCTCTCAGGCGCTGGTCTTGGGACCATGATGAGTTGTGCTTTCCAGATTCAGAGAACACAGCAAGCTGTCATGGATCCAAAAAGACATAGAATAGACTTGTTTCTCTCTATGGTTTCTAAACACCCAACATACCAGACTGAAATACAGTGGTACCTCGGCTCACAAACGCCTCAGTTCACAACCAAATTGGGTCACGAACAGAAATTTCATAAAAATTTTGCTGTAGGTCATGAACTCCACATCAGGTGACAATCGTGATCGCGCCTGCCTTCCCTCCCCAGGCACGATTGTGGTCGTGCTGGGAGGGGGAGATGGCTGTGATCCCACCCGTCTCCCCTGCAAGAGTGCACCCGCAATCGCACCCATCTCCCCCCCCATCCCCAAGCACGATCCCGCCCATCCCCCCCCGCAGTACGATCGTGGGGGGGGGGAGATGGCCACAATCTTTGTTGTTGTCACTTCACTTCAAATTTTTGTGAGTAAAAAAAAAATAGTTACAGAACAGATTAACCTTATTTACATTGAACCTTATGGGGAAATTTGACTTGGCTCACAACCAATTTGGGTCACGACCAGAGTCCTGGAATGGATTAAGTTCATGAGCCAAGGTACTACTGTATTATGCAGGGTTCAGATAACCAACAGACAATCAATGGTGAAAAACCTGTAGGCTCCTCCTGTCATGCAAATCTGCCCAATGTGTGTAATACATGCCCTCCACTAGCCTCCAGTCCACTATACCCGCTCTACTTTCTTCAACACCTTTACAACTCAATATAAGAAACTTTAATTCAAAATAATTAGGAACACAAGCTAGGAACCTAGGAAACTGTCCTCACAGTTAGGCCATTGGTTCGTTTTCAAGTGGCTAAGGTTCTCCAGGGCATGGACTCTGTGATAAGCTATAGCCCCTCCCCAACACTTAATTAAATGCCTTTTATCAGGGATCCAAAGGGTCATACACTTGCACTTCTGAGCTAGGGCTTCTCTCCGTTTTAACAGCCATCAACCATCCTGTAATATTCAGCCTGCAGGTAGTTAAAAAGGGTTTAAGCTAAGTTGGTTCCTCCCCACCCTGCTTTCATGAGGGTATTGTGAGGAAAAAGTCTTAACATTTATTTTTCTTGATCCCATTTTATAGATTGCAGTTGAGGCCAAGAGTCAATCAGGAACATGTATGCCAAAGGAATGACATACATTTTCATTACTGAATAGTTTAGAATGTTAGAAAATGCAGCTGATTCAAAAGTATAGCACGATACAAACTTATATTTACCACTTTTACTTCCTGAGAGTACAAAAGAAACTTGGAATATTTAATAATGAAAACATGGGAATCCAATTCAAAAAATAGGTCACTTTATGATAAAAATAGCTAATAATAGTTTAACAGACACACAACCTTACCCCATCCCATCTGAAATTAGGAGTGAATGAACAGCAGCTATTCCTTTATTCTTAGCATGATGAACTTTAGCGCAACATTCAAACTTTTCAGATTTCAAAAAACCAGCTCAATTTACAGTCAAACCTTGACTTCATGGGGATAACTTTCACGAATTTGATTATTCACAAGTTTGCCATCAATAATTAAATGGGAATTTTGGGGAGTTTTGCAACCTACTGCGCCACAGCCAGTCATGCAAGGAATGCTCCGCTCCCCAGCCACCACCATGGGGCCTGCCTAGAACAGTGTGCCACCATCAGCAAAGGCAGGGCAGGGCAGGGCAGGTGTGGAACTCCGGACTAGGCATGCAACTGTGCGTGAGGTCTAGGATGCAATGCAATGCAATGCAAGATGAGCTCCCCCTGGAGCGGGCCACATTCCAGCACTTTGCGTCTTGTTTTAAGCTAAGGGCTATTTCAATGGCAAAAGAGGTAATTGTAATGCGACTACCAGTACATATATGGTCCACATTATTAAGAATTAAGGTTTGGTGGGGGGCTAAAGATATTCACATTTTTCCACTTTTGTGAGGGTCCTGCACCCTAGTCCCCAAGAATGTGGGGGGTCAACTGTATTTAGGGGATGTATGTTCACAGAGAAAATAGTCCCACAAGTTCCAGCATGACCCAGCTAGCAACTGGCTGGAGCATGCTGGGGACTGTAGGCCTTCTGTCTAAATATGCATAGAATTGCACCCTTAATAAGCCATAAGAGGAAAGCACTGTGAAACATTATTTCAGAAAGATTCAATTTTAATTTCCTTTATTAGTGAAGAAAAGTGGGAAAGAATGCATCATTTCCTACTTTTTCCATCTCCCTTCATCCTGACCTTTTCAGTATTTCCCCCATGCCCTAATCCATCTTTCATCCTTTTCATTCTCCCTCCTCCACCCTCTTTATGCAGCACAGAACATCAAGTCTTTGTAACCACAAATTTGACATTGGTTTCCATGGCCAGCCAAAATGTGCAGGCCCCTATGCTTAACCATGGTTCAGTCCAGCAGGAGGAATTATTTCTTCAGAAAGAATTGATGCAATGAGATACAAAACATGATGTATGAACTTGGTAGGCTTGTGTAATGTCCAGAAAATCAGCATTCCAGGCTGTTTCCCCACAAACCTGGAAAGAGCACTGGGTATTTTGAAGTTCATTGCATCATTCTTAGCCAATCTTTAGGGGCATGTAATTTTGGTTGCTTTGGGTGCTTTGTAAGTAGCTAATGAATGCTAACTTTCCACTAGACTGGATGCGGCCAGCTACTGGAATATGTGTTCTTTTGATGGATGGTTCATTGTGTAACTGTCATCTAGTTCGGTAAGACTGAGATGTGTAACTTTGATTTGAATGCCTGCTTTTGTTCTCAGAAAAAGGGTTCTGGCTGTGAGTGTTTAGTTTAATATTTTACTTGTACTGTAAAACAGAGGGCTGTATCCAATGTTAGTCTCACTTAAGTCCCATCCATGTTATTTGCGTTATTTTAAAATGGGCTAGGACTGGCTAAGACTCCACTCTTCACCAATAGCTCAAGACATTCCCCTGTGGAATAAAACTACACCTATTTATCAAAAACAGCCATGCAGGTCCATTCCATTGCATTCCGGCTTCCTGATTTCAACGTGCATCCCCTAACCACACTCTTTCTGGCCACCTGAGGCCACTGTTGTATTTGAAACAAGTTCCACCTCCACGTGCTCAGTAAAAAACCTGCTTACAAATTATTCTTTTGAGTAGATGCCCGAAGAGTTATTAACACAAGAGAAGAAGCATATGGTATTTTAAAACCATTTTACTTACTCCGTCCTTTTAAGAATTTTTAAACAGTAACTATTAGATTTTCATACCGAAAAAGGGGAGCTCTTGTTTGTCTTCAGAAAGCAGAGACCTATTTTATCCGCGTTATACCTCCGTTCTCCAACTGAGCCAATATTCCTGCTGAACACGCGCCAGCCCACACATCAGCTCCCTGAATAGGAAAAATGGCATTTCTCCAGATACGCACGCTTTTCCTGCTAAGAAAGTTTAATAATTTCTCCCACCCCCACGAAGCCAGAACGGTTTTGCTCGTTCTGGTTTTTTGGTGCACACGCCACCCCTTCCCTTTCCCCCCGTTAATCTTGCCTCGGTGCTCCCGCTTCGCCCGGGCGTCTTTGATGTGTGTTGGCGATGCGCTGCACGCGACAGGCAACCGAGCTCCTCTCGCCTCTGGCTCAAGCCACGAGGAGTTCCGAGGTAAGAGGTCGGAAGCGGAAGGAAGGGAAATTGGGGTTGGGGGGTATTCCTCAGGAACAGCTGCTGGCCTTCCCTGACGCATGCACTGGCAGTTTCAGATTGCAATGAGGAGGCACAAATGAATGAGACATTGTGTGTGAGGCGAAGATCGGCTGACATCTTGGAAAATCTCCCTTTCGCGCGCTCATGGCATCAAGGCGCAGCCTCCCACCCTCGACATCATCCAGTTGGCGTGGGGAGCCTGCATCCGGCCGTGCAACCCTTATGGTTTCCCGCACTTGCTTTACACTTGTGCACATGCAGTATATCATCGCCCTTTTAGCTACACAACGAAAAGGGGAGGAAGCAGAGGAGGAATTGCACTGCATCCAGAAGGGGGCCTTTTTTAAACAGGGGTTTTAGCACAACAGCCCCCTTGTGGGAAAACCCCCCCCCCCCCCCCCCCACTGGGGTAGGGCTGGGAAATAAGAAATGCAAAGCCAAGCCTCATCACAAGGAATGCCAGGATCAAAGTCAACACTCCCCCCCCCATCCCCACCTTTGCATGGCCTAGCAAGCGGGACGCATGCCAGAAGCAGAACAGAAGCCATTGATGGGACTTCAGCTCATGCCAAACAGCACTCTTCCTCAGCTTGCTGGCTTGGGGATGCTGGGAATTGCAGTCCAACACATCTGGAGGCACTCCAGGTTGGGAAAGGCTATAATTTACCCCCACAAGCCCAGGTATACACACCTAGCTGCATTTAAGGTCTCAGTCGCCTGATATCCTTGCTTCAAACCTCAGTAGACTCCAATAGACTAGAGAGGCTATATAATAGAGGCTAGAAAGAGACCACAGAGGGATACCTGAGGGAGCGCTGTGCCCACCAATCAGCAGCAGTGCTCCTTGGGACAATTGCCTAATTGCTGCATGGGCCAATTAGCCTTTTAACCCACCCTCTCCTCCAGCAACCTGTGTGACCATCCCATAGAGGCACCCCTATGTTTGGAGGACCAGTTATGCTGGTTATTTGGCCTATCATGCTGTTCTTTCTCAAACACCAAGATTCTGGGGCGGGGATTGCAAAATTTGCAACATGAGCATCCCCAGGGCAAAATGAAACAAAGAAGATCTTGTCAGAAAAAGAGTATGGCTCTCACCATCTCTTTTTCAGAAACAAAAATTATGTGTACCTTTGCTTTCTCTTGACAGTCTGCCTAATGATAGCTGCCAAGGGAAAGCAAAGGAAGAAAAACCTATTTGGAGCAATATCCAAGGTTAGTACCTGCTATATCTTGACAGAAAGTACCCACCAGGATATTGGCCCCACTAAGGCTTCAAATTTCCACAACTGCAAACCTCCACAGTTGCACAACTGAGGTCAAAGAAGAAAAAGAAGAAACCTGTATTTATACTTCATGTGTGCAAAAAAACCCCCAAACAAACAAAAACCCTTTAATGTCAAGCTGCTTTTTGTAATCCTCTTTCCCTGCAAAAAAAGGTAAATGGGGGCGGGGAGCCGCAACCAAAAATCTCTCATGATCACAGCAATGAGGGAGGCAGGCCAGTGCCAGCCATTAGCACCTGCCTGTGTTTGGATGGTCTCATAACATGGCTACCATAGCAGGAGGTTGCCCATTCATAAAATGGCTGCCATTGTGTGGCCAGTAACAAAATCTTCATTTCCTAGAAAGCAAACAAGTCAGCTGTAAGTACCAGGCAGACCCTGGATGTGAGATCCAAACTCACATCCAAAAAACTCCAAAAATCTTTGTAACTCTTTGGAGGGCAGCACCTCATTTTGCAGCATTTCATCTTCCCAGTGCAACTGCAACAAGAAATCTTAAGAAGTAAAATAACCATTAGAGGGGCAGAGAGCCTGGCAGGTGCAAAGAGAGTGTTAATGGGCACAGTGATGCCAACATGTACCACAGGAAATTCAGGCCCCAGTGCTGAAGCTCTCCCCAAAGCAGAAGCATACTGTGTTGATGCTCTGGTCTACCTTAAATTGTAACCATCCTGGGAGCCTTGGACTGAAGGCTGTCCTATAAATAGAGTAAATAGTGCCCTCCAGGCCATGGGCAGCAAGGTCCAGTACTATTGCACTAACATTTTTGGAATGAAACAACATGTCAGTAGAGCAAAGAGGAAGTTACTTTTTGATTAGGAATAGTAGCTGCATCCTGCTGAAAATTCACTCCCATTTCATATGTTACATATCTGTAGGGTCCAGTAGCTAAAGCTGTCTGGGTGGTTTACAAAGACTGAAACTTAACAGTACATTCTAAAACCATATTTGTACAAATATATAAACATAGGACATACAGAGGCATGCGCATGTGCGCGCACACACACATGATAAGCAATCAAAAAGAAAATTCAAGACTTGATTAAAACCTCATCATATGCTGCCGAATGCCTAGATGAAAAAAGACCTTAATTTGGCACTGGAAATATGGCAATGTTGATGCTACATGGGTCTCATTGGGAAATTATTATACAATTGGGAAGACACCACTGAACAGTCCCTGTTTCTCATTGGTGCCTTTTGAGCCTCTCTCAGAAGAGATGCAGGAGGAAGGAACATAGCATATGGGTAGGTTCATAACTGAGAGACGTGCTCCCCCTGGTATTGCAATCTGGCTCCATGCAAGGCTTTCTAGGTCAAAATCTGCACCTTGAATTGGGCTCGGAAACATACAGGCAGCCAGTGTAAGCAGGCCAGAATTGCTGTTATATGTTCAGGCCTTCTGGTCCTCATTATCACTGCCATTTGCACAAGCTGCCACTTCAAAGGCAGTCCCCCATGGGAATTTGAGGAATTTGTGACGGAATTGGAAGTGCAAACAAACTATCTCCATATTGTTAATAACCTCTGAAGCTCTCATCATGCAGTGGTGTTCTTAAACAAAAACATAAAATAAAAGGTTTAATGACAAGAGCAGCATGCTGCAAAGATACAAGAAAATGTATGCCTCCTCTGAAATATGCTGCCTGTAACAACTGCTTGCTTTTGCTTCATGAGGCTGGCCAACTTCTCATGCTAGCAGTGTATTTCTCAAGGGTAATGAAAACTCTCAGAGGGCTTTGAATTCTCCAGTGGGGTAGTGCTTTCCAGAACTCACTGCCTGGCACTGTATGGTATTTCTTCAGCTGCTTAATGCCTTGTCTCTGAATGAAAAACAAGCACTGCTGCGTGACTGGCAGTGGGAAGCACAATGTATGTTGCTATGAAATTCTCCAGGGACATCTCTGTGGGCAGCTATGCTTCAGCCAACCGCTTCTTTTCTTCCAGTGGGTGGAGTGACCTGGAAAGAGAGATAAAATGCTCGAGGGGCCAGCCTGGGATGGTTAGATCAGGAACATCAGAGAAGCATTAGGAAATGTTTCCTCAGAGGATGGAGTAGAACAACAGCTGGAGTCACCAGGAAAAAGGCAGAGTATCACCTTTTTGGGCATTCTGGGTGCAGATGGGTTGTGGAGGGAACGTTAGCTCCTGTCATGATGAGGTGGTCAAGATAGCTGGCTGTTGGAGGAAAATTGTCTAGGAATTGATCATGTGTTTTAAAATGTCCTTTCTAGACCCTTTTGATCCTTCCTTCTTTGTGGTATATCTCTTATAAAATACTTGGTGGAATCCTGAGGAGCACAATATTAGGAAGGTATCATCTTCTGTTGGACCAACTTCTGTGGATGAGAATATGAAAGGTTTGAGGCAGTGAACAGCTAATGAGAGTTTCTACCCCTTTTTTCTGAGCTTGAGATTTTCCCTGCTCCACTGTTCCCTGTGAGACTGTTTTGCTGAAGGTACAAAGGTAAGGTGTATGTGGAATGCAGAGTCAGATGAAGGTATCCATACGCCTTATGTGTCACAGCAAATCATAAGAAAAGCTATGCTGAATCATGGCAGTCCAACTCTTTCTTCACATAGTGGAAAATCAGCTGCCCACAGGATCCCTCAAGCAGGATGGGTGCAACAGCTCCCTACTGCCCAAGTTCTCCAGCAACTGGTTATGCAGTGTACATATTGCCTCTGATAAAGAGGTAGGATGTAGTCATCAAGACTAGTAAGTAATGATAGTCTTCTCCTCCATGAATTTGTCCAATCCTCTTTAAAAGCCATCCAGATTGGTGGCCATCACTACATCTTGTGAAATGAATTCGGCTTGCAAAATGAATTTGACTAAACTGCTTCTTGTGAAATGAATTCAACTAAACGGCTTGGGACCAGGATACCTGAAGGAACGTCTTTTTCGCCATACGCCCTCCCACCCGTTAAGATCTGCAGCAGAGGCCTTGCTCCGGGAACCCTCCTTGAAGGAGGTTAGGAGAGTGAACACCCGGAGGAGGGCTTTCTCTGTGGTGGCGCCCCGGCTGTGGAACGTGCTCCCCAGAGAGCTCCCCAGAGAGCCAGGTGCCAACATTATATGCTTTTCAGCACCAGGTTAAAACGTTTTTAATTCACCCAATATTTTAAAATTTAAAATTTTTAATTCAGATTTTATTTATCCTCAGTCGCGTTTTATCTTGCCATTGTATTTATTAGATATTTATCACTCTGTAAGCCATCCAGAGACCTTTCATATTGGATGAGTTAGAAATAGCCTAATAAATAAATAAATAAATTCCACAGTTTAACTATGCACTGTGTGAAGAGGTACTTCCCTTTATCTGTCCTGAATCTTCATGGAGTGGTCACAGGTTCTGATAATACTACGGGAAAGAAAGAAAATTGTTTCCCTATGCCCTTTTCCCACACTGTGCATAATTCTGAGCACCTCTGTCATATCTCCTCTTACTTCCCTATTTTCTAGGCTAAACAATTCAGCTGTTGCAACTGTTCCTCATAGGAAAATTGCTCTAACCCCTTGATCATTTCAGTTGCCATTCTCTGCACTTTTTCCGGTTCAGCACCTTTTTTCAGGTATGGCAGCCAGAACTATACACAATATTGTAAGTGCGGTCATGCCACAGGGGATGAGAATGATACCATGGCCAGCTTCATGATGCCTGCAGTGCAAATGTAAAGGATCAGAGCAAGGGTCCACCTAGTCCAACATTCTGTTCAAAGAGTGATGAAACATCTTGCCATAGGAAACCCACAAATAGGACATGAAGATAACATCAACCTCCTACCCATGTTCCTCAGCAACTGGTGTATATAGGAATACTTCCTCTGATGCTGGAGGCAGTAACTAGCCATCATGACTAGGAACCTTCTCTTCCATGAATTTGTTCAATGAGGGTGGGTGCTTAGGAGCTGTTTGCTTAGCCCATTCTAGAGCTGCTGCCGAGCAAGAGGGAACCATCCTGACAAGTTTTGGTTTAACCAAAGTCATATGGTTCCCTGTTTTGTCTCTTTCCTGGAATCAACACAAGGATATTCACAACAAATCTTTACTGAAAGAATAGATTAGTATGGTTGAACCACAGCAGGAGACCTTTTCCTTACTGGTGCAAGAAGTCAGGAGAATTTGTTTTAACCAAGGAGTTGGAAAGCAGCAAAACTTGCTGCTTACCCATGTGATACTCACAAAAATACCCACAAGAATCCAAAGGATCCTTTTGCAAAATTAATCTTTGAGCTGTGACATGTTATACTCCTGCATTTTAGCCTGTAGTTCCTGCATTTAAAATAAAGTAAAGCCACAGTATATAATATTGACAACTTGCATAACGCAGATACAAAGTCAAGGACAGGAAGACTGAATATGGAGTATGGCTTTAAATGCATGTGATGCTGGAATATCTACTTGAAGCAGTAGCTTCTTCAGAAGTTGGCTCTGCATGCCCTTCACCTTTCCCAGCAGGGCAAACAAAGACTTCTGGGGCAGAAGATGGACTTTGCCATGGGCTTCACAGGCCAGAGCTTCCCCACCCCTGACCTGAATGGGATACATGTAATATAGTGCCTACAGGTGCAACCCTATGCATATTAGGCAGAAAAATATCTGATAACTCCCAACACATCTGACTGGGGTCTGCTGGGAATTGTAGGACTTTTTATTTCTAAACATGAAGAGGATTGCACTCTCTATATATCAAAAATTAGAAATATGTGTGCTATATATAATTTTCTATGTGCATATCTGAGTCTGGATTTAATTTTCTCTAACTTACTGTTTGTGTCACATTTGAGTCTGGATTGTGTTGGCCCCATGCTTGTACTCCAGATTCTTCCCTACCTCTCCACAAGACTGCCTATCTGTGCAAGAGTGTATATCTATAAAATTTTGGAGGATATTGTTTGTCAGGGAGAAGGTAGACTGGAATCTCCCTGTCATCCAAGCTGCAGTCCAAACACGTTTACTAAGGAGAATTCAGTTGAAGAGCATGGGACTTACAATCACAGAAACATGCATAAGATTGTGCTGCAAATACTGTAAGTACTGCAGTATCCAGAAGCATTTGGCCAGGTGTTCTCCCCACCAGAGATCTGAAGTGGCATAGCCCAGACACAAGTTTGCCGCAGCAATGGCTTCTGCAATGCTGACCTCTTCTAGCAACACATCCTCCCTATGACTGGCTGTACACTAGCGGAAAGCCTAGCAAGTCACTGTGTGACTGTGCCTTATCTATTACTCACTGATCATTTTCGAAGGCAAGACACTGAGGGCACTTCCAAATAAAGGGCTACTAGCAATGGACACTATCTCATCTTTTTTTCTTCCTTAACATATCTTTTTTCAGCTAGGACAAGGGAAAAAATGTAAGAAGTGGGGGGAGGGGTACACAAAAGAGCTGCAAACAAGACAATAACCTCTGGACCTTCTGTGAATGCACAGTAAAAGCCTCATTCGGGAGCACCCTTAGACACGGATCTGCACATAACAGTTCTGGCTTGCAGACTGAGTCTAACCCTCTGGAGACATGCCTTAACTCAGCTCTCTGCTGCTCTGGGCCACAGGGAGGCAGTCAGGATGCACTACTCAGCCCTAGCCACAACAACCTTGCTCCTGGGACTGGTGAGCACTACTGCATGGGCAGAAGTGGCTGAGAACAGGACCCAAATATGCCAGCCTGCACCCCTCTGGAAGATCAACGGGACCATACCAATGGCTGGGACAGAGGGCCAAGTGACAGTGGTGGCACTGCTAAAAGCCAGCTGACAGTTCTGTCTCAAGCAGGCTGCCAGGTGAGAATGAGAGAATTGGAATAATTTCTGCTTCTGGTGCTTAGTAGTAATATTGTAAGTACTTCTCATGATTGTCCTTTTTGCCACCAGTATTGGCAGCTTGCAGAAAAGGCTGTCCCATGAAGGGGTGGCCAATGTCAGCTTCATGATTGTCAACGAGAAGACTCCTCTCTCCAGGGCTATGTACTGGGAGTTGAAACGGCATGCACCTGAAGGAGTCCCTGTTTACCAGCAGCAAATCCTGGAACCTGATGTCTGGCAAATTCTAAACGGGGACAAGGATGACTTCCTGATATATGACAGGTCAGTACTTCACACAGAAAATACTGATTTCCCTTCCTAGCAAGGCCAGGGTGAAGCAGGTCCTTTTCAGGTATCTGCTTCCTCTCTGCATCCTAAACTCTGGAGAACATGGACCAGTCAGGCTAATTTGCAAGCTAATTAGCAGGGTTATAAACTCCTATGTTCTGCAGGGGAGATTCAGGAATGATTTGACTAAGCTATGCTGGCTGGGTGCTGGGCATAGGTCTTTTTTTCATCTAGGATTGTGCATAGGATTGTGCTTTAAACCTTAAAAAACCCTCTGAAAAGTGGATAGCATGATTTGGTTGATTAGTAATCCCATTTGTGAATTAGTTGCTACTGCTTTATTTTCCAAATAACAATATTATTTGCTCTTAAGCTGCGGTTATTGAGGAAACATCTGGAGAGACAGCACATGAATGTTTCTCCTTACCTTCATGTCACCTGGTGACTCAAAACTGAGATAGGACCAAAGTTTAAGTACTGCAGCCCATGAACAAATTGTTTATTTCGCTCATCCCCAACAAAGGAGAAAAGTTAAATTCTATGAAATCTGGCAGAATTTTTTAGAACGCTATGTGGACAGAAGAATAGAAGACATGTTTCTCTTCCTTGAACTGGCCACCCATCCGAACTATTAGGACCATTCTCTGTTCTGATTTTATAAACTTCCTTCCCTTTCTTTTAAAATTCTCCTTTCTTTTTTCTCTTCAGTTTGTCTGTCTTTCTGTTCTGTCCTGTCCTGTCCTGTCTGCCTATCTGCTTGTTTGCTTGCTTATAATACTATCATAGTCAGATTAGCAGATGTAAAAGCTATAATTGTACATGGCTTCCTATATAAGACATAGAACTTAACACATCAGAAACCTGAAGGGAAGTGGATGGCAGTGGAGAGGGAAGCATGAAAAGTGTGGCTTAGTGTTGCATGGCTTACAGTATATATAGGGAAGGGAATTAATTTTATTGTTAAAAATAGCTTCAGAAACATTTCAGTAAACAACACATAACAACATCACATTAAGAATTGAGGGACCAAAGTATAAATGCAATCCTTAGGCAATGCCTTTTCTGTCTTTGAAGAAAATAACAAACTATTTGAGACATCTCAAGCTGGACACACATGGATGGCTCTTCTGACTTCAGCTCTGTGTCATTTCCTGTTTCCTTGGCTCTTGGGTTTTACAGGTGCAGCAGGCTAGGTTTCCACATCCAGTTGCCATACAGTTTCCTCCACTTACCATATGTTGAAGCAGCTGTGCGTTACACGTACCACAAAGACTACTGTGGTAATTGTTCCTGGTACTACTCTAACAGCACCCAGGAGGTAGGAGCTAGAGCCCTCTTACCCTTTCCTCCTTCACCTCTCTGTTTTAAGCCAAAGGTGCTCTCATGTGTTCTTCCTGATCCTCTTGGGAACTGTAGAAGATTCCTGATTATATCCATCTTATTGACTGTGGGCCCAAGGTGAAAGGGGAGGAGTACTGTCTGTCCCCGCTTGGAGCTCCTACTTCAAGCAAGGTTATTTAAGCCCAGGTCTGCTCCAGTCACACAAGACATAGTGGTGGAGGTGAACTATGTAAACAGGGCTGGAAATGTGGTGCCTCTGGGCAGCAATGCACCCCGGATGCTCTTCCTGATGCCCAGAAGGCTCTCTATGAGAGAGAACAGGAACAAGCGTGTTTATGGGCAATGAGCCAGGAAGAGGAAAGCATATGAGAGGGTATCCACAGTGAAACACAGACAAAATAAGGAGGAATAAATGAGCTGGCAGAAAGGTGGGGGAGAAAAGAGCATTTGCCTTCTGTGAAAGGCCTACTGGTGATGCAAAGTGTGGGTTCAAAGGAGTTGCTTAGTGGGTGCCCGACTATGCCTCTCTCTGATAGACTGTCTGAAGGAAGGAGTAGCTAATGCTTGTTCATACTGGTTCCGCCATGCTTAAAATGTGAACAAACATTCTCTGCCTTTAAATCAAATTTGACAGAATACAGGAGGTATGCTTCATACCATTTCCACCCTATCTGGGGTGAAGACATAGTCACCCACTTCCGCAAATGAGTATAGGTTTTTCCACTGTGTGGCAACCTCTGCTACTGTCATTCCCTGCTGCTCTGTTGACACAGGGACCTGGCTAAGATACCTGTACAGATTCCTCCCACCTGCAGGGTTTGACTTTTCTCCCCAGCTTTTTGCCTCCAGACACCAACATATTTGTTTTTTAAAATAATTCATCATCTTGTCAAATGGTTATCTTTTTAAAAATAGTAATATTTACTCTGGGAAAGTGACTCTATAACAGCCCAATGGTCAGCCTGTCAGCATACCCTGCAGACTTGGTTGGGGAATGGAACAAGATGAGGTCCCAGTAGATACAAGAGAGAAACAGCCAGGCAGCATTTTGCACAGGAAGCTTCTCCTGAAAACAAGAACCATTTGCTCCTTAAGTTAATTAATGTTGGAATTTTATACATTTATCTCAAAAGGGCAAAACATAAATTCATGGCAAGTTTATCATTCAAGATATATGCATCTGACTTCACTTTTAAAATGTTATAGCATTCTTCATCTTGACGCCATCTGTATAATACATTAGTATAATAACAAAAGTACAATTTTACTTTTACAGGTGAATTACACAGTAAGTACCCAAGTGATGCCAATTGAGGATACCAGAGACAAATAGAAGAGCCTAGAAGTGCACAAGCATGAAAAGGAAACAAGGAGGCACCTAACACTAAATATATAGCCCATCATTTTTCACATCATAGAAGAATGAGCAGCCACAAAGCCATGGGTTTGACCAGTACTGACTAGCCAGTTTTCTACTCTCAAAGCTACTCACAGAAGTACCAAGCAAGGGGAATATCAGTAAACCTTTTAACCTTCAGGGAAGCAAAACTCAACTGTTACGTGTACATTGGTACACTCTAATGAAAAATAAGCAACCTATTTCAAAAGGACAGGGAACAAACTTACATGTGTCAGAAAGAATAGATATTATGGTCCTATTTTGAGCAGTGCAAAGGAATGGAGTATTCCAGTCCCTTTCCCAATATCTTATAGATACCAGACAATATAATACAGCTGTTTGTTTTGTGATACTTGCAATGGGGAAGTATATTTGCATATCCACAATGAAAAGTCGTTTTGAATCTGTCTCTAATTACACTCCCATTTACCAATGTTTTCCACTAAACCGGAAGTGCCATTTATAGAGAACTCAGATGGCTTTGTAAAGCTGTTGGATTTCTGTTTTGAGGATTGTCTGAGATAACTATCTTGCCTTCTGCAGGAGCAAAGTTATAGCCATCTGCCTGCTGAGGAGCCAGTTTTGACCCCTTTTCTGTATTTCCTGCTTTTCTGCATTCAATGAAGCCTGTAGTGTAAACTAGATTGCTGTAAGTCACTGCAGGCTGACACTATACAGAAAAGTATGTCAACAGAGGTGGAGAGATGGGATCAGAACTAGTATTTACACAATGCTCTTTAAGGCAGAGGGCAGAAATCAGGGCAAGGCTGACTCTGAGCCTGGAGCTGAAGGTTCTGTGGAATCAGTTGATATGCATGAATTATGAGCTAAAAGATTGTGACATTTGTTGCTTTGCTGGAAGAAAAGAGCATCTGTGGTTTGTGGGAATGGTGGTGGAAAGATGGTATAAGCCAAGTTTATGGATAAGTTACTACTGCACATAGGCAGGAAGGTTTGGAGTGAGTAAGTGGCAATGCACTGAGAACTGAACTTGGGAAGAAAACCATCTGTGTCATGTACCTAAAAGGATGTATAACTCTGCTGATGAAATGCAGAAAAACCGTGTCTTGGAGAAGATGCTGAAAATAAATTTTCTGGAATGACAGTGATTGAAATCTTTGTTCATTGTTCCTTCCTGTCCAAGGAGGTTTACATATTTAAGCATCGACACTGTAGAAAATCTTTCAGTTTCAGGATGTATGAAGTATCCCATAGGATATGAACAGAAGGCATACTAGGCAATCCTTATTCAGAACATCAGCTTTTTTTTAATAAGGATTTTTATTAAGATTTTAAACTATAAACTAAAAAACATCAATCATCAAATACATCGGACGTATTGGGTCAGTCTCCTATAACATACCTTTTTAACATTCTATAATCATATTCAAATCGATTTATAAAAATTTAAAAACATCTTTAAATCTAGGCCAAGTCCCGTTTCTCCAGTCAATCATAAAAAAGGTCCCAAGTTTGATAGAAGTCAGTATCTTCTTTCTCCTTCAGTAATAGAGTCAATCTGTCCATTTCTGCACAGTCCAGAATCTTTTTTAAAATCAGTTCCTCCGTGGGTAGTTCCTCACTCTTCCAGTATTGAGCAAGCGCAATCCTCACCACTGTGATTAAATGTAGCATCCAATACATTTCTTGTTTGCTAATATTTTCCGGTATAATGCCTAACAAGAAAATTTCAGGTTTAAAAGCTAAGGGTTTTTGTAGCATTTCCTCAAGCCATTTATGTATTTTAATCCAATACTTTTTCACATATTCACAGGTCTACCACATATGGTAAAAAGTACCCACATCATGTTTACATTTCCAACATCTGTTTGACATATTTGGAAACATCTTAGCTAATCGATTTGGTGACAAATACCATCTATAAAACATTTTATATAAATTTTTTTATACGAAGTTGCTAAAGTTACCTTAATATTTCTCTCCCATAGCTTTTGCCACTTTTCTAATTCAATATTCTATCCAAAATTTTGTGCCCATGTTATCATAGTTTCCTTAACCTGTTCCCCTTCCATTTTCCTGTCAAGTAAGAACTCATAAATTCTTTTAATCATTTTCTCATCAAAGGCTGTTAGGTCTTTATGAAACCCCCATATTTTACAGTCTTTAGCATATCTTGATTGCATCTGCACCTTATACCACCAAGAGATATTGAGTCCCTGTTCTTATATTTCTTGATCTAGTTTCAGGCCTCCATCCTAATCTAAGATATCATCATATCTTATGATCCCTTCAAAATTCAATACATTTGGATACACAAAAGCTTCCATAGGTGAAAGCCATCTTGGTAATTTATTATACAATTTTGACTGTAACTTTTCCCACACTGACATTAATGATCTTCTGATAAAGTGACTTAAAAAAGTCCCATGAGACTTAACCTTCTCGTACCACATATAAGCATGCCAACCCATTTGCAAATCATGATCTTCAAGATACAACATTATCTTATTTCGCAAGGTTATCCATTGTTTTAGCCAAGTTAAAATAGACGCTTGATAGTACAACATCCAATCAGGAAGACCAAAACCCCCGTTCTTTTTGATTTCCTGAAGCATTTTTAATTTAATCCTTGCTTTCTTTTTTCTCTAAATAAATCTCGAAATTTGAAAATTTAAATCCTCAAAAAAATTTTTATCAATTTTTATGGGAATCATTTGGAACAAAAACGGAAGTTTTGGTAGTATATTAATTTGAACAAGTGCTATTCTTCCCATCAAAGACAATTGTAAATTGGCCCATTTTTCCAGATCATCTTTAATATCCTTCAATAATTTATCATAATTATCTTCTTTCAAAGTTGTGCCTTTAGCTGTAAGATAGATTCCCAAGTATTTAACCTTTTTAACAATCTGCAAGTCCACTTAGAACATCAGCTTTTAAAGAACTATTCTGATCTACTTTCAAATATTTTGAAACATGTGATTTTGTTGCTACTCAGTGAATTGGCACACACTGTACAAATTCCTTCTTGTGCTCCCAATTTTAATAAAGGTACAACCACAAATGTTTAGCAGGATTGGTCTTTTACATGTAGCACTGAAGCAACCTCTTCACAGAAGTGGTCCTTACAGTTATTATACAGAGTGTGAGACATCAGTAATGTACTAACATCCTCTCTCCCATACAGGATATTATTACTTAATGCTCAAAAATTAGTTGGTACGTGTAGTGAATGCTAATGCATCTATAATCTATTTTCCTCCAAATAATCTTAATACAGCAAATTGGACTAGACTAGAATGCAGCAGTTGAAGAAGCCCATTATGGACTGAAAAGAACTGCCACATTTATCATCTTCAGTGGATAGCTCATGCCTGGTGCTTTGCAGCTTAAATGTTTTAGAATTTTCAGAACCATTTATTGTCGTAACATTCTACATCAACCCAGAGGATATGCCACTCAGTGTTTATTAAAGGAATTTCAGTCCCACATTTCAGATATATTCTTAGAACAACTAACAAGATGGAAACAGTAACAATACATAAAAACAGTAACAGCAAAAGAAATGCTGAAACCAGATTAGAACAATGCAATATTTGAAATTGATTTTTAATGGCTGGGCAAATAAAGGTCTTCACTGGAGTGCAAAAGGACAGAACTTGGTGCCAGATAAGCCTTCATCTAGAGTGTTCCAGAGTCAGGGCACCAGGACTAAAAAGAACCTGACACAAGCCATCACATACCTCATCTTTGAAGGTGGGTGGGTAAGTAGAAAGGGATCCAAGAAAGTCTTGCTGCTGTTACTATGATTCCATTACATTTATATCCTGCCTTTCTTCCTCTTGCAAGGACTCCTAGGTGCCTAACAAGGTTTTTCTCTCCATTTTATCCCCACAACAACAACCCTGTGAGGTAGGTTAGATGGGAATCCATGACTGACCCAAAGTCCTCAAGTGAGCTCCATAGCTGAGTGAGGACTATAACCCAGATCCCCGAGTCCCGATCCAGCACTCTGACCTACAGCACCACATTGGCTCTGTACAGAGCTTCACAGGTCATGACTGTGCAAATACAGTTCTGGTCACCACCCAAACTTGGGCATCCAGGCTGTGGGTTGAATCCAGAAGTACACCTGAACTCTGGACCTGTGTCTTCGGGGCAAGTGTAACCACATCCAGCAGAGGCTGGATCCTTATTCTTTAATCTTACTTCAACTGACCATTTCTATTCTGTCCAGATTAAGCTTCAATTTGTTTGACTTCATCCAGTCTGTTACAGACACTGAGCTAGCACCAAAACAGCTTCTTTGGCCTGAGATGCAAAGAAGAAATAGAGTTGGGTGTCATCAGCATGTTAGTAGCACTGATCCCCCAAACTCCAAACTGTCTCTCCCAGTGGTTCCATGTCTATGCTAAATGGCATGGGGAACAGAACAGAACCATGAGAGCTCCAGTTGAAAAGGAGCCCCTGGCAGCACCATCTGATTCTGCCCCTCCAGGAGGAAATGGAACCATTGTAGGACAGTGCCTCTTGATTTCCATCCCAGCAGGGTGGCCAAGAAGGGTTTCATGGTCAGTGGTACTGAAAGCTACTGAGATGACCAGCAGAACCAACAGGGACCCACTCCCCCTGTTTAGTTCCCAGCAAAGGTTATCTACCAGCACAAGCCAAAGCTTTGTCCAACTCATAATCAGTTCTGAAGCCAGACTGAAGTGGATTGAAATAGATTCTCCTTTGTGAAAACAATGCACTTACTGCAAATTAAATGTTTCCCTTGTATATTGGTAAATGTAAACTTTACTTACAGATTGCTTCAAACCTCCTACATATATGGCTGAAAACCAACAACTGGATTTTCAGTAAGTTTGCAGAAGTCTAGGACTGTAGCAAGACTGACGTAAGTTATACATAACTGAATGTGTACACAGGGAAAAATCCCTCCTGCAACATCCGGCATGCCTGCACAATATTCATTTCTTCTTGATGGACTTGCAGTGCCCTAAGTAAAAAGGCAGTTATTTTCCAAAGTTTTTATTATGATTAAATTAATTTTAATCAACCCTTTTATTTATTGTTATACTATTGCTATTTGGTGAGAATGTAAAATCTTCATAGATTAGAAATATTTTAAAAGGAGCAAAATTAATTTTTGTTTAGGGCAAAAAAAAAAAAAAAAAAATTAACCTGCCTTTGCCCTTGGGTTCCAGCCAGCTTCTCTGATACTTTTCTGCCTCTGCCCCAGTGCCCTCAGTGGTCTTTTTGTGTTATGTCTTGTTTGCATTGCAATAGAGTTCACAGGTTCACAGCAAAGTTGGAGGAAGACCTTGGTTTCTTATCATGTTTATTTTTAATCCTAGCTTCCATCTTGGTCAAATATTTATGCAAGGTTATATTTCAATTGGCCTTTCCATTTCCCAGCAGCATCAGTCAACACGAAAGTAAACTCCAGGGGAGTTTATTTATTCACTACATTTATAGACTGCCTTCTCTCAAGAAGTTCGAGGCAGTGTACATGATTCCTCCTCTCCCTCTGATTTATCCCCATAATAACCTTGAGAGGTAGGTGCAGGTGAGAGAGGGTGCCTGACCCAAGCTCACTCTGTAAGCTTCCCAGTTGCACAAGCATTGGACCTGCATCTTCCCAGTCCTGAACCAACAGATTGCCCCCGTCTTCTCCATGGACTGCAACTCATATTCCCAGCTAGCAGACCCAAATATTTGGCATGATGGGTGTTGTAGTCCAAAACAACTTGAGACCACCATGTTGAGGAAGGTTTTTCTTCCATTACACAAAGGGTAAGCAGAAAGTGGGTCTCCAGATGTTTTGGACTTCAGCTATCAACATTCCTGACCATTGGTCATGCTGGCAGAAGCTTCTGTAAACTGCAAGCTTCTACAAGTCCAAATCTTCTGCCCACCAAGCTCTATGCTTATACTGAGTCTCTCTTCAATAGGACTTACTCCCAGTTAAAGTATGTACAGGATTGCTTGGGAATTCTCTTTGATTTCTCTTGGTCCCATGAGGCTTTGATGGCCTCATTGGCTAAGAATGCTTTCTCCCATCTTCTTCAGCTTGTGACCCAGCTATGCCCTTAATCCAGACAAGAATAGCCTGGTTTCAGTAATCTATGCACTGAGTTAATGACTGCAGTGCACCCTACATGGGGCTGCCTTTAGAGATGGGAATGAGAAAGAGGGCTGCTTTGGGCACACACTCTCAAGGGATGGTCTTCAGAGGAATCAGGAGAAGGGGGAGAAGAATGGTGGAGGGACTGGGAATGTGGACCATCCTGAGACACTGAGATGAGAGAAGCATAGACTCTCTCAAGGACAGACTCCCCAGGCAGGCAGGAAGTCTCTGGGAATAACCAAGATGTACGGTTGGTGGGAGGGGACTTGGAGCAGGGGAGTTTCTCAGTCTCAGACAAGGCAGACATGGCTCTTTGGCCTCATGAAACGTCGTCAGCAGAGGACAGTGCTCAATTAGAGGATTGGCATGCAGATAGGAGGCATGCCCTTCTTAGAAGTCCCCTCATGAAGGGCTGGGGCCCAGGCATGCTCATAAGGAAGTTTCTGAAGATGAATACTAGATTGGGTTTAACAAGCCATTCTGTGCATGCTCAGAGATTCAGTCTGGCTGTTTATGCTTTTGGACAGTAAAGAACACTTTGCAAAGAAAAGCTGCAGCTTTGAATGTGCAAAGGAGGAAGCTCAGCTCCTGACAAGAAGCTCCAGCTTGTGTTGTGCAGAATTTTGCAGCCAGGTTAAACATTAGGACGTGCAGGTCTGCCCATGTAAGATCAGTTCTGGCCTACTTGCATTAGTGGTCTTTGTGCTTCTGGGCCCTATTCAACGTGCAGCTTTTAACCAAGAAAGTTGTACATGACTTGGGATTGCAATACCTGTTGTCCCAACTGCAATCTACTCAGACACTACACTTAACTTTTGGGGCCTTCCTCTGAGTGCCAACTCTGACGGAAGGTCAGGGTTTTCAGTCAACACCCCTTAAAAATGCAAACACCATCAAATAGTTGATCTTCCTTTACAAATGCATTCTGATTCAGAAGGAAGATGGAAGCATCCAAAATCATGTTAGGTGTACTATAAATTTACTGAAGAATTTCAGGTACACTGGTTCTCATTGCTAGTTGGTAAAAAGACAGTGTTTGAGTATGAGCAAAATGAAGAATGAGACAGATCACCCCTCTGCAAAGACAGAGAAGCAAAGAGCATCATTTCTCTGAATACAATTTGTGGAAGGAAAGAACTCCACCTGCTGGAGCGATCTGTGGAGGTGAAAGCAGGCGTACCAGTAAAGGCAATAGTGCATATGAGAACAGAAATATTGAAGTTAAAATGTGGTAGGCTTGAATAGCTAAATGATGTTACAATGAACACAACAGACATAAAATTTTGTCATAGTTTTTGAGAATACCAGATCTAGGATCTAATGGTGAAGATACTATTTCTTCTCACTGAGATGTAAATTCCACTTTCCTGAAAACAATTCTCCTATTTTCCAACATGCAAGAAAATAAATGGCACAGTAACCACACTTTTAGATCCTGTTTTATTGTTAGGGAAACCACTTTGTAAGGGCAGTCACAAAAGGCTGCCTATAAATACTGGCGTGATCAAACTAACTAGATCTATGAAGTCTTATGTTTGCAGGCATTACTTTCATGCATTGCAGAGACCTCATTGTCCATTACTGAGACTTATTACCTATACTCAGGTGTCTAAAGAGGGAAGACATGCAACTGAGGGCCACCAGGCACAATCTCATACTGTTTTGGTCAGTGGATTTTTTTTTTAAATCTCAAAGAAGGTAAAATATGTTTAGGTCCCATTTACAACCACTGCTGTCCATATTCACTAGCCAGATTTTGCTAACATGAGCGCCCAGCCAACATTACACCCAAATAGCTTAGAGCACAATCCTATGTAAGAGTATGCCTCACCAGTCAGACTCCTGCAAGACTTTTTTCTGCCTAAGCCATTCCTAACATTCTTGACACCGTAACTGGTTGAGGTGTAGTGGTTTCAGGACTTTTCCAAACATGCATAGGATGGCAGCCATCATCAAATAATTGAACTGGTGAGATTTCCAATGAATTTTTTTTTCCAATATAAACAGGCAGTACTGAGCTAAATGCATCATCAGTTAATCCATCTTGCATACCGTTATGTGTTTGCCTTTTCATTCAACATCTTAACATTTGCCTGTAATTCAACACTTCCACATGGAAAAAATTGCTTATGCTTATCAAGATGGTGGGTGGATTAATTTGGTGTCTCAAGTCAAACATGCATCCTCTTTGTCTTGAGGTGAAGTTTGCTATTACTAGGATTCTAGTACTCCAGAAACTTAAAGGGGTAAGTTCTTCCCCTTATTCAAATATCAGAAGCAATGCAAGGCCCTCAGTCTACTGCTTTATAGGAGATAAACATTTATCTTTCCAGTGTTGTACTATCCTTTGTCGAAAGGGCATGCAAAATCCCTTTCTCCTTCTGTTTAATTTACCTGCTTTGTGGGTATGAATATTTAGAAGAGCATCAGTGAATCACAAAGAATATTCCAGGACAAAATTGGTACAATGACCTCATTTCACAAAGCAGCAACTTCTGGAAGATGTTTAAGAGCAGCATTGGCTATATTGTACCTCCAGCATTTAAAGCAAGTTAGGCGTCACTTGCTGGTGTCACTGCAATGTCCAATAGACAGAAAGCAAACTTTTTTTCTGAAGCCCAAGATCCCTAGACACAACAGGGAGATGTGAAAACAGCAATCAACTGATTAAGCATGTTGTGCTGGTACCCACAGCAGTTTCTCAAATGTACACGAAGCTGCAGGAAGTTTGGGGAGGGGGCATTCTAAGCTATCATATGTGGTCTCCCCCCCCCCCCCACAATACCTCTGGAAGTAGGAAGCAACAGGATTCACCAGGTCTAACCAGCAAGGGGAAGAGCTTTCATTTCAACCTTGCTGAGAATCTAGTCACACTCTTGTATAAAGTACTGCCTCCCTCTTGTGAGAAGAAGTAGTACTGCAGCTCAGGCATAAAAACAGCTGTTTCAGAAGACCTCTTGCATGTGTGTTCCATTTTAAGAACATCCAATTAAACATACAACACTTCCTTTTTTTTTGCACAAGTTTAATGACAGTACAAAATACCAGAACATACATCTGTGATACATGAATCACTGAGTCAGTTACTTACATGGCATTGGTCCTTAAATCCTCTATCCTGGTTCAGATTAGCAGGGCATGTAACTGGTCGATACATAGCTATTGCTAACAGGATTGAATCCATAATCCATTTACTCCAAAGCCACCCCACTAAAGGCAGCTGGACCAATACAAAATAGATGTGCTTATGAACTGCAGTCATAATCCAACTCACTCACAATATGGTTACTCTTTAAATAAGAGAATAGCAAATACAGTTCTGCTTTTGCTTTTATACAGGTTACAGAATACATTTCTTGCTCAAAACATGTACACAGAATATTTATTTTTGCTTGGAGAAGAACTCTTTACTCTGTTTAACATCAGGCTTGATAGTGTCAGCCCCTGGTTGCCAGCCAGCAGGACACACTGAAATAATAAAATTATGTTTTATTAACTCATGGACAGAGACTGAACATGAAAAAGTTAACAATTATTTAATCTGCTTGATCCTAACCGGGATACCTTGAGGATATTTACAGTTAGGACACCATTTCTGGCAACATTTCGATGGCTTAGTATCAGCATGGCATGCTAAACTTTCCCACTGTGACTGGAATGCCTCTAGGAAGGAGATAGAAGGGGAGGTATGAAAGGTTTAAAAAAAGGGTGAAATGGGAAACAGGAAGCCCAAGTGGCATAGTAGATTGAAGATCTTAAGAAGAATCTAGATAGAATGCAATTCTGTGCATGTTTAGACAGACATTTTTCTATCTAAATAAATGCATGCTGGGAGTTATAGGATAGCCTCTGAATCTAAACTTGCACAGGATTGCACCATAAGTCTCCTTAATGCCAAAGCAGCAGTTGCTCACTGTGTGCTAGAAGTGGAGCAGGACAGAACATCTTGAAATACATGAACAATTTTGCTGTGTAATCTAGATTGAGAACAAAGGTTGTTAGTAGTCACACATGGAAATACGAACACCTTGCTGGCCTGCTTCTCTGACAAGACTGAGGCACATTACTTTCTCCAGTGCAGGACTTAAATGAAAGGGAATGAAAGCCAGGCAGAGCTGCAAGGAATAAAAGAGCTTCTTCTGCTGAATAAAGGCCTTTCCAGTCTCATCAGGAGTCCAAGCTCAGTTCCGATTCCACAACAACTAAAGTAGGGCAGATGCCTTCTTTTGCCAAGTGGGTCCTGATAAAAGGGAACAGCTACTGATTGTGCTGCACCACTGCTAAGCGGATGAGAACTAGGCATATTCAATTTTGATTAACTGTACCTGACCTCTTCTGATCACTAAGCTGTCATTCAGTTTAGATCTGGCTTAGGTACTACTGGCCAAATACCTGAAAGGACAAGTGGATGACTGCATGGGACACAGGGGGAAGAAGAGAACATATATGGAAGGTGCTCTGAGAAGCCACACAATTCCTGTTTATTCTATAAAGCTGCACTGACAGTGGTAAAAACCCCACAAGGAGAAAGGACAATTAAAAGAAATGCCAAGGTTTTTCTCAACATGTTTTTCCCATGGGAGAATTTATACATATATGCTCCAATGTATCATTGACCAGTTTAGACCTTGCACAGGTACAGAGACCACGAAGAAGAATGGGGATTAAATTTGCCCTCTTGCTTCCAATAACTCCAGCCTTTTCACTTAAAGTTGTGACTCTTCAACCAACTCCTGTGCTGTTCGCTCCTAGCCTTGTATCATAAAGATAAGCAGATGCTACAAAGAATCAAGCTTACTTCTATGTGTTTAAGCTTCAGCTGGAGACTTTTGCCTTTGAACTTCAACAAATATTGTACTCAGAAATTGGTGTTTTATTTCTTGAACAGTAAAGAAAACTATAATCATATGTTTATATTTTAACTCATTCTGGAAAATAGTTTCCTGTGTTGTAGACAAGAGGTACTACAATTGTACTGTAAAGCACTGGCAGTTAACCAGGCAAGTATGAACTACAGCAATCTTACCTTCTCCATGTTTGTCTGTGAACTGAAAAGCCTGAACCAGTCGAAGCGTTTCATCAACTGAGCGGCCAACAGGGAGATCGTTGATTGTGATCTGGCGCAAGATTCCCTTGTCATCAATGATGAACAGGCCCCTTGAGAAGAAACAAAATCATTTAAGCATATGCTAAGGAAGTATGTAGCTCCAAAACATTAAAAAAAATAAAATCACCATTTAAGTTTTTCTGATAACTCTAATATCAATCTTCTTTGATCTGGTGCCTTCTTCTGTTCTAAAAATCAGTTATAACTAAGCTCTTAGCAGAAAAGGGTTACAGAACATTCCACAACAGAGCCTGTTAAAGGAAGTAAAGCTTGGTGCATCCTCTTCACCATTCATGCTGCCACATACCTTGTTTCCATTTCAGTACTTAACTACAATGGATTCAGGCTTAAGCATTACACTGCATCTAACTGGTATGTGGTGGGAAGAAGGATTTATTTGATTTATATCCACCTTTTCCTTACAATGAACTCAAAGATGGTTACATAATTCTCCTCCTACTATTCTCAAACTTATCCCCAGAACAAGTCCATGACTGGCCCAAAGTTACCTACTTGGTTCCATGACAAAGTGGGGACTAGAACTCAGATCACCCGAGTTCCAGTCCTGCACTCTAACACTATACCACACTGGCTCTCACTGGAATGTGTGCACATGTGTATGGGGGGGGCATGGGGGGGGGGAGAACTGAGCATCACAAAATGCCTTTGATCTGGCGGAAAGCAATGCAGCAATTTGTGCAATACCAGGTTTACCTATAGCCAACACCTACTGAACTCTTGCCATACTCTTAAGTCAACCCAGGTATGGACAGTGAATGTATGAATATACCAGATACAGAGTAACCTTTCTCCTCCCCAATAAAAAAGCATGTATGAACCTAAAGTCATTAAAGCAAAAATAAAATAAAATAAAATAAAATAAAATAAAATAAAATGGAGCAGTAAGAGGGCAAGTGAGCAAGACTTGTTGTCCTCAACCTGTACTGCTTTTGTTGGTTTCCATGGCCTCCCCGCCCCATGAGGTTAGCTGTTCCAAAAAACTCAGGAGAGATTACGCAGTGCTCAGTAAAATGTGAGTCACTTGGAGACTGCAACAGTGATCTTACCTGTAAGAAATACCTTCATCTTCTTTTAGCACCCCATAGTCTTTCGCAATTGCACGGTTTGTGTCAGACATCAAAGGAATGCGCATGCTGCCTAGCCCTCCCTGCTTTTTCGGTGTGTTTATCCTGTAAAAGGAGAAGTGGTACTTGATAAAGCAATCCAGCATTTTAGGATTTCAAAGAAATTTTTAGAACACCCATGTCCTTTTCTACAGGTACATACCATATTCTACAAGTTTTTATGCTTATATCTTAGGCAGCTATCCTGTGTTAACTTAGCTGGAAGTAAGCCCCACTCTACTCAGGAAAATTTATAGGATTGCACTATTAATGTAGGACCCCCCCCCACATTAACCCTGAGGGGCTTGGACTTTCTTACCAGGCAAGATGGCAGAAGTGAGAGTCAACAGAAGCACCAATCAGTTCACAGTTGATTTTTTTAAACTCATCCGACCGATCACTGAATGCAATTATCTCAGTGGGGCAGACAAAGGTGAAGTCAAGGGGATAGAAGAACACCACAACATATTTCCCTAAAATAAGTGAATGAGTTAGTCCCTTGCATGAAGAGGTTTCATTCATCCATTAAAGATGTTTCATTGAGTTTTCATCAAGCAACAAATCCTTAAATCCAAGCATTAATGGTTATGGCTTCTTGTTTCCCACCTCTATTTAATCCCTGAATATACAAAAAAGGAGAAGCAAAGGAAGTCATATTGACCACCAACCTGGCAGAAGCTAGTTATGGCACAGTTAAGAATACCACAAATACTAGGACTGTTTCCTCCAAATGCCATAAGCACATAGATCTGGGTGCTCCTTAAGCAGCTGAGATAATTCCGTGAAGCAGCAGATATTTGCAAGCACGTGGGCCTAAACAAGGCAGCCAACACTCCTCTTTGGCTCAACAGGCACCCTACCTACTAAAATCTGTTTCCAGGCTCAATTCAAGGTGCTGGTTATCAACATTTTGAGGACAGGATGGCCTCAGAAACTGTATCTCCTGTATAGTTCTACTCATTCACTGAGTTCATTTGGTGGGAATACAAAATTCCCCATAGCTGTGTCCAGGCTACAGAACCCCTTGACCCAGAAGATGTACTTCTTTGCTGTGCTTTTGCCACCTCTAACAGGTATTTAATTCAGGAGGTTAGTCTATTGAAAACAAACAAACATCTCCCTGTCTAGATCTAAAATAGTTAAAACATATAAGCTCGTTTCCGATTGTTTATGTTGTGTTTGGTTCCTTGTTAGCCACACTGTTTTTAAAGTGGAAGGCTAGGACAGAATTCTAAAGCACAAGATGGATATATGTAAAAAGGACTAGTGATATTTGGAAGAGATGAAGGAATCAAAGGCTGACTGCAGTGGCAGTGATGATCCAGCAGAGAGAGAAGGGCACCCATGCCTGGATGATGTGAGGCAACCTTCCCTAACCAGATGTCTTGGACTATAATTCCCAGCCAGCATGGCCAATTACAGGAGTTACAGTCCAAAGCATCCCTAACCCAACAGTGCAGGGAATGCTGCTATGGTATGAAGGTGAACTGCTCCCCAAGCCAATGGTGTTAAAGCAAGGGGCACCCCCTAGCTGGGCCAGACGTTGGAATTTTGAGTGGCCCACAAAGCTTAAGAGGAGACCCTCTTTACAAGAAGAAAGCAGTACTGATTACGTACTTGTTAACTAGTTCGAACTCACTCTAACATAACTAGTTATATTTCATATACATTAAGTAGACCAGGTTGGTATAACAATGCTAATTGTTTATGGCAAACATACATCTCTAAGCAACCAGACAAGGATACGATTCTTTTAAGCCAGTATCTATCAATTTCTGCAGGCAGGTAAGAAACTAACCTCCTGGGATTCATTTGCAATACTGCAATGAACTGCCTTTTCAGCTTTCTAGGAGTGAAAAGTTGGTCTGAGCCAATCAATTTTAGGCCACTGTTCTGTACCACTGATTTTGTTACATTTTGCTACAGGCAATTCATAAGAGAAATGGCACAAAATTTAGTACTGTATACCAAAGAATGTACTTGCACTTTTTATTCCTAATGGAACTAATTTTTCATAAATGAGTAAAAATTGGGATTTTATTGAAAAGATGTCAAACCACTAACTAATTTTTACTAATACCCCACCTGCACAATCCCTGTATGTATTATTACTTACCTCTGTAGTCAGAGAGCTTGATATCTTTGAATTGCCCATCAGGCATTACAGCTGTAGCCTGGAAGTCTGGGGCTGGTTTCCCAATGTAAGCCTTTCCTGATGACATTCTGAACAAAGCTGAAGAAAAGTGGAACTTGTTAGAAAATTGCTGGCTCTTTAACTTTAAGCTAATTTGCCAAGTGCCAACCAAGGGGGTGGACTAATCAGCACATGCTTTGCTAATATTTAAAATTGTATTTTAAATGTTCCATATAACCAAAGAAAATGCAAGTTTGCAGATATATTGTAGGGATAAGGGAACAAGCAAGTGCCATTTTTGCATTTCATCTACCCTGATAGAATTATTAGTTGGTGCATATTGCTCTCTTCCAAAAATTATGTAGTTAAAGGCAAATCTTGATTTGCCCTAGTGGTTACAGCATCAGACTGAGATTTTGAAGATCTGGATTCTAGTTCCCACTCTGCAGTGAAGCTCACTGAATAACTCTGGGATGGGCTCTCAGCCTAGCCTAATTCACTGGGTTATTTTAAGGATAAAATGGGGAGGCTTGTGTAAACCACCCTAGGTTCCACATAAGATAGGATATAAATGTAATAAAGCAGAACATTACTGTCAACCCTAAGGTGCACTTCAACTATACCGGAAATATGAAACCTAAATTCATATAATTTTAGCTCTCTGAATCTTAACAGATGCTCCTCTGCAACATCTACTGCAGCTGAAGATTGCAAAGCTCTGAAGATCCAGAGATCTAAAGGTTACAAATCTACCACTTGCATTTATTGTTAGCAAACACGAAGCCAGCTTTTACAATAGTATTTAGATAGTTCTACAGAGGCATCAGATTAGAAGCATAACCCATTCACACACAGCTAATCAATCCATACTAATATTTTTAAAAGCTCAATTTTTTTCAAATAGTAATACCAACTAAGTTGCACAGAGAACAGAAGAACAAAATTAATAGCATGATGCAGAACTGTTATGCGGCTTTATTTCAACTTATGGACAGCTCTGGAGCAACCATGTTTTTAAAATTACCTGAAGCTCAACAAGAAACTGAAATGCTGCTAGTATATTTGAATTAACAGCCATTACTAATTAGCAAACTTTACATGAGACTATGTAGGATGAGCAATTTTCTGAAAATCACCATCCAATACCACACACTCTTCATAATTCTCTTATCACCTAGACCCATAAATAGATGATAGTGTATTAAAGCATAATTCCAGAGAATCTTTGAATTCAATTATGATAAAAAGAATCAAAACTCAAAAAACGCTAGCTTAAATATTTTAGCGACCTACAGTGCAATCCTATACCTGTCTACTCAGATCTAACTTCCACAGATCTCAAGTTGAGACATAAGCAATCCTTATCCGCAGCTGTATGGGGATCTCAGCTTTGGTTCTCCATTGTGTGACTTTAGAGAGTTGAAAAGTCGAAAAGGAAGCCCACTTTTGTTCTTTTTTTTTTTTTGCGCACATCTCAGAGATCCTCCACAGCATGCGAGAGATATCCAACCTTTTTCAAGCCCCCACCCCCTTTTGAGTAAACGAGCCGAGGAGAGCTTTGGTTTTAACTCAAAAGGTACAACACAACAGCCCTATCCTTTAGACAAGAGCTCTTCTCTTCGAACCTCGATCCTTATTTCGTGCTAGAACATCCCAACCCCTCGTTGTTACCAAGAAAAATGCGTCTTAACGCTCACCCATTTCACATCCTACTCAAACCTTACAGCCACAAGCCGAACTCATTTAATAGGAGGAACACGAGGCCCTTTGAAGGACCGTTTAGCTTTATAAACCAGCGTCAACTGCACCCTAAAGGAAACACGACCTTCGAGGTTGCTTTAATGAGAGCTTCTTCCGCCCGCAATCAAGCGAGGCGTGGGGCAAATAAGAGAAAGGCATTCCAGGCTCCGAGCCGACACAAATCCGAGGTCTATAGCCACAAGGCTATGCTTTGTTCATCACGCTCTCCGCCTGCAGAGCTGGCAAGCTCCAACGAACGGAAGGATGCACGCAGCCGCCCACGCTTCCCCTTCCCCCTCACTCAAACACCCACCCACCGAAACTTGCAGGCACACGAACTGTGAACCTAAAATAAGACCGAGAGAGAGCTTTGCAAAGGGCATGTCATTAGGGACATATTCCTTCTACGGCTAACTACGAGACACAGCCATCCTCGAGGTTCTCCTGAACACGCACTCACGTACCTTTAGCTAAGGCGAAACTGAAAGGTCCTACAAACTCGCTTACCACCAGCAGCGTAGGAGAAGAAACCCTTCGGGCAGCGCCCCCATCCGACTTTATAGATCCCAGGATCTCGCGAGAGAACCGGCCCGAAGGCGAAGAACCTGTCCGTTGGCTCCTCCTCTTTTCCCGCTCCTTCCCGCTTGGTGCCCCTGCAGCGCCAGCATGACTTTGCAGTTTATTCGCTTCGCGGCTTTTTGTTTGTTAGCAGAGGATCTTGGGGATAGGGCCAGATTAGTATCGCGAGTGGTCGAAGTATGGAGGGAGGAAGGAATCAATGAATGGGAGTGTAGGCAATCTGCAAAGCTCTCGATAGTTCTTTGGCAATGTGCCCGCTACCGGAAAAGTTTTCATTGCCGTGGCAGTTACGTTTTAGACTTTAAAACGTGGGTGCTATTAATACAGCAAATCAGAACGCATTACTGAAGGGGAAAGGAAAAAGAGGACAAGCGTTTCATTGAAATCTTGCTGTGCAACCGACTCAACTCTGAATGGAAAACGCAAAGTCATGCAAGATTGGCACTTTCTTGCACGAAGAGGAAACCTTTAGTTATTATCCTGGTTTAAGTTTCGTCATGTTGACTACGCTGCAGTTAAGTACAAGATGGGCCACTAATACTGTGTTTTAGAGTAGCTTCAGGTTCGTATCAAAGCATTCTGCTCAGTGCTGTTCAAAATTCAACTCGAAAACCGGGTAACGATTCATTCCAAGGAGCTTTCAGCGCTCATCTTGAGTTCTCCTTGTAGATGTGTAAATTCCTTTTGAATAGTTAAATTCCTGTCACACTTTCAAAGTGAATTAGGCCCTGCTTACCTGGGCGATGTTTCCCACAACCTGGCATTTTTAAATTTGTTTTATTTCTACAGACTTGTCACAAATTAAGTAGGTGTAGGGCCCTGTCTTTAGGAAGCGTGAGGTGGTGGCAAATGGGACCAGTGCGCACCATGTTGCTTGCCCTCCATGGTTTGTCACTATGTTCTGACCATAACCTGTCCAGGCCCAAAGATAATTGTTATAAAAATAGAATGTTATCATAAACATACATGCCACGACAGCTTTGTCACAGAATTTTGTAGGATAAATCTTCGATTTGGGGCAGGGCTACAAGAGGATTGATTTACTCATGACTTATCTCAGCATAGATTCCTATATCGATTATCAACCATTTCTTCACATAACTGACTTTAGGGTCTTTCATGACCACTTTACTCTCTATCACAAACATAATCTTAAGCATTCATTCCTTCATATTGAATTGTATTATAAGAAAAATGACTAAGCTGTCAGAATATATAATGTCAATCATTAAAAATATTATCAAATACACAGAAGAAAAACCCTTTATGCACTCTGTGCTACGAACGCAAACAAAGTTATTTTTCCAGTTGCATACATGTTACCTAACAGACATTCAGTTTTTTATAAATTTGATGTTATCCAGATATGTATGTCACTTCTGTGCACATAGGGCAACTCAACAAGTATTGGGTTGATCTGTTACTGGATGATCTAGTTTTCCTGTTTTAGGGTTCTTTATTTCATTGTCCCTGGTAACTCATGAATGGCTCCTATTCATGTCAGCCATTCTCTTGATACTGGCCATAACTTGCAATTTGTTTCTGGAAAGTGTCTTTATCAACAGTGTTCCCTTTTAAAATGCAGGTTCCCTTTTTTTTGGGGGGGGGTACTTTTATTCTCTCAAATATGATATGGATTGACTCCATAAAGGAAGCTACAGTCTTGAATTTACAAGAGCTGAGTTTTCATGGACAGGACATTACAGAGGATGTTCATTCATAGGGTCACTGTAAACCAGAGATAACTTGATGACATATAACTACTCTTTTTTTCAATAGCATTTCAAATGCTTTTCCTCTGCAACTTTTTTGCTCCTCCTTTCTGAGTCATGTTTTCCCCTTCTGTTCCCAAGAGATGGATAACATCATACATGAGTATTCATCTGAGTGGCCAAATGAGAATTTGCATTGGTACCTCTGAGATTTAGGGAGCTGGGGCAAGTGAATGCAGCAACCACAAAGGTTGACTGAGAGAGAAATAATAAAGCATTTAGGGACAAATAACACCTGCCTCAGTCCCAGATCATGGAAAAAACAGCAACAAATGTTAATGGTTTGACTCAGTGCAAGCATTATTGGGAGATATCCTGAAACTGAAAAGTTTGTATATAACAAATGAGGATAGGGATTGTATAATCCATGTAGTTGAAGAAAAAGGTACAGGCGGATTGGAGTAACATTTATTTTGAATTAATACCCACTATATTCATTGTTAGGGATGCAGGTGGCGCAGTGGTTCAAACTGCTGTGCTGCTGGGCTGGTTGATCGAAAGGTCGCCGGATCGAATCTGCACAACAGGATGAGTTCCCGTTGCTCCGTCCCAGCTCCTGCCAACCTTGCAGTTCAAAAGCATGCAAATGCAAGTAGATAAAAAGGTACCACTTCGGTGGGCAGGTAACAGCATTCTGTGCATTTCAGTGTTTAGTCCTGCTGGCCACATGACCACGGAGACTGTCTGTGGACAAACACTGGCTCCCTCGGCTAGGAAATGGAGATGAGCACCGCCCCCTAGGGTCAGGCATGACTGGACTTTAATGTCAAGGGGAAACCTTTACCTTTTACCTTTTTATGTTCAATGGAGCTTACTCCCAGTTAATTGTGCACTGGAATCTATTGTACTCAATGGAATTTAGTTCTGAGTCATTATCCATATGCCTGAAAATAGCTAGGACCTGTGGGATCTGATCAGTAGGATCCTGTTATGGATTCTGTTACAAGAATTCCCTGAAATTCTGTAAAAAACAATTTAAAATAATTTAAAAATTATTATACAGCTGCCTTTTCCAATTACATCTGTCAGTACTGACCATTGACCATGCTGGGGCTGATAGGAATTGATCTCAAAAACATCTGTAGCATCAGGAGGGGAAAACTAGCCAAGAAGTTGGATGATTATCATTGCAAAATTCTGCTCTATATGTACCTTCTGAGTCCAAGGTCCATGTTTCAGTTATGTTACTTGCTAAGCTAGGCATACATTTTGCTAAAATGAAGAATTAGATTCTCCTCCCCTACAGTGTATCAACAGCAGTGCCAGTGTGCATCCTATTAGCAAAACAACATGTGCACAATACATGTTACAATGTATGGATCGAACAGATGCCTTTCTCAATCAGGAACATTTCCCAATGATGCTGCATTTGTGGCATATTGCAGGAGTGACCAAACTGAGGCTCGGGAGCCACATGCAGCTCTTTGAGTTTATTTTGCAGCTTGCTGCCAAGCTGCCACTGCCCCTGTGCATCTGCTTGCAACTCTCAAACATCTGACATTTACCATATGTGGCTTTTCCATTGAGCAAGTTTCAATGGCATATTGGAAGTAGATAACTAAGCACAACAGGCATACAGAGAGACCCCTGGTCAGCAATTAGCATGTATCACCATCACTGGGGCACTAACTCAGGAGGAAAGATTGCGGAGAAGCTCCCAGTATTTGCTTGATGACTACCTAGTACTGTGTTTCCCAATACAGCATCCTCTAGATCAGACCTGGGCATTGTATGGCCCACGGGCCACATCCGGCCCGATGGCTGACCCTGACTGGCCCTCATGAGGTCACTGGCAAATTAAAAGTCAATGCAAATATATATCGTAATATAGATGCAAGCAATACAACTGCACTGCTTTTATTTTGAAGGATCTGCTGAATTGAATTGAATTTATTGCTTTTCATGTAATGTTATGTTAATGTTTTTGTGAATATTCATTAAATTCATTTTGTTCTGTGCTCCACATTTTCATTGTATCATTGTAATGTTTCATTTACTGTTTTTATGGAGATATATATTGAGCAGAGCTGTAAGTGTATTGGTCTGGCCCTTAACAACTGTCAAAGTTTCTCATGTGGCCCCATAGGAAAATTAATTGCCCACCCCTGCTCTAGATGCTTTATATTATGACCCTAAACATCCCTGACAATTGACCATGTTGGCTGGTCTGACGGAGGTTGTAGTCCAAAACATTTGGAAAGCACCAGTTTGGTGAATGTTGGATGCATGGCACACAGTTGTGTTACGAAGGCAATTATGAATGGAATGAATTTCTGTTAGCCAGCATAGGGCGCCTGGAGGAACTAACTGAAATCCTGATGCTTTGATTACAACTTCTGCCAGGCCCTGCCAGCAAAGCCAATAGGCAGGGGCAATGGGACCTGCAGAGTGAAATATCTGAGGACACTCTATGGGAAAGCTCTTATACAGGATAAATAATTACCTTCTTGATAATGAAGATAATGTTTGAGTTGATATTTAACTTGCCTTTATATGGATTTGAAAAATACAGTTGAAATTTACCACTGTAAAATGCTAGCTGAAGCAAAAAAAAAAGCAGGGATTGTTAATCAATAACAGCAGAATGTCAATGTTCAAAGCATGTATAAATGTGTGAAATACTGAGAATACATTTACACACTCTCAGATTACTACATAAAAGGGACATCTATGTAGAAAACAAAGTAGAACTACAATTATTCAGTTATTAATTTAAAAATTACCTGTTTCTATGTACATTCATAATATAGGGAAGCTTAGAAATCAACCTGGCAAGCTTCTTGGTAAACAACTAATTTTTAACTAAATGTAAGAGTCAATGTGGTTGTTACTGTGGCTGGCTTCACTCCATGAATCACTTATTGCTCATGATAGAGGTCTACTGAGGTATAATGTCTTCACTGGAGAGTCAATAGATCACAAGGATTGCATCCATAATTAAAGACAGTGTAAGATACTATTAAAAATGCAAATTTGATTATTAGAGATAGAAATTAGTGGAAGCAAGTGAAGTAGCAGACCTAATCTCTGTTCCAGTCATGCTGATAAATACACTTCTTGATTTTCCTTCATGCAACTCAGAGGCTGGCAGGATGTAGCCTGCCTGTTTTTTTTGTGGGGTTTTTTTTTTGGGTGGGGGGTTGGCCTAGCACTCCCATTATCTGTCACCATTGGCTATGCTAACTAGGGCTGATGAGAGTTCTGGACCAAAAATCTGGAATGCTACAAATTGGCCACCCCTCATATAACTTATCATTGACTTGTATGGGAAAATGGGAAATAAGCATTTTATCAGCCATATTTAAAAGCTGTTGCTGAGTTCCATCTCTACTGGGATTTGCTTAGAACCACCCCACAAACAAAAATGTGTAAAAGGATTGCAGGGCCCTGCTGTATAGCCCAGCCTCCTATCAGCTGTACCTTTAGCAGTTGTGTGAAGGTGGCCTATATGTACGTGGCCATGTGTACTCAGAGTCTGTGTGAAGAAAGATCCTAGTTCTATATGCATAGCTCTGTACATTTGTTTGGCCCCTCCACAGCACAATGCTGCACAGCGATCACATTACTGAGGCTTTTATATCCTGTTCATTAGCATGGAGCTCACACAACACACAACAGTTTTAGCTCTAAGATGATCATAGAATGTGTGAAGCTTTCCACATGGGACTTTTGCTACATGTACATTCGATGAGAAGCCTGGGCCATTCATAGCTTTTAGCCGTATATGTGCATTCTGCAAAGCCCTGGTTGTACACACTTTCCTCATGAAATAATCTAAACTCAAAAAGCAACTCTGAGAGACAGATCATGCCTGGATTCATAAAACCTTGCAGGGTGACTGACATGGTAAAAGAGCAAACCTGTTTCTATTGTGCCTATCTTTTCTAAAGAAACTATCTCCAAACCAATCTTCTCTCTTGTAGCAAAGCACCTGCTCTCTGTTTTATATAAACTAAATCCCATGAAACACAGCAAATCGTATGATGCAACAGATATTTCTATCAGGTCTTGTTAAAGGCGTTTTCGCTGCACCAAAAGCTTCGTAAAATCGGAGAAATACGGCAATGGTGTCAACTCTCTGTGCCCACGTGGACTGGAAAATAAGGAGGGCTGGAGAATCTATGGTTAAATTTCAAACCCGGAAACGGAAACCTTTAAGTCAGTTGCAGGGAGTTTAGCTCTCTTTTGAACTCCGGTGAGGGAAGGGAGAGTCCGATCTAGAGGTGTGTGGTGAGTGATCTGATGTGAGTTTCCCAAGGTTAGCTAATCGCCTTTGTCTGACTTGGTTTACGTCAATCAGTTTAGTGCATAATCAGGGGCTGGGTAGAAAGTAAGAGAGTTGTGATGGAGGGCGTGCCGCTCTCTTCCATTTTTTCCTTTGGCTGTAAAGTTGATGGGCATCGGATCCTCGAATTCATATAACAGCAGTTGAACGATGAAATACATTTTGTACTGCTGAACAGGTTGTTGGACATCAACGTGGTTTCATATGCATACACTGAGACTGTGCGAGTTTACTCCAAAACAGGATTTCTTCCAAGCGAGTGTGCACAAGCTGCAGTGCTATTTGCTTGGAAAAAGTGAGTCCTTGTAAGAGTGGGTGGATTTACTTTTGAATAAGCATGCATAAGTCTCTGACTGCAGAAAACTGACAGGTTATTAGTTTGGTTTATCAGTATACTAACCATGCTGGATCAGATCAAAGCCCATTTAGACCAGCATTTTATTCACACAGTGGCCAGTCAGATGCCTACAAGAAGTGGATACGTATACTTGGCAGTAGTTGCATATAAAAATCTATTTATCTCTACACTGAACAACTGTAAGTTTTGTGTGCATTAACCATTCTTTAATGGTAGAGATCCCTGTTCCATATTACTGACTAGTAATGACTAATAAAGGCAGCTGAGAAAAGGGAATAGGGCTCCTGCACCGTTAGTAGTTTTGTGGAAGAGGAAATTTCAACAGATGTAATTTCCACGTGTTCTTTTCTTTCTGGCTACCAGGCTAGGGAACCTTTTGGCATTGATGTTAAATACTTGGTAATATCTGTGTGAAATGTATAAGTGGGCAAACCGTTTATCTTTGGTGAGAAAAAAGGATTCATATGCTGCAGGTGGATTCCATTTTAATTTTGAAATGGAGGCATTATAGTTTGCGTGATCCTCTGCCTTATGAACTGCATATGCAGGGTGTATGCATTTATGCCTTATATTTATGGGCGAAATTGTTGCTACTTGCCAGCACCTACATATTCCCTATGTATTGCTGTGGTGTGTAAGTGCAACAAATCTTGTAAATGACAACCAGCCTTCCTATAACTGGGGTCTGGGAAATAACTATTTGCACTTTTAAAAGTTAAGGTCTTTAACAGCTAAGGGATTTCCTAAAGATTTGCATGTGCAATCTCTGCTTGTCACATTACTATAGAACTGTTTCCACTTGAAATTATTGGTTTTGTTTATATCCTCCCTTTTTTCCTTTCAAGGAGCTCAAGGTGGTTTACATAATCCTCAGCTCTTCTCAATTTTATCATCACAATAACCCTGTGAGGAAGGTTAGGCTGAGAGTCAGAGTCCAAAGTCAGCTAGTGAGCTTTGCAGCAGAGTGGGGACTAGCACCTGGATTTCCTGGATTCTGGTTCAAAATTCTAGCCACTATGCTACACTGGCCCTAATAAATTGAAAATAATAAGAAAACTTTGAATTACGTTAAATTTGTCTATATTTAACTGAGGTTAATGAGTGAATGCATTTCAGAAACTTTTTATACTGCTTTAGAAACAATAGGAGAAGGCTGCACGGTTGCAATTCTATATATAAATTGCCTAGACAAAGGCCTAACTGAAAACCATGAGCATTTCTTCTGGGTAAATGTGATTGGGATCAGGCTGTAAATAGAGCTTTATTTATATAAGGTTAAACCTTTTATATGTTTACGGAGTACTTGTAGGATTGTAGAATAAACATGATAGTTTGTGGATTGCCTTGTTATAGAGCTACTCTTGTATAACCTAAAGTTAAATCAGGTAGTATTTGTAAATCTAATGCTGCAGAAGATAACATCTTTAGGGGAGCTGCATAGACCAGAACATGTGTAAAAATATACCCTGTAGTCCTTAAAACAGAATAAATTACAACCTAGTTTGTTCTTCCATTTTGCTTTCTGTGTTCTGTAGGTGTACTTTTCATTAGAATTAATCCTGATCTGTTAACCACTGGACTTTACTTACACATGTTAGTGAATAGTTATTATGTTCAGTAACTTGTTCCTGGCTCAGAGACAAGCACTCAAATGTAATGTTTCTCTTATTGAAAATGCACAAATAGATTGCAATGCTGAATTACACACTTCAAAATCATGTGTGTTAATTATAGACTGTCACATGGTACTCTGTATGTTTTATGCTAACACTTTACCTTTATCTTTTTTTTTTTCTTCTTGTTGTTTTGAAGGCTTCCACTTAGGAAGGCAAGGTGAAAAGGGGTAGGTTGAGCTTGTAATAATGATTAAAGGTGCGTAACAGTACAGGAGACACAAAGCAAGGCTACAAATCTGTTATTTTGTTAACTTCCTTTTCAGATGACAGCTATCAAATGGCAAGCTGTCAATTGAGAAGTAAAGCTAGAAGGAGATCTTTAACTATTGAAAGGGGGCAGAAGTGGATCACCACTTTCTAAGCATGAAACTTTAGTTTATGGTTTGGACCTGATTGTTCTCAGTGTGTTCCATCTTTTCCATCCTTTCTTGAAACCCTGAATGACTTGAGACAGTGAAACAGTGCAAGCCTTCCTATTTATGGGATCATAGTTTTTTTGAAAGCTGTCAAAACTAAGACTTCTTTTTAAAACAACAGGCTTTCTTCCCCCTGCCTTTTTTATTTTGTGCTGGGGAATATGGAGCCATGAAATCATTATACATTCCTGTAAAAATGCTCTGTTATTATTACCAGTGCTGGTCTTGGAGATTTCCAAATTCTAGCACATCTATGGACTAACTGAGGCAAGTGACTAATTTTCATCTTTAGTTTCAACAACTTCCTCAGGAATAATAATGGAACTGAGGCTACAATCCTACAATTCATAATTACTTGGGAGTGAGCTCCACTGAACTCAAAGGCACTTTCTTCTGAGTAAACATGAAGATTGCACTGCTAGGCTACAAAATCTGGAAATGTGCACTTAGCAAAGGGCCTTTTAATTAAAAGTGCATATGCTTAAGTTCTAGTCCCATCTAAATAAGTCCTGTATCTTAGACATGGAGAGTCTATAAATAGAGATGAAATAACATTGTAACAAATAACATACAAAAACTGCAAAGCTGCACAAACTGCGGAAACTGATCCAGAGTGGAACTCTTCAAGATTTATTTCCTCTTACAGTTCAGGCAACGGAGCAACTTCTGGTTCACATTGCAGGATGTTCCTCTTTGATAAACAGAATATTCTTCAGAAACACATACGCCTGCAATGAGCCAACAGAATGCCAAACAGAATCTCCTAATCCTTTTCATATGGACAAGGGAGCTTGTCTCATTGTTTTAGTGAGAATTGCTTCTGAGTAAACTCATACAGGATCATACTTTCGGAAAATGTTCCTGTGGGGTGCAAAACAAAATGTTGGATGCACAAAGGTGAAGTAAGAGATAGCTTATTTTATTTGTACATGAATGGTAAAACATTCCTTGCCCTAGAAACAAACTAGGTTCCCTCTGCCAAGGTCTTAGACATCAAAGGGCTTCTCTGGAACATTAGAGAATTGAAAGTGCAATCCCATGGATGGTTACTCAGACATAAGCCCTGTTCAATGGAATGTACTCCAGGCAAGTGTGTGTAGGATTTCAGGTCAAGTTGTGCACCCAGGCAGAAGGGGCCTCAAGGACAAGAGTGGGATGGGATGGTGGCCTCAGGAGAGCTCACCGCCATCCAGCCTGTGCCATCACTGGGATTTGGACTGTAGAGGGGCTCCAAGTGGCAAGAGTGCCCCTGAACAAGGCCTCTGGGGCTGCATGCGGCCTACATGCCATGTGTTGGACCACCCCATGCTAATGTATGCCTGTCCTGAAGCTTCTTCCTTTGGGAGCAAAGCTTAGACATACTAAAGTTTGTCTATCCTGAAGGATTTTTTCTCTTGTGTTGTCTTAATCTATTCAACCCCATTGTTTTACTTTTGTGTGCCTCTAGCAAACTCCCTGTGTGATCCCCCTCCCTCAAACTGTATACATAAGTAATAGGTTAGAAAAGCATCTTGTACAAACGCCATCTTTATAGCCCCTTCAATGGCTATCTACATGCAGCTTATATTTCTTGTATGTCTGAATAAACTGTACATATTTTTTGATTGTACAGTCCCAGTGTACCTACTCTTTGTTTTTTCTTGTCACTAGTTTACTTAATCTTTGAGTTGTTAATTCTGTGTGGTTGAGATATGCAAACCCAGTGGACTGTTTTGCAGAATAGTTGGCCCATTGTAAATTATTTAAGCAGCACTTTTATATGCAGCTGCCACTTTGAATATGCAACTCACTATTGTGGGTTGCACTGTGTTATGTGAACCTGGCTACTGTCGGTTATTCAAGGGTTAAACAACCCTCAGAGGACCCTGCTACTAAATGAGGTTTATGTAGAGGTTGTTTAATTGGGGGTTGTGTATTCAAAACACCATCTGTGCACACCTAGCACACATCACAGCTTATTGTATGGACCAAGTCAGTGTTAACCAGCCAGATTTTGTTAACTTTAAAGAAGATTCAACAATGAAGATCCAACAATCCATGGTTTGTTGGATTGTGAACGCTGGGTTGTCTAAACCCTGAGTTTGTCGTGTGTGAACCCAGCACCACGGGTAGTTCATGGCTTGTTTCATCAGGTTACATAGGTGGTAGTGGGGCAACAGCAATTTTAAAAAGTCATTATACATACCAGTATATTTGGAATACAGGGAGGGAATAGAGAAGGGAAAGGAAGACAAACAAATCTGGAATTGAGAAAACGTTGCATGGTTTGTTCCATTGTCTGCCAGACTATCCTTGAACAGAAAACAAATCATGGGTTCACTAAATTATAAGTGTTGTATACAAACTAGGTCATAGTTTGTTTGTTTATTTATTTAGCAAATTTCTATGCCACCCCATTCGCCAAAGCCTCGGGGCGGCTCACAAATCTATCAGTTAAAATATTGTACAATAAAAATATAAAACAAGTTAACAAGATAAAATAAGTCGCCCTGGCTGAAGAATAAAAAATAAATAGTATTAACAGTTAAAATGACGTTTGAATAAAAAGGTCTTCGGCTGGCACCGAAAAACGAGTAACGACGGCACCAGGCGGACCTCTCTGGGGAGCGCATTCCATAGATTGGGCGCCACCGCAGAGAAAGCCCTCCTCCGAGTACTTACCCTCCTAATTTCCTTCACGGAGGGTTCCCGGAGAAGGGCCTCTCCCGCAGATCTCAGGGGGCGGGCGGGCGGGCATAGTTCCCTATCACCGACAATCACAAAAACTATAACTGCACTAAAACCAGATGCTAATAGTGTGTCTAAATCACAAGGGAATATTCAACATAGCAACTTTTTGATAGCTGCCTCTATTTTACCAACATTACTTAGTACTATGGGAAAAAAAAGGAAAATCCTTATTTCTGTTATGCTTGTGCTAGTATTTTTTTCTTTCCTTCCTAAGGAATTTAAGTGAAATAAATCAGATTTTTTTGCTTACAAATTGAAGTTTTCACTTTACTGTACTGTCAGAATATATTCATTTTTCCATCAGATACAAATGAGCACTGAAGTTTCAAGAACATTTGTGGGGTAGCAGGGAAGGAGCAAATCAGTGCAGGTCTATCTTGTAAGATAGGAATTTGAGAACGAACAACTTGTTACGAAACGAGGCTTTGACTATTTTCTTGAGCACAGACCAAGTCTGCTCACCTTATGTGCTACTTTGAGTTGGTCAGATAGTGGAATCATGCAAATGGCAAGCTGCAAGTACAGACCTGTCTGAACTGCACATGCCTATAATATCTTCAAACTAAAATCCAAGGTGTGTGGTAGGGGAAGAGAGAGCCCAGTTTCAAAGTTTAATTTCTAGTGCTCAGTACTGTCTAAACTGTTGCTCACAGCATCCTTTTTTGCTTTTCAAAAGAAAGCATAGCCTCCTAATTTGAAAGGAATAACTTAAGCATTGGTCATAATTTAAGGATAGCGTACGTTTGCTCTCCCCTCAGGCACAACACCTGGGCTTTGCAAACTAGTTCGACAGTGATTACAGAAATGAATTTAAGATTTAGTATTTTATCTCTAGATAGCTGTAAAGATTGCACGAATGTTTAGAAATTTGCTGTCCTGATTGTTGTTTCTGCAGTGAAAGCCCATGGGTATACATTTTCTAAATAAATCAAATTGATATACTGTTGTAATCCATCCTGTTATATCTTCATATTTGCATTAAAGTTCTTAAATTCAGTGAAACATAAATAAAATACAGTTATGTAGTGAAACAGCTTGATATAGCATACTAGTTAATTTTTCAAACTATCTCATTTGATTTAGGTAAAGATGTCTTCTGAGTGCAATTATGTTTTACTTCATACTGGGCAAAAGATGCCTCTTGTAGGATTGGGTACTTGGAAGAGTGAAGCTGGACAGGTGAGTACTGAGTGTTTGGGGTGTGGGGGAAAATATAGTGTTCTGTACTTAAACCTCTCAAGTTTTGCTTCTGAAAACATACTTTCTGTGGCTCTGAAGAAAGGTAAGGTCACATGGCCTGGGTTTATATTCTCTGCAGACATACTATTTCAATCCTGCTTGAAGAATTAGGAGTGCTCCATGGGATGTTGTGCTTTCTTGCCCTCCCTCTATTTGCACACTTCCTCCTTTTCTTTTTTTAAGGGAATGATAACATTGTGTTGCATCTTCTCTAAGATTAGGACTAACACACTGTCAAAGAGGAAAAACCAAATAGTGGTCCTTTATTGTGGCAAACACATATTTGCCTATTTTTTCTGTTTGTTTTTACTTACTGGGGAGAAAATCTGAATTGCCACAAAATAGAGCTAGGATAGTTTCACTCACAGAGTACATTTTCCTCATTAAATCATGATAAAGTACTGTAAGGTGTGTAACTGTTTCAGTTACACAAAGGTGTAAAGATTCTGCCCCATTTCCCCCTGTCATCAGAGCTATTTAGGAATCCCAGCAATGTAACCTGAGTTCCAGTATACCATGCATTAATCTCGGCTTGTCAGCTCATTGTACTAGCTGTATTCCATTGCTTTTAAATAGTAGCCAAGCATGCTGAATATAAGCAGCTGAGGCATGAAGTTGATTGGGAGTCATTTCAGTTTCTTAATTTCCTCATGTCAAGTTCCTGTTTTCCACAAGTATCTTCAGGAACTTTCCTTCCTCATCCATGTTTTGTTTTGTTTTTGCATAATTTCCACACAGAAGGACTAGACTGTAGGTCTATTTAAGTCATGATTTGTTGTTGTTGCTGCTGCTAGTCGTGAAGTCCGACACATTCCGACCTGAGGGGCTCACCTTCCGGCCTCATATCTTTTTGCCTTTTGGTACTGTCCATGGCGTTTTCATGGCAAGGTACTGGAGTGGGTTGTCATTTCCTTCTCCCTTTGATCACCCTTTGTCAGAGCTCTCTGCTATGACCTGTCCGTCTTGGGTACCCCTGGAGTGCTCACTGGATAAGAGCCTAATGCTGGGAACAATTGATGGCAAAAGAAGAAGGGGACGGCAGAGGATGAGGTGGCTAGATGGAGTCACTGAAGCAGTCAGCATGAGCTTAAGTGGACTCTGGGGATGGTGGAGGACAGGAAGGCCTGGAGGAATGTTGACCATGGGGTCGCGATGGGTCGGACACGACTTCCCGACTAAGAACAACAACAACAAGGGCTCTTTTAGTTTAACAGTGATCTTTTTCTAGCATTCTGGTGCCTGCTCCAGGGCAAGTTTCTGCAGACAATGTAATACCATATATTGTGTGATTGTTACAGAAACACTTAATCTTATTTACTGCTTTGTTAGCATATTAAGTGATATAGGATATTCCTTAGAATTACAGTAATTGCACAAATCCTTAGCCACTGTGTTCTCCCTTCTCTTCTTTACAGGCTTTTATAGTATTTTTTTAAAATACTTTAAGCATGCAGTAATAGTTAGGCATATTCTACCAGAGCCCTTAGACATGGAATGTATTTTATAACATCTTCTTAGGATTCTGAGTATACAAGCACTGTGACTTTACTGTGACTTGACTGTCAGTTCAGTGTTGTTGTCCCACAACACCCCCTTTTCCTTCTTCCCAGCCTCTGTGTGTGCATGCGTGCGTGTGCTTTTTTTTTTTTTACTTTACACTTTTCCTGATCAAAAAGATCTGAAGTCTCAAAAGTTTGCAAGGTTTTTGTGATCTTTTGGTTGGCATTTGGAATGTCAGTAATAAAAACTCTTTTCTTGTTCTTGTATAACATAAATCTATTTTTATTTCTTTCTTTATTTTATTTATATCCTGCCTTTTTCCTACAAAGGGCTCAAGGCAGCTTACATCTCTTCCTCCATCTTATCCCCACAACAACAACCCTGTGAAGTAGGTTGGGCTGAGAGTCTGTGACTGGCCCAAAGTCACCCAGTTGGCTCCATGGCTGAGCGGGGACTAGAACCCAGGTCGCCTGAGTCCCAGTCCCATGCTCTTAACCACTACACCACACTGGCTCTCCCATGGGTTAAATTTCCTGTTGGGAATTGTGGTGTCAGCTATCATTTTTAAAATGCAAACCACACCAACAATGTCTGTGGCTTGTTATATATCTGGCTGGAGTGGGTTGTTGGAATGGTTAACAAACCACCAGGAACCCATGGCTTGCTTTACTTTAGGGTTCTAGGTGGCTTGTTAACCACACCATGAACCCACCCTTGTTCCTCTCAGATGATGCAAGAAGCTACAGCACATCCCTCTCCACTGGTTGCATTTTAGCAGTGTTGACCAGCACAGGACAAGTTCCTTGGAAATTAACCCAGAGAGGTTTGCTGTTACATGCGATCCAGCATATTTTTTTGTTTATTTCTCAGGATAAATGCCAAACCTAAATTATGCTTTATGATTACTGTAGGGTCTTTGCTTTAAAAAGAGTGATTTCAACTTTTATTATTCAAGTATTGTGAAGGTACATTCCTATTAATAGCAATTTAACTACTTTTCAAAGTTCTGCAAAGTCAAGAATAAACAGGTGTTCAGCAAGGCTGGGATTTCATTAGTCAGCCTTGTGATTGCAGACCCAGTATTGAGCTAGTGAGACAAGTAATGGTCTCAGGTTACTGTAAGATTGCTGAGTGAAATGTAAGCCTGTTAATCATTTTCCTAATAGATGAATTGGTTCATTATTATTTAGACATTTACAAAATGCCAGGTATAGAATTAGTGTTGTGTTTAGTACGATGGTTATCTTGAAAGTAGATATGGTTCAGTTCATATTCTTACGGAGATTGGCAAGAGCTAAGAATTCTTAAAAATAATATATTTCTTCTTAAAGGGCACTGATTTTCTAGCCCTAGCATAGCTCTTCACACATTTATTTGGCAGATGGAAACCAGCAGAATACCTTAAGCCAAGGTAATGACTTACTGAACTGGTTTGAACAAAGGTTCCCTTTGGCCAGCAGTATGCCAACTCATAGAATGGTGTGAAGACTGATGAAATTACATTTATCTGAACATATAAACAGTAAAAAGCAAATCATTCTTCTCCTTCTCAACATCAATGTTATTTATTAATGTGGGATGGATATTCATCTCCTTCCCCCATATTTGTTTTTTTAAATACACAAAGATTCTAAAACACACATAAAACCAGTTTGGTTGGTTTAGAAATGAGACATGCTGCATGTGCCTTTTCTTTTTTTACCATTGATTCATACAGGATAAACATTTTTCCATGGGGGAGAAAAAAACCCTGATCTCTGTCTAGTGCCTAGTAGATGATAGGTCTAGTATTCCCTACTCATCCAAGTAGATGGATGATGCTGTAATGGCAGCATTACTAACAACAGTGTTGTCACAATGCTGTGGATTTCTGGAGGTAAGAAGAGTGCCAGGACTGGGGACAGGTATCCTTCTGATTTCTAATATATAATTGCTATGGCAGCTCTTAACCTGGAAACAGTGTTATCATGACACGGATAATGTGCCTAATCTGTGTTAAGTATATGTTAATTGAAATGAGTGGGGCTTAAGTTAGATTAACACTGGATACATCCCTTTATCAATACTAGAAATCATAATAAAATATTGGAGGCAGGAGAATAGGCATGATGTGGCATTAGCCAGGGGTTGAAGTGCACATGTTTGTGCATATACATATCTTTTATAATACAAATTTGTGATTCACTTGGATCTAGCAGTTGAGGGAGCAAGTGGGTTGAAATCCATTATCTGTGAATCCTGAGTTCAAATGCTTCTCTGGTCATAGGATTGTACAAGAAACATGTCTTTTTTATTGTGCAGCCTCATTTCTCCATCTGAATGTAGGTTGGAAATATGTCTGCCACTAAAATTTTTACAGCTGCCTTATCCATTGCTTATCATAGTGCTGAATGCTGTCCCAGAAAGAAGCAAGACAGGGAAGAACACCACCCACCTTCCATGAATTTTATAGCCTATATTAAATTGCCAGTCCAACTTCCCTGAGGCACCATTTGCTGACTCTACTCTTTTATGTACATGGCATGAATATGGAGGCCATGAATATGAGTATTACTATATGAGTATTGCTTAATGTGTTATAAATTACTAAGAGCCCTAAATGCTGACACGCATGCTTGTCTTGGTCTTTTTCCCATCTTAATAGAAAAGTTTATGAGTGCAAATTGAGCAACTCATCTAAATTAAATGTGTTTTAAGGTGTTAAATGTTTTTCAGCCGAACTGCTGTTAGCTTATTTACAAGGCTATGGAATTCTATCTAAAGTAATCAGCCTGCAAAAAAAAAAGGGGGGGGGAGCTGACAGAAAATGGAGAAAGAGCTGCATTTCTATGCTGGACATAGAGGACACTAGCTTTTGTCTTCCAGTACCCTTCTTGGTTTTTGTGCTTGGTGCAGAGGGAGGGAATACCCATCCCTTCTCCACCATCCTACTCATTCACCTGCATGGAATTCCATGTGTTCACCTGCTTTCCTGGTCTCCTATGGGTAGTAGGTTGCTAAAATGCAAGATTATGTCAGCATGCCATTAATCTTTTCTCTGTTGTGGTATCATGCCTTGTGAAACCTGAAGCGTGTTGCAAGAAGTATTTAATGAGCTAAGCCATCATTCACAAGTTTGTTTAACTTCACCACTGGTTTCATCCCTACTGGTAGTTGTGACCATAAGACATGCCTGGGAGGAGGCAAGATCTCACCAGTTCTGCTCTTATGAGGAAGTGGAACTGCATTATCATTGTGACTAAGAGAGACTGATCTCTCATTCAGATAGCCTTTTAGAACATCAGAGCATTTTGTGCCACAGATGCTTTATCCATTCTTCAGACTCCTGATAAGGAAAAGGAAATTAAATTCATCAGGCAGTAGAGGCTCTGGTCTTTTTAAATACATACCACCTATAAATCAAAGGTTCTTGTGTCCCTTTTGTGGTTGTTTCATCTCCTTTGAAGCAAATCATGCAAGAGCTTTATGGAATGAATTATGTAGATTTACTATTCTCAAATCACATCTGTAGTGTTTACAAAATGTAATGATTTTTCATCAGAGAACTATATAGTAACTTTAAAAATATGAAGCATAGTTCCTGTGGTAGTGGGATATGTGAAATAGCTTTATCTTGCTGAGACCCGCATATATATTATCTCTCTGTTCATGTGCAACTGAACAGTGGTTTCTGTAGTAGCACCAGCATTGCATCAGTTCAATGGTCCTGTTTGCACAGCTATGATATGGCAAGTTCTCATGACATGACAATCCACCTTGAGAATACACTATGCAGTGTGGACTGTTAATGACCAAATCATAGTATGCCCTAGGCAGTTGGCCTCACTGTGGGTTGTTCCCCACTTCCTTCCACCTTGATTCTTGTTCACCATACACACATACATTGTAGCAGAAATGTATACAGATACTTATGTTATTTAAAGTGTAGTTCAAGTGTAAGTAACTCTGTCTACCCTTAATACAAATCCTTGCTCGGTCAGTGTTCTGGTAAAAGTCCTGAAATTTTCATATGTCTCAGTTAAAAAAACAACAAGCCTGTTTAACTTTGTAAAAAAATAAAATAAAAACACAACATGTTTCTTTAAGCCCTCAATTTTGACAGATCTCAAAAGTAACACCACCTGTAAATGGGGTGGGCCTCACTTTTCAACTTTTGTGATTGCCTAGATGCTCTGGAAAGAGTGAAATAAGTGGAAGATATTGTGATGTGTCCAGGTCAAACTTAAAACTTGCTAATCCTTTATAAGCAAAAATCCTCTTTAGGCTTTTGGCAATTGACAGCTATCAAGTGAAAGCAAAATAAGGTATTTGAAAGCTGGCTTTGTAATTGTCAGTGGATGTTGCTACTTTGACAGCAGACATTTACCAGGACAGGTAACTGGATTTGTGTACTTATGCACCTCCAAATTAATAAATATATTTATGTATATTTCTGGCATAAACAAAAAATACAGGTGCACCAGTAATGGCTGCTTCTGTATCCCACTTGGGTGCTTCGGAGAGGCTGGCACAGACGGTTGCTTTGGAGATTCTGAAATGGTATCTCCCACATAAAAAAAGTGGGGAGAAAGAAAACAGGGTCATGATTGGAGCAGCACAGAGCGGCCCATTGAGAGTTGCTCCAAAGTCCCACGTGGGCACTTGATGGGCAGCTATTACTAGGATAGCCAGGGTGAACCTGGCAAGACCAGCAGCAATGGTTTTTGTTGCTCTTGCTGAGCAGCCTGCTTGCCAGTCCACAACCCGTGAAGGGGTCAGTCACCTGTGTTCAGGTGATGTGGCAACCCATCATAGGTTCAACAATCCTTAAAGCAAGTTATGAATGGACAAAGTGGCTTCTTGAGGAAAAGCAAGGCACTGTGGAGCAGCCTGGGTTCTCACAACATGACAACCCACTGTGGCTAGTTATTCTTTGTGGACTCTTGTGCCATTGGTACCCACTGTCCTATGTGGAAAAGTAAAGGGCTACAAAGGGGTAGATGAATAACGTGTATTTCTTCGATATATTGATCATATGCAGTTTGGTACTGTCTCCCATGGCATTTGGATGTAGTCTTGGATTGTTGGTGCTGAATGTATTCCATTTTTATCTTTCCTCCAAGAGGCTCATAACAGCAGACTTTGTTTTCCCTTCTCCATTTTATTCTTGCAGTGACCTTATCCAGTAGGTTCAGTAGGCTTTTTGACTGACTGAACTGGGATCAGAATTCAGAGTCCAAAGTAATGGTATAGGTCAGTAGTTTGAATTCAAGGATGACTGGGTTTATAGGCAAATGACTACACTGTTTCAAACAGGGCCAGTGCTAGATACTGAAAAGATCCAAGGTTTGGGTCCACAGGGGGAGGGGGAAGCACACATTGGTATATGCTAATTTACATATGGTCTAAAGTGTGTAAAGGAACCTGTCTTCCTAAAGACACCCATATTTGTAAAAAGGGATGTATGGATAGGGAAGTAGAGGTCATTTGGTTTCAGGGGAGAAAAAATCCAGGCAGAAAGGGGGAGGATCAGTTGGCAGTGAAGCACATGTGGGCAAAAAGCCAGCAGATCCAAAAGGGTTAGGCAGGGCCATGCACCTTTATTTTAGCAAGTGCTTATAGACAGTAGGGTGATGGCACAGATACCTTCCTGGAGATCTGGCGTTCCAAATAAAAGATTCAGGACTTCATCTGTAGTGGGCTGTCCCCAATACTACCTCTGATTTCAGAGCAGAGTAGTGAAATATAGGAGAAAGTATAGGAGTCCAGCTGCAAGGGAGGAGATAGGGAAGGCTCTAGGAGAATTGGTCCAGAACATTTCTCACTGGCAGCAGGAACATACTCCATCCTGGATTATTCATTGACTTCCTGAGCCTCTCCCTGACTCACAAGGACAATATCCCAGGGAAAACAGAATCAGTAAGTTTGACAAGGATACATGAAGTCTCACATGGAGGTCTAGTAGTTTGTCTAAGTGAGAACTCCACAATGTCATATTTATGGCAATTATTTGCTGCTGCTTCTTTTTTGCAAGGAGATTTTTAGAATTTGTTTTGTTTTAAGAAAGCTATTTGGGAATTGGGGAGAGTCTTGTTTGACCTCTAAACATCTGGATCCTAGAGATGGCTTTCCTGCTGTACTATGTTCTTTGTCTCCCTCTGAGTGAATTGTTAAATAAATGACCTTCATGGATGTCCACAAAGAAATGACAAAGTTAACAAAGGCCATTCGTAGAGAACAAGTTGCATATGGAGCGTATGGGGCTATTTACACTCGCAAAAAACTCTCCTTCCTTTCAGAATTGGAATGGGGGGAGGGCTAAAACCTGACACAGAATCATTAGCAACTTTATATGTTATTGCTAGCATAACAACTAATATTGTGGCAGCTATATCTTGAAAGCACGTACAGTGGCATCCATCATAATCCTAAAACAATAGAAACACAAGTACAACCTACAGTTTCTAAATCAAATATTGTAGTTACATTTTAAAAATGTTGCACATTAAACCTGTCAACAAGAATACTACATGCTAAGAGGGAGTTAGAAGAGCATTGCAGATTCATGGCACCACACAACAGGAAAGGCCCTTTTTCTCACACTTAATCATCAAATTTGAAATGCACCAAGATTTAGGAATTAATACTTTTTTTCCAAAGGTCTGGGTGATGAGTAAGCTGCAGGACCTTGACTGAGCATAGGTCCTCCTGCAATTGTTCCTTGGTTACAGCCTAGCATGCAGTTTTAATTATCGTTAGGAAAAAGTAAGTCTTCACCCAATAAACTGCACATTGTGCAGAAGTTTCCCGTTCCCTTCCCCAGCTTTTATCTGAGGTTGCTTGGTCAACATATATTCTGGTTTCTCTTCAGATCGAATAACTCTTTCGCCTTTCCTAAACATGTATGTTGGAACTCAAGAGCAGAAGAATTCCTAGCATGCTATGTCAACCTAGTACTTCCCTCCTGTTTTATATTTAAAGAAAAGGGTATAAAGTTTTGAATCCAGAGGTGCGGATTCAAAACTTTTCTGATCCATGCGGTCAGAAAGCCCTGTACACCTTGAAAAGCTGCTCCTGAGGGTTGTGGGTCTTCCTGGAACAGTGTGTGATGTAGTGCAAGTGGCTGCAGTGGTTAGGGGGAAATCAGTGAACACTGAGGGAGTCACTTTGTTTTCTGCTTGGGCAATGGCACCTTTGAATCAAAACCATTGTAATCCTATAAAAGGAACAATTTCATAATAAGCTATGCACTTTATTCCTAGTGCTTATTCTGCCTTCCAGCTTATCTGAAAAGTCTTGCTGAAAAAGGGAATAATATTGGGTAGTGAGGCTGAATTAACAAGAAGCACCACTAGGCCTTCTACCCATCCAATCTGCTAATTGGTCTCTCTGCAACTTTGTCAATCTCCACATTGCTGGCCATCTCCTTGCCCAAATATTTGGATGCCTTAAGGTGGGCATTTGTCTCTTTAGTCGGCTCTCATACCGCCTATTTCTCACAAAGGATCTGCATTCTCCCCAACCATATTCCCAACCAGAGAGGTCTGTGCAGAATCTACAATGTTTGTCTTATTATTAATTGTAGATTCGGAATACTACTTGGAGTTAAAATACAATAGGCCTCCACACTTTCTAATATAATGACATCTCTACTTTCTGTTTTAGGTGAAGGAAGCAGTAAAGTATGCCCTTAGCGTAGGTTATCGCCACATTGACTGTGCTCCAGCTTACAGCAACGAAGCAGAGATAGGCGATGCTTTCCAGGAGACGGTTGGCTCTGACAAGGTAAAAAAAAAGTAGCAGAATGTATATTGGATAATGCTGAAAAATAATGGCAAAAAGGCTAGTCTGTATGTATCCATGTTTATTTCAGATTGGCTCTGCTTATAAACCTATTTCAGTAATTACCTCTCCATATAAACCTACCAAAATCAGAAATAACAATTTCTTACCATCATACTGTTGGCTTGACATCTGCTGTTTTCTAGATATTTTCCTTTTGTTATTCCAAAAAATTTATAGGACACAATTTTAAAAGATGCTGCCATTGTTTAAGGAGTAGAAATGAAACTTCATTGTTGCTATTTTATTGCTACATACCATCAAGTCATCTCCAGCTGGCAACCCTATGAATGAATATTCTCCAAAATGTCCAGTCCTAACAGCCTGTGTAGTTCTTGTAAATTCAAGACTGTGGCTTCCATTATGGAATTGATCCATCCATATTTGGTCTTCCTCTTCTTCCTTTGACTTTCCCTAGCATGATTGCTTTTCTCCAGCAAGTCTTGCCTTCTTATTGTATGTTCAAAGTTTTGTCATTTTTGCTTCCAGGGAAAGTACTGGCTTGATTTGATCTAGAAACCTCTGTCAGTTCAGGGTCTGTCTGTCTGTCCATCTTTTGAGGCTATTCTCTAGCACCATGTTTTGAATACATTGATTTTCTTCCTGTCAGCTTTCTTCAATGTCCAGCTTTTGCACCCATACATAGTGATCAGGAATACAGCCAAGTGGACGATCATAGCGTTGGTCTCCACTGAAACATTCATTCACTTGATTATCTTTTCTACTTCCTTCATTGTTGCCTTTCTATGTCATGTTATTCTAATTTCTTGGCTGCAGTCTCCATTTGAATAGAGGTTTGAGCCAATGTATGCAAAATCTTGCACAATGCATTTCATTGTTGACCTTACAGTTGTGTAATTCTCCTGAAGTCACGATTTTTGTTTTCTTGCTGTACAGTTGCAGCCTTGCATTTGCGCTTTCTTTCACTCTCATTGGAGTCATTTCAGTTCATTGCTGTTTTCTACCAGTAATGTGGTATTATCTGCATATCTTAATTATCACTATATCTTCCACCAATTTTCACTCTTTTCTCCTCCTAATTCAATTTTCCTTATGATACTTTCTGCATGGAGACTGAGAGCTAGAGAGAGAAAATAGAGTTGTCTGATACCTTTGCCTATAGGAAATTTCCGGTTTCATATATTCTTCCCTAATAGTAGCTTCTTGTCCATCCGGACAATCAAGTGCTGAGGCACACCCATTTCTTTCAGAACTATTCATAGCTTTTTGTCATCCATAGTCAAAGGCTTTGCTATAGTTATACAGCATGGATAGGTATTCTTCTGAAATACTCTGGTGAGCCCCAGTAGTTACCATGTATTTGCAATATGATACATCATGCATTTTAGTTTGAGCTTCACTGCCATTGTCTGTGAAAAATCCCCCACCACTACTGCCCAGTGACTGTCCTCCAGGAGTTTCTCCACCCACCCAATTTCTTTTCTATGGATGTGCCCATTATTCCAAAAGATGGCAGATGCAGCTCAGTCTAGTGCTTCATTCTATCTTGGGTGACCCTGCTAGGAGACTAGCCTAGTGAGACAATCTAGCCTCCTGGTGTCATTGCTCTCAGTTTCTCTGACACTCACAAACCCCCTCACCATGTTAAAGTATGCATCCAAGAGGGGAAGCTTCACTAGCATATGCTATTACTTGTGGAACAGAAAGTCCAGTTTCATGAGAGAGTACAAGAAGGGATGAGTAACTTCTTAAGCAATGAAAGCAAATCAGAAATGTGAATTGGAGAAGTATGCCTAATGTCCATGTTTTACGTATACATTTTATGTTATCCGCATATTATTACCATTCATGTGGTAGGTACCATCCAGAGAGACTTACCCAGTTGTACATCATGCCATTTTCCAATATGGTTATTTTTAAATAAAGGTAGTGTAGAGTGATACTTGAAATTGTATCACAAGTTCCCTTGAACATTCTTAGAATGGCATTGGGGCGTTTTTTTTTTTTTTTTTTCCATTTTCTTGTTTGCAGTTTCCTAAGAGGTATGGGGTATTTTTTGTGCCTTCATCTGTATCTCTGCCACTCTAACAGTGATATTCTTTAAAAGAAATGAGTTTTGAAGTGCCTGCAAACTCAGTTACCTCCATGTTCATTCCTAATCATGGGCAACCCAGTTCCCAAAGGTTTACTAAACATATACCAGCATGTAGCATGACTTAAAATTTTATTTTTTAAAAGGTTTTTGATTTGGGGTATAAGGAAACTGCAGGTGGAATGAATCAGTTGGATATGTAGAGCCAAAGGGAGAAATCTCCAGTATAAGAATTCTGAGATTACTTTTAACCATAGGAATTGTTTACTATGTGATGGAATAAGTATTATTGCAGCTAGAGAGAAAGAAGCACTTTAAAATGAGAGAAATAATTAGATTAGAAAACGTTTTAGATATGTACAAATAAGGAATAGGTTTAAAAGTAAAGGGAGAAGGAATAAACAAACTCTTAATGTACTGAAAAGCGGAGTTACTGGCAGCTCTAATCAAATTGTTTTTTGTTTCATTTTTTCATTCATTTTTTGTTTGTATGAATGGGTATATGATAATTAAAATCCTAATTTTAGAATGGGTAAAGAAAGGGAAAGGACAAATATGGTTAAGAGAGGGTGGGAGTTGTGTTTGCTATGAAGTGAAAAAGTCATTAAATATAAAGTTATTTTTATGATTTTGTACTTGGAAGAGTAGAAATTCCACCCCACATACAAGCACTTCATACAATCTTGAGAAACCTGTACTGCCTAAGACTTTTCAAACTTATCCATAGTTCACCTCAGGGAAAGCTTCTCCTGATCCCTGCTAGACAGCACCCCTCTCCTTTACCCAGATGGGTGCTCTTCCAGCCTAGAATGAGAACAGAAGTGAAACCATGTATGCATGAATATTGTAGTTGGATGAACTGAGCAGCATATGACTTAGAAATGGTCCTTATCAGTCTTTTTGCTCAGTTGGATGCCTTCACTTATATAAAGGAATATTTTAAAGATAGAACTATGACTTCTTTCCAAAAGTCTATTAAAAGGGAAGAACTGTTTGTGACATCAAAGCTATGGAATACCAAGCACCACCCAGAAGATGTGGAGCCAGCTTTAAAGAAGTCTTTGCACGATCTGAAGTTGGATTATCTGGACCTCTACCTCATGCACTGGCCACATGCTTTTGAGTAAGTGTCAGTAAGAAGGAAATTAGGCTCCTGAAACCACCAATTGTGTAGCAGCAGTGCAGGGGACATGGGTGGGTCAGATATCTGTAATGATCTTCACAGATAACAATTGGTTGCTTGGTGAGTCGAATCAATACTATGATCCTTTCTTGTTTTGGGTTTACAGCAGTTTTTGTCTTCACCACTGCCGGCCTGAAGTTCACTCTACTTTAAAAAACATTCTTGGAGGCAAAATTATTCCCAAGACCCAGATGCTGTGCTGAGCAGAATTTGGGCTTTTCAAATAGAAGTCAAGAACTATAAACAAAACTACAACCAATCCTTGGCGGGAACAAATTTCCCCATGGTGTGTGATATTTCCAGGAGCTGCCATAGTTTTTTATGACTCATGACAGTATGGGCCTTTTACTTAATAACAAATAGGTTTTGCTAACTCCATATAAACTAGTTCCTCTTATATTAAGTGAGAATGGTAAAATGTGACAAAAATAGACTTAATAAAATTCAATGTAAAATATTCAGTACAAAATATTGAATCATTTTGTACAGGCATTGGTTCCTCATTGGGTGTCTGTTGGATTTAATATTAACAAAAGTTGTGCTAACTATTTTGCTATCTATATTTTATAATAGAAGAGGAGATAACCTCTTTCCCAAAAATCCTGATGGCACAATGCGTTATGACTACACTGATTACAAAGAAACTTGGAAGGCCATGGAGAAACTAGTGTCAAAAGGCCTGGTGAAGGCCATTGGGTTATCCAACTTCAATAAAAATCAGATTGATGATATCCTTGGCATTGCTTCTGTCAAGCCAGCTGTACTACAGGTAAGGCAGAAGAAATGAGCAGGTTGCTTTCCAGAACTGATGATTTCTTAATGGGAGAGAGAAAATGGGCCATTGACAACTTCAGTTTCCCTTGAAAGTGCAAGGAGAAAAAGCTGTGTCAGGGAACTATAGCAAAGTTTGAGGACCCTGTAATACAATGTTTCATGCATAGGATTTATCTAGGAAAATTGCTTGTCTTTCTTTGAAAAAATGGGTTAAGCAATGTGTATTTTTTATCTTTAAAAAAATCTGTTCATAAAGGTTTCCTTTTTAAAAAAAATACATAAATACCAACTTTCTTTCCCTAGCATCACTCAAATTGTATCCCACATTCTATCTCCATCCCACATCCGAAGTTACAACAGCAGCATTGTTAACTAAACCATATGGCCATTCCCCGCACAAATACATGCACATAAACACACAGAGGAGAAAATTGAGACAGTATGGTTTCATTCTTCCAGGGAAACACCTTCATAGGCTTTCAAATTGCTCTAACAGATTTTGTTGAAAGCTAATGGGGTGCTTTTTCTGTAGAGCATCCCCTTTGCCTATCAGCACTAGTTCAAGCCCCTCCTGCTACAGGTCTGTTTCTTGGAATGTTTGCCTCCTAGGATTGTAGCACTTACGTTTAACTGTTAATAGCACACACATAAAGCCTTTTGGTATATATCCCAGGAAAATTGTGAGTGAAAGAGTTTCTGGCATGCATGCTATGTAGCTAAGGGGCAAACTAGATGTGATCAGGATCTCCTTTTGTTTTGGTTATTTTCACTTCAAAGCAGCTGGGTGGGACCGTAACTTCAAGGAAGCAGGGTTGATCTAACTCCTCTCTCCATTTTTCCACACTCCTTTTCCCTGATCTAAACTAGTCCCTAAAGATAACATGAATTTTACAGAGGGGGAAAGTGATGGTAATATTTTTCCAACTCTCTCTTCAAAGGGCTGTAATAGTTTGAGTAATCAGCTATAACTTGGACTTTGCTCCATTTTACTTACAAGTGGTGGCTTCTAGCTTAACACTTCCCTTTCGGCAGCCCATGCTCTATTTTCAAATCCTTCCTCCCAATTAAGTTTTTATGTTCCTGGCTCCTGTCTATATTGCTCTTCTAATCCCATGTCCTGGCCCCTGGAATGGTGTCATTTCATGCTTCTCTTATAGACTTGGTTTCTTGGCTTTGGACTTCTAGTGCTCAATACAGTGTGGCTCCTAGTTCACTTTTTGACTTTGATTGCAGACTTTCCGCACTGTTTGATTTTCATTCTTGATATTGGTCCCTGGAGGGTCCACAAATACCTACCTGAGTTCAAAATATATTCATCTCAAATTGCCACTGAAATTTTTTGTGTGTGAAAGAGGTGATCCTATTATTGATCCACCTGGAAGTGAGTGCCTTAAGTACACAGGAACCTTTAAGTCAACATTTAAATTTTTACTTTATTTCTTATGGTACACTAGTGTGCTTAGCACAACGTTTTAGAATTCCTCTGACAGGGAATCTGCCTTCTGCTGAAGCATTCAAACTGATTTGCCAGATTCTTGGAGGCCAAACATGCTGTCCAGTGATCAAGGCTATGATGACCCTTAAGAAAAAAGGTTAGAAATATGTATGAAACAAACATTCTCTTAATACATCTCCTTTCATGAATGCATCACGACTTCCCTTAAGGAGAGCTATGAGACAGGGCATTTTTTAATAAAAGGAAGCCTGATACTAATATCAATTTTATGAGATAATAAGGATGCTTAAGACCAGATCATATTATCTCACAAAAGAAATAACTTTCTGGAGATAGTCCCTCATGGCGGAGAGAGAAATTTGTGGAGAATAATTCTATTAGTGGTTATTACTCAGGATGCCTATTACTGCTTCAAGGATGCTTCCTCGGTTACCAGTTGCAGGGGGAACACAAGCAGGATGGTGCTGTTGCACTTATGTTCTACTCGTGGGCTTGTAGGAACAGAATCATGAATTCAGTAAGCCTGTGATCAGATCCAGAATGGTACCTTTTATGTTTTTATTTTTCCTCCTCCAAGTGTTACGCTTTGGTTGCACGAAATTATCCTGTCCAAGATAGATTGCAATCCATATGCCATTTGAACTAGAGTAATGACAAAGTATATGGGACAATTGTAGTACAAGCAGAGAGGTGGTTCAGCAGAGGTATAGATAGAACACAAACCACATGCAGTCTCCTCTGACCATTTTTGCAGCCCTTGGTGTTGCATTGCTGAATATGCTGCTGAAATTCATCAGTGTTGTGCTTGATTTTGCTGTTTGATATGGAGCATGGGGAGTATGTATCTTGTTTTAAATGAAATTGCTTTCCCCAGATGCCGTTGCTTACACACTTGAATAGCAAAATTACATATTTTCTGCTGCCACTGCACTGCCAAATTTTTGGTGGCAAATTTTTATATGCAGCAGCAGCAGCAAATCTGACTAAGGTGCCGTACTGTTAGGTTCAGGACAGCAGGTGGGAATTGGTCACCAGACCATCTGAGGTTGTCCACCCCTGTAGTACAAGGTAGAGTTTTGAAGTACAGAAAATGTTACCTTCCCTGCAAGATGATATTAACACAGCTGGTGGTGGGTGAAGTTACTCTGCTTCTGGTTAATCCAGCCCATTTTTGAAGCCACACCTTCTGTCATACAGATCAATCTCTTATTTCAAGGATGCAGAACATCAGGCCTATGGACCAAATCTGTCCCACTTGGGGCCCCAGTCTGGCCCCTTGGGTTATCCAGATTACATTCCCCTTTTCTCCAACTACTACGCATTCAGTGGTTTCTCAGCTTTTGTGCAGTTTTCATTCTAAAAGTTTGCAGTGAATTTTCTAAGCCTTAGTTATAGGCAGTAGAAAATACGGCATGAGATCACCATACTGCTGTTGCTTCTTCCCATATGTGAAATGTCCATGCCTGTCCAGACAGTGATAGTCCTCCTGTGTTTTACCACCGCTTCATTATTTTTATCATCCCATGGAAAATCCATTAAGGTAGAAAAGATGGAGTAGCTGTATAGTATCTTTGGATTGTTTGCACTATGGGCCTGTCATCTGGCAACACCCCCACTATTTTAATATTAGGATTGCATTTTTTCTGCCCACTACCATATATATTTGGATTTTAACAGGTGGAGTGTCACCCTTACCTGGCCCAGAATGAGCTAATAGCTCATTGCCATCAGCAAGGGTTGATGGTAACTGCTTACAGCCCTCTTGGTTCACCTGACCGAATGTGGAAGCACCCAGATGAGCCAGTGCTGCTGGAAGAACCTGGGATAAAGGAACTGGCAGAAAAATATGGCAAATCTCCTGCTCAGATTCTCCTCAGGTAGTAAAAAGTTTAGTATTTGGTAGAGGTGGATGATGATTGGTTGTTGTAGCAAATAAACCTGCCCTACAGCTTTCTATGGGTCTTAATGATTAATATCTTTGTTTTGTGTGTTGGTTATGTTTCTTAAAGCCAAGATAAAAACCATTTTCAACCATCCTCCATTTAATATACAGTGAGATTTTTATCCTGCCAGGGCTTATAAGGTTATGCTGAACTGTGGGGATTAAGTGGATTCAATTCTATGCTTGATGGACTCAACCCCTGTTAAGAGTAGAGAAACTGGAAGCACAAGGTTTGGGGGAGAGGGGGAGAAAGAGAGAGAGAGATTAAGGATGCTCCTGGATAGTTGATTAAAAGCAGAAATGGTTCACACAGTCCACTTTTCCACGCCATTCCTGGGTTAAACAATTCCTGGTATTAATAATGTGACATGTGAACAAAGTCTCTATATAACTCTATATGTACGGTGCCTTGGAAACCACAAAAGCCTAAAATTAATGAGAAAGCCAGCAGTGGCTGTAGCAGTTACACTTTCCTTCTCAGGACAAACCATTTGGAATTTTGCTTAGGCTGTGTGGAAGACTCACAACTTCTCCAATTCTTATGATAGATGGCAGGTGCAGCGGAAAGTGATCATCATTCCCAAGAGTGTTACCCCTGCACGCATACTCCAGAATCTCCAGGTGAGTGAAGCCTCCTGACTGGCAGGACTAAGCCTTCAGTATTGTGTTTCTTCCTTAATAAAACTGTGTAAGTAAAATGATGCATCATCAGATGGTGTGGCCATTTGATTTCACTAGCACCAATGTACACACACATGGCCTTCCACCTTGTTCTGTGCACTCACAGTTAATCGGCTTTTTCTATGTTGGATGTCATGAGCACTCTAGCTCATCTAGGGACTGTAAAGACAGGAGTATATTGGTTTAGCACACTCATACTTGGAGACTATCTGTATTGTCTGCAACACATGATCCTCACATGTGAACATTCATAGCCATTTGCCTCCAGTCCTTGAAAACTATTTTCCTTTTCAGCTTTGATCTCTGTGGTTTCCAGCAGGACCCAAACACTATATGCCTATTTATTTTAATGTATTCTTTTAAGATAACAGTTCAAACACTTTCCTTTTGGATGTAAATGAGGACATCATAATCCTTCTCTAAAAGCTATGGTTGAAAAAACTATTCCATTATTTTTTTCTCTTTTGTATTAAAAAGCAGATGCATGGCTATTCAGGTGTTAGTACAATAAATTCTGGCTGAGCTGAGCAGGGCTATCATGGGTAGGATATTTAAATCAGAGATGACTTGATGGCACATAACGGCAAGCCTCTACCATGATCAGGCCTTTGCTGTTGCATAACTAGCCTTTTGGGAGCCTGTGAATAGAACTCCACAATGAACATCTGAATTATTTCATTGCATAAAGATAAGCCTTCCATCCTTATCTCCTGACCCAAAACATCTGACTGAGAAGCATGGCATATCAAAAAAAAAGCAAACAAGTGCTATTCATATCTTTCCAAAATAGTTAGAAAAAATGGGTTTGAAAATCCATGTTATGTGGGGCAGTTTCTTACAGCAATGTGCCTGAGTGTGCTATGACTTGTTCAGTTGTAAGGACATGATTCAGCAGGCGCCTGGGGCTATATGGCTATGGAAGACATCTGTAAAGCTGCCGCGTGATGATTGCTCTACACATTCACTAGATACTACAAGGTAGATTGGCCTTCCCCAACCTGCTACCCTTCACATGGTCATGGGTTCGATGGTAATTGTACACCAAAACATCTGCAGGGTGCTGGGTTGAAAAGACTGCTTGGCTTTCATCTGAAGCTTTCTTTTGGGAGGATAATTTTTGAGGGGATAATCACCATATGGACCCTCTCCTAGGGCCTTTGGCTTCTGTACATTCCAGGAGTTGTGCTTCTGTGAGTGAAACCAAGACTCCTTCCCCAGCTGTAAGGCTTCTTGAGGAGCAGGATGACAGCTCTCTCAGCCCTGTGTTCCAACTCATATGTTACAGAGATCCCTATTAGAACATCTTTTGCTTGTAAGTGAGCTTTCTGAGCCAGTATTGGTTTTCCCTGGTCATTTGTTTTGTATAGACCATACTCTGGCTTGTTTCCAACATTTGTATCCATTTTTAAATAAAATTTCATGAACAGCTTTTTCATACGTGCTGGCCTTGCAAAGAAGCCCTTCTCATGGGAGGAAATAATCAGTCTTAATGCAGCTTCATATCAGTCCTGAGGGACAAGACAGAGTTCTCAGTAGTCCAAGCTGTTTTCCTGCTGCTCAGGGAAAATGGAGATTTACAGATAAGGAACAAAATGTGTTTATCTAGCCTTCTCCAGTCTGTCATAAAACTTGGGAAAAGAAGAACATTTCATACATACCAAACATAATTACTGGCTACTGGCTGATTAAAAACGGTTAAGTTTTCTGTAGGTAGCAATACCTAAAGAAAATGCTTTATAGTGTCTTTCTCTTGTAGCATGTAAATTTGCATGATTCACAGATGTACACTGAAAACTAGAAGGCAGGACTAAGAGGTTCACAGACAAGAGCAAAGTGTATAATTTCATAGAGTCATAGAATAGTAAACTTGGAAGGGGCTATGAAGGTCATCAGGTCTAATCCGCTGCTGTTGCGGGACACCAGTTTAATTTGCATTATGAAGGGATCTGCTTCTGGTTTTAGGTGTTTGACTTCCATCTGACAGCTGAAGAGATGAGCTTTATTGGGAGCCTGAATAAGAACTGGCGATACATTGTGCCAATGGTTACGGTAAATATAGTCTTGATTGCTCATATAAGGCATTTTCCATGTAATTGAGACTTTGTATCACAAGCTTCCTATGAGTGTGTGTGTTTGTTTATTATTTATTTATTAGGATATTTTTATCTTGTCCAATACAGATTGCCTCTGGACAGCTTACAATATGATAAATATCTAATAAATATGTCAATAATAAGATAAAATGCAACTGAGGATGTCAATAAAAACATAATTAAAATATTTAAACTTTAAAATATTGAGTAAATAAAAAGGTCTTGACACCGAAAAGTGAACCTCTCTGGGAGCGTGTTCAGGCCTCTACCCTTCAGCCAGAATGTGTTCCTTTCTTGGTAATTGGCATTCATACCTTTAAGTATGACTGGCCAGAGCAGAACATACTACTCTGGTTAAAATCTCTGGACCCTCCCTTCAAATATGATGTGATTTCAACCACAAACTCAGTCCTTCATACTAAGAGAGGGACACAATATTGATAGACAGCTTGTTATATTTTCCATGCACTTACGCTGCTTTAAAATGTTATAGTTCTTGCATAGAGCCCTAGAATTTAAACTTGGACTTCATTTTGGCCTTGAAAGAAGGAGAGAAATGAAGTAGCTAGGGTTTTTTTGGCTGTGTTTTGTTCATGTAACAAAGCATAAGTAGCCCAAGCCATTTTGAAAGACATCTCCTACTCAACTGTGGCATTGCTAACAAAATGCTCAGCTTCAGAAAATACTGATTTGGGCTAAAATAAATTTGGATAGCTGAACTAGGGGAGGACACACATGATAGTAGTAAGATTTTGCACTCATGGAAAAACAGGATATTTTGCTTTGTGAAAGAAAAGCCAGGTCAGAATTAACATTATGGCCTTGGAAAGTTTTGTAGGTTTAGCTTTGTATAATGAAGTGAGCAAAAAACAACCTTCAAGTTGAGAAAATGAGCAAGTTTAAAGTTTACCTGTACTTGCTACTGTAGATGTTGAATGCCCTCTAGTGGCTCTTGGATATTAAAGAAGACTATAGGTTCAGTTTTAAATCTTTTCAAACACTAGATCTTAGGCTTTTTATTTTCCCTTTTTCCTCCACTGTTTGCACGTCCATGTCTGCCTCAATGCTTTTTAATGTTTTTGCTTCTTTTCAATAATATGCACAGTACTTTTAAACCATATAATTAGCAATAGCTCAAAACATTTTCTATTCTCATTGGGCCCTTCTTTGCAACTCTAATGTTGATCTTGTATTAAAACATATATAACAATGCTGATTCATCAGAGGTCCAAACTGTACTCAATTGAATGGAATATTTACTGTTTATATTTACATAACACTATACATTTCTACAGAAGCTACCAATGGAATTTAGATAACAATTTCACCACTAGATTTGTACATGCACCTGAGATGGCATAAAAGTACTTACTTTTGACTGAAATTTTCCTTATCTTTCACAGGTAGGAGGAAAACTGGTACCAAGGGACGCTGGACATCCTCTCTATCCCTTCAATGAACCTTACTAACTCTAGAAATTTATCAAACAGAAGTCTTCTTATGATCACATATTAGATTTTAAACATGCAAATAAAATGCATTGTTTTTCTGGAATTCTATTTTTAACCTTTATTAATTAGCTGATATTTGTAAACCAGTGAGGGAAGCTGTTAGTTTAAATTACACAATTGAAAAAGTTTGTGTAGAACTTCAGGTATGCATACCTTTCTGCATCTTTTAAAAAAATGAATCTTGGCCAAAGTCCTCACTAGCCATGTAAGGAATAGGAATAAATTGGATGGTGTATGTGGGGTAGGTACTAAAAAATAGAAATACTTAAGTTTGTATCGCTTGTCTGTGAGGTTATACTTAGGCTATGACAGTAGTTATTTAGTTTGGCCTTGATTTACATTTCATGGCACAAAACTGCTTGCAATGTACAAGTATTAAGAATATGCTAAGTACTGCTGCTACCTTTAGGGCTCAGTGAAAATCATCTGCTATCCCGACCTGTATTAACTGAATCAAGCACTGTATGAATTCTTAATAGTATACTTTTCTAAGATGTCCTTTCCCCTTTTATCTGTCACAATTTTTTTTTTGAAATGTCTTCTCTTACTTACATGCTCAGATGCTTTATGGTAGAAGGGACGGAAGCAGTAGTCTTCTGAAGATAGCTGTTTTAGAACCAGGAAAACTGCCTTTGAATCAGACCTTCAGTCCTTCTAGCCTAATATTGTCGACATGGATGGCAGTTATTTCCTAGCCCTTTCTGGAGATGCTAAGAATTGAACCTGGGACTTTGCCAGTGGTGTGGAAACAGATGCTGTGCCACTGAACTTCCCTGAGTTACAGCTGAACTTTCTAATAGCTACAGTAGGAACACAGGATCAAAGCATACTTCTGCCTGTACCTCAGGACCTTCCCTTGCGTTGCTCTCCCTGCCTGCCCTGCAAGCTCCCCAATCTGCTTTACTGGTCCGAAAATCTCATGAATAGATTTGCAAGGCTGCAGGGAAAATATGATCAGTCAGCAGTGATAGTTCCAATGGCAGAAGAATATCCTCATATACAACCCAAAATTAGCCTAATCAAGCAGATTTAATTAAATCTTAATTTTCTTCAGGCATAGCCTGTAGAAATTAAGAGATCCACAGTATAAGCTATGGTTCCATTTATAGCATTTGTGCTTAAATTTACCTGTTTTGAGTCTTCTGTTGGTATCTTATTGAAAGACAAACAAGTGGGTCCTAGATCAAATCACACCAACATTTGCCCTCAAAGTAAACATGACAAAACTGAAGTTTTTTGTACTTTGGGAACCTTATGAGAAGGCAAAACTCACTGGAAAAGACAATGAAGCTAGAGAAAGTTGAAAGCAGAAGAAGATGGATCAATTCCATAAAGAAAGCCAAAGCTTTGAGTTTACATGAGCTGAGCAAGGCTGTTGGGAACAGGACATTTTGAAGGGCATTCATTCATAGGGTCTCCATATTACAGAGATTACTTGGCAGCACATAATGTTATCATCCAACATCTTATACTTTTCCTTATAGCAAATAAATTTTGCTTAGTGTTTATAAATAACACACATGCCTACTTCCCTGTCTGATGTGGTTTTCAAAGAACTATCACCTAGGTTGCAATAGGCTGTATAGCAGTGTACCCTATCTCATAAGTAAAGTCAATGCCAGTTTTTGTTTTAAAAGAAATCAGTTTTTGTTACTACTCTTTAGCAGACTAGCAAGCAGATAGCCTTTGCTCTGGTAACATGTGACTGTGGAAGGTACTCATATTCAAGTCTCATGGAGCTCTGCTATCCAAAGTAGTAGCATGGAGTTGCAGAGTGGGTCTGGAAGAATAAAAGTCCTTATAGGCTCCAGGAATTAATATTGGAGCTGGTCATGTATAAAGATTTTTACCTAAAGCCAAGTGCTATTGTACTGAAAACAATTAGGCAGATTTAGTCTTGGGTTAAGAAGCATTAAGAAGCATTGAGAGCAAAGGAAAAGAACATGTGTCAAGCCATCAGAAATACACTAGATCAGGGGTTGGCAAGCATTGGTTTGTGGGCTTTTTATTATTTACTAGAGCCCTGATATTCATCAACCAGAGGCAAGTGGCTAAGGAGGGTAGAGAATTAAAAGCAAGTGATCTCTGAGTCCAGGACAATTATCTACTTGCCCCAGTTTTTTTTTCTTTCTTTTTTTCTTTTCATTAGCCTTCTTTAGCTGGGAGAGGAGCCTGTCAGCCTTTGTTGGACAACTGGAAATCAAGCTCTTGTTAGTCTACTGCAAATAATTTAGAGGTCTACCCAAGGATCCTGATTTACTTTCTACTTCTCTTTGGACTATATGAGAGTTCAAGAGGGAACATTAACAGGCTTATCCCTATCATTCTCATAGACAGTCTGAGGATGGTTAAATTAAGGCAGAACTATTCATTCAAGGTACTTCAATGAGTTTCATAGATGAGCAAGAACTTAGTTGTTTAATTTGTTTCACTATTTCTGGCACATCACAGCATACTTCTCCAGAATATAAAGCTACCTCCCTTCACTTTTCTGCCCTCCTGCCCCAGGGAGTCTCAACAGCTGGAGTAACTAAGCCGGAAGGGTAGAATTAAATATTTGCACAGCAAATACAGTATATGAAGACAGTGCCTCCTAAATAGTTTTTTGGAGTACAGAGTATATGGTGAGAACATGGTATATGCACAAACCTCAGTAAAGGAGACTAGTGCATGCATGATATGTTATGCTAGCCCACCCTGGTAAAAAGCCACAATGGATTGTTTCATATGGCCAGTAGACCAATGGCCTCATGATGGGCTGTTTGCCATCTCCTTGCCCTACAGTCATAGAGAACACTGTAGCAGTACTTCCCCTTCCCTACAATTGCAAGACAATTTTTGACTTGCTAAGGTTTTTTCACCTTTTGATTTTTTTTTTTTTTTTTTTTTTTTTGACATCCCAAGGTGCCCAAGTAACACACAGGAGAGGCTGTCAGTGGTTGGCCATTGCTTCTTTTAAATATATATGTAATCTCTAAATGTGTGCAACTTTAATCTTTTAAATGTGTTTGTCTCTTGGATTTCCACAAGTAAGAAATAGGAAGCCTCACCTTGGCAATGTCTTGGGAGCTGGGTACCTGTGGTCAAAACACAAGTATCAACCTGGACATTATTTTATCTATTTAAAATATTTTTATCCCATCCTTCCTGATAAAACGTCTCAGGACGGCTTACATTAACCCAGAAAGGCTCCAAAAAGGTTTCTTTTCACTTTGCTTTCTCCAGCAGCTGTCAAAAAGAGAGTAGCCTGAGTCTAGAGAAGTGAAAAATGTGCACCATGACTGTCAAAGCAAAACCAAAATGAGGACTCTGTCTGTGAAGGACTGTAAATTCTCCTTTTCACAAGCAAAAGTCTATTGGGACTTTGCTTTTCAGTGACAGCTTGTTTTTTTATAGCTGCCAGGGGGACATAAAGTGCGCACATGCAAGGAGCCCATTTAGAGCTTCTGGGGTCAATGTCTGAGGATTGTACCTGCTGCATGCTGACAGCAGATACTCCCTCATTGGAACATTGCCCCTGTTCCTATTTTGGACCAGTGGAATTGCAGACCTCCATATTTGCACACGTCTGAAAAATAACATAAAAAACCCCTACATGCATATAGAATGCACAACCAAAGAAGCCAACCAATGACAACTGCTCCAATGTGTCATTTGGACACTTTGAAGGGGTTCTCACTAGCGCAATCACAGATGTAATTGTCAGCGGTGGCAAGGAATTTGCTTCATTCTTGCCAAGTGCTTTGTCAGCCTGTCGTAGAACTGGTCACTTAGGTTTGGACAGCACAATGGCTCACCGTGGGTAAAACAAACTATACTACAGTACTTGGATTCTTAGGGTGGAACGTTTGAAAATGCAAAACAAACTGCCCTGGATAAAGTGTTTTGAATTTGGAGGACACAACCATTCCTTGCGTGTTGTATGTCATCTTGAACCAGGTCAGTGTAAGTTTCAAGGAAATGCTTGTTCTCGGTACATTGTTATCGCCAAGTGCATGCTTTTCCACTGGAAAAAGGGGGGGGCATTATATAAATACGGAACTGTACTGAGGAGCAGGTAATTAAGACCTTCCCTTTGTGCCGATGGTCCCAGCGTCCTGAGAACATCGGGATTCTCTGCTCCCATTGAACCCCCCTACTTTGATTTCAGTCTATTTACATGGATCTGCCCAGCGTTTAATGTTTTGTTACGCGCGTGTGTGAAAGCATTGTGGACCTGGGGTTTTAGATTGCGTGTGCGAGAGACACGATAAATAAGATTGCTTCAGGGGAAATAAGCTGATATAGGCCTAAGTATTTAGAAATTGACCTGCTTTTTGGCCTGTTGTCCTACAGTTTGGGGCTATTTTTTGGCTTTCCGATACTATAGTGCCAGGAAGTCTGAGGATGGGTATTGGTTTTTCCTTTTTGGTCAGCCCTTGTCCGTCCTGTTTTATCGCAGTCTGGGAATTACAGGCACTGTGGCATCGATACTACATCTCCCAGCATGCTATAAAATAATAAGTTCCATTTACTCTGTTTCTTTCCGTTTGCTGAAAAAGCCGTCGCACAAGCATGGAAAAGCTTCCTCTCGGCTACGGTCAAAGGTTTCTATGGCACTGGTTGAGAAAGGGCTATCCCGCTTAATGCCTCGGAACCAATTCTGACGGGCCGAAAGCCCGACGGTCATAAAGCATGCCGGGAATTGTAGTTCCTTTGCTCTGAGAGCGTGCCTCGCGCCGTTGGGGCGTGTCCTCAGGGGGCTATATAAGCATCAGAAAGGGCGGTGGGCTACATTTGTCTGGCAGTTTTTTGTCCTGTTTTTGTGGGGAGGGGGTTGTGTGGTGTGTCTCCTGTTCCCATCGACTTCGAAGGTACGGGAGTTCAAGTAGGTTTTGGCTCTTTGGAAACTGGGTAGTAAGGAGACACTGATTTGCTGGTTCGTGTTAGAGCGTCGGCGGTTGCGGCACAGGTATCCCTTCTTGGTGCGCCCGGCGCGGTCTTTCCTTTCCTCTTCCTGGCTTAGGTAGAGCGGCTATCCTTTCCACACGTCTTTTTTTCATCCTCTTCCCTCCTCTCTGCTTTTCTTCAACCCCCACCCCGGGGCTGGTGTCGTACGTGCTATTTTCTCTCAGCATGGGAGAGAAGGCGGAGGGGTTTTTCTTAAAACTGAGACGCCACGTGACCTGACTTGAGTTTGGGTCGCCATTTTTAAGGTCTATCAATCCGGCGCGCGCAAAAGCAAGAGGGAGGAGGAGGTGGAGTAAAGAGTTGTCACGTGGTAGGTAGTTTTAGCCTGTCAAAAGCAGCCGTTGAGATTTGGCGCCAAGGACCCGACGGGGGGAGGGGCGGCGGGAAAGGGAGTCTATTGTTTCCTGAGGTAAATGTTATCTTTTTTGAGAGAGAGTACATCGCGTTTTCCTTACTGAATTGAAGGGAGGCTTTTAGGCAAGCCTGCTTTTAAGAAATATTAGCTGTTGGTATTGTTGCAGTATGTTTTGTTAAGTCGTTATGCTCCGGTAACGAGGCTGGTTCTACGCATTATAGATAATTCCTGCCTCACAAATGACCTGGAGATCCGTTCACTTAAGCTTTCTTTTTTGTTTGTTTTGTTTTTAACGGAGAGTAGGAAACAGTCCAAGAAACAAAAGCTTGAACTGCCTTTACTTCCGCTTGTTTTTCCACGAATAGTTCCTGATTCTTAAATTCCTACAGATTCCAAGAATGATAGATGGCAAGCCTAGAGAGGGCTTTATATTGTTACACTTGTTTTGCATTGTTATAATAGACCTAATAGTTCATTACCCCCTCTTTTTTTCGTTTTTCTTTTTTGGTGGGGCAGGTGATACTAAAGTTCCTGAAGCCACTAGCATGGGATATAGCAGAACTGGCCCTCTAGCCAGTGAATCCTGCACACAGTTTGCATTGTCTACGACATTTCTGTTCTGTTATTCAGCAAGGAACTCAAGGCACTATACATAGTTATGACAGTATAAGAAGCTGACTTACACTGGTCCATCTAGCCTTGTACTGTTGACACTGACTGGTGGTAACTGTATTCTTCTACCTGGAGATGGCAAAGGTTGAACCTGGGATCTTATTTCTTTGCAGTAGCCTTGTATAACTGCAGTCTTTATTGTAGCTAGATGGGCTGCAACTGATGTGGCAGATCATAATAGTATTTAAGGATGAAGTGCTTGTATGTGAAGGCTCTGAATATCTTACTGCATGCAAGATTGCATTTTAGAAATCTGATAAGTTATTAAAAGGTTTTTCAACAGATACTGTTCCTTCAAAACAAGGCTAAAACTCAATTCTTAGTAAGAATTCGACCACTTAATGCGCTTCTGGCAATGCACACATAGTGAATAGGCCATTTCATGACTCCATGTGAAAGGATGACTTTTAAATAAAGTTTAATGTTATAATTGGTATCTGGTGGGATTAGAAATAATATTCATAGCAGCTCTAACTTCAGATTTTCAGTTTCAGAATGGCAGAAGATTCTGCTGCTCCTTCAACTTCTGCTGACACAACTGAGAGGTAAGAGTCATTAGATAAATGCAGGAATAGAACATATGTATTGGAAATAGGAAATGAGTTATACTGCTCTAAAGCAAAGGCAGCTAGAAGCTATATTGATTAGAATGGAGGAGAGATACTGAAGAGCAGATTATCATGGGCACTTATTATGTTGACTCCTTGTAATAGCCAGGTAAATAGTGGCAGATCATTCTAACAATTTGGCTGTACTGAGTTAATATTCAAAATGGCTACAGTGTTTTGGGTAACAAACCTGTTTGTGCTTTCAGTATGGATGTAGATGGAGAAGCCAAGAAACTACTTGGATTGGGGCAGAAAAACCTAGTAATGGGAGATATTCCAGCTGCTGTGAATGCATTTCAGGAAGCTGCTAGCTTGTTGTAAGTAATAACCTTGCATTTATATGAGAATAGCATTTTAAGACTTGGAGGTATGGTGGGAGAGGATCTTGGTGATTGTTTGCCAAAATAGTTTTGTTCTGTAAGTGCTTTAATGTGATCTTAATTTGATCATTCATACCAGAATGTCATTGCTTTTGGTATGGTCTAAACAATTTCTTGCCTTGTAGCTTAACTGTAAGCCTGTCCTGGTGGTATTATATCATAAATAAGGGGGAGAGAAAATGCCTAGTATATGAGAGAATAAGTCTTCCATACTATATTTAGACTTTAGTTCAGTCAAGCTCTCATAAAAGGCAGGCTTAGCTTCCATACCCCACTCTTGGTGATACAAAATTAAAGGCACAAAGCTCATGTAGGCAATTTTAGCTAGAATATAGGTGATTAGCTTGCAAAATGACCTGTCAAACCTCTAACACAGATGGGCTGCTAATTCTTAAGTCTTCTGAACATCACCTTAATTCATGGATATGAGTGGCAAAATGCTTCAGTATATAAACTTTTTAAATTGGTGCCCCTTTTTAATCACTTAGGAGGCTGAAACAGTATGTGATAATAGAAACTATCATGTGTTAATCACATACTTTTCATTTGAAGATAGCTATACTATTCCTTGGAAGAAATGAAGATGCTAATTTATAATTTGTTTTTAGAGGTAAGAAGTATGGCGAAACAGCGAATGAGTGTGCCGAAGCTTTCTTTTACTATGGGAAATCTCTTCTTGAGTTGGCAAGGTAAGTTGATGCACCTTGCAGATAAGCTATTTTGGGCACAATCCTATGCATGCTTAGACCAAAGTATTACATTTTCCTAGTTGACCAGGGAATACTAGGAACTAGAGGACTTCTTCTGTCTAAATATGTGCAGGATTCAAACTCTGAGGGAGAACAGTGTACTCTGATCTTTGTAAGTAGTCTTAATTTCCTTAAAATGCAGGAGGCAGGAAAATATCTGCATTGGAATGGTGATACTTTGCTGAAGGGTTGTTGTTGTTGTTGTTGTTGTTACACTGAATTCTGGGTTCAGTTCAGTGCATCTTGTCTGCTAGTTCATAGCAGTAGGCAGTTGGAGTAAAACATGCAACAATGCTTGCTATTGTGTTCTAGAATGGAAAATGGAGTACTGGGAAACGCCTTGGAAGGAGTACAGGTAGAAGAAGAAGAAGAAAAAACAGAAGACCTAATGGTAGAAAGTGCTGATAATATAGATGGTATGTAGAGCTGTCTTAACACGTCATGGAGATGCCAAGCTGTGTGTGTTCTAAGTGAATTCTGAGCATGAATAATTTTTATTGTTTTTATTGTTCTGGGTGTCTTGAGTCTTAAAACCAAAACTAGATAGACTTTTTATAGTCTTTTAAACTATTAAATTGACTAAAATTGTATATTGTAAGTAACTTTAACAAGTTCAGTGCTTCTATAAATTTATTGATGGAGACATTTGGAAGTCAGTTACCTGGTTTTCACCATGTTAGCCTAAGCTTTTTTTCACAGTGGAAACATTGATTTCTCTGTCTAATGGTTTTGGAAACAATTGGCTGATCTTAAATAATGGGGCAGAAGTTCTATGAATAAACTGAATAGAAGCTTCAAGTCTGCTGCTTGCAACACAATCTAGCCATTTTTTATGTTGCAGTAGCATCAGGTTTAGCTACCAAAGCTTTGATGCTGTGTTGATTATGTTGTAATCAAGAGTCAAGAATCACTTTAATTGATCCTTTATATGCTCTTCCACCCTTCTTCCCCATTTGTACTAGCTTTTTCTGCAGTGTAATGTATTATCTCATCTAGACAAAGCTTGGCATCTCTTGCTTGGCTGTAACTTTTGCTGGCATATATTCATTGCTTAAGCGCACTGTGCAGGCCTTAATTTTTACAGACATACTTGTTCTCAGGTTAAGTGCCCAAAAGGATTGAATTTCACAGTTTTGTTAACTCGGCAGCAAGACAGTCAGTGGGACTGAGGGTGGGATATGAAGATCATGAATGCTTATCACTAAATTCGAAGGTTTGTTTGTGCTTGATCTTCCTCCTTCATGTAGAAGAAGCAAGGGAGGAATTAAGAGAGCAGGTATATAATGCCATGGGGGAAAAAGATGAATCCAGAAAAACTGCTGAAGAGTCTGTGGTAGAGATTGGAGAGGCGATGCAACCAAAAAACAAGGATGTAGAAATGGAAGAACTTGTCAAAGGAGGAAGAGGAGGAACAGCTGTGGATGGAGAATCCAACGTTCATGGAGGAAGAAAGGAGCAGGAGAAAACAGAAAAACAGATAGAGGGAACTGTGCAAGAAAAGGAAGGGGACAGTGAAATAATTGCTGAGGAAAAACTAGAAGATGGTGCTGCTAGGGAAATCAAGTCACTGGCTGCAGAAAGGGCAGTTAGAGAAGAGGAAACGGTGGCAGAAGCAGTGGGAGAAAACATTACTATAAAGTCAGTGGCATTACTGGACAAGGCAGCTGGAGAAACAGAGCCAATGGTGGAACAGACTGCAGAAGTAGCTGGGGAAGATGCTATAGACAAACAAGCGGTTACAGAAGAAAAGTCAGTTCTGGAGAAGATAGAAGAGGTAGAAAAGCAGCTGGACCCAACTATAGAAAATAATTTAGTTGAGGAATTAGTAAAAGATTCAGGTGAAGCAGTAGAAGAAAAGGAATGTATGACTGTTGAGAAAGTAGAATCTCGGGTAGAAAAAGGAGAACAGCCAACCAGTGTTCTTGATGACAAGTCAGCAAGAATGGAGGCATCTACAGAACAGGTGGTGGAGTTAAAAGAGAAAGAGCTGAAAGAACCCTCATCTTCAAGAGAATTACTGCCTTCAGCTACAAATGAGAATATTCCTGCAGGGGTTGACAAGCAACTCCATGAAATACAAACTGAAGAAAAAGCTGAAGTTGCTTCTAAGGTAGAAAAGGAGGAAGAAAAAGATGACAAGATGGGAGAGGGCGAAGGTAACAGGGTCAGAAGATAGTTGTGGGTGGATTACTTAGAGAGCTAACCCTTAGTAAATATAATCCATTCAGAGTTCTCTGCTTCAAACTCAAACAACCTAGGCATAGGATAACTTTGATTTACTAAAAAAATTGTAAAACTCTTGTCAGTTAACCTTTTGTTTGGAACTACAACTTTAACAAAGCCTCTCTGGGGGGCTGTGACTAGCATGAACAATAAACACCATAAAGCAATACTTGGTAGAGAACACTGAATGGATATTTGCTGCATGCCCTTGTGTTGCGACTTACCTCTTAACTTTAAAAGTTTAACTTGCCTCCTGTTCTGATATATTTTTGAGAGCAGGATTTGCTAAAATACAGTAACAAAATACCGGTTTATGGACCTGCGTTAAATGGAGCTTAAATTTAGCTTGGCTTTAGGCCTCTAACTAGAAATAATTGCTGGTAGTAAAATTCACAGCTTTCATATCTTGCTTTTCTTGCTTCAGCATTACTGTTAACTACTTCATAACTTCTTGAAAGTGTATTTACTAGTGAGATTCTAAGCTGTGAAGTGGCTGTGAACAATATTAATTATAAAATTAATTGGACACTTCATGGATAGACTCCACAGTGGCTGATTTGTTCTAGTCCATATTTTTGGGGGAGTTATATGTGTTATTCCTATATTGTGCTTTCTATGATACTGACTTTAAAATTAAAACAAGTTGAGGCTGTAGTTTCTAGACATCTAGGTTACTGCGATACTTTAGAAATGAATAGATGATAGAAAGTTTCTATTTCTTGCTCCATAATAAGCAAAGTTTTTCTGCTGTTGAGAGTAGGTTTCTTGGGCTGCCCCACTATTTCAGCTTTCTTAGACTGATGATAGTGGGCAGTTTCTCTAGGATGCTATACTCAGATTGTATCCAGACTTAGTCTTGCTTAGTAAATTGATGATACTCATTGATTTCAGTGAGGTCTACTCTATTCATAGCTAAATCTGGTTCCAACCTATTAATACTTCCATGTTAAACAATGGCTTTTAAGATGCAAATAGGAGTAATTTAAAATAATTTGCATAATTTTCATGACTCAAACTCTTATAACCCAGCCTTTCCCACCTCCAGGTGTTTTGGACTGCAATTCCTGCCATTCCTGACTGCACTGTTTCATCAGGATGGCAGTTATAGTTTAAAAATCTGGAGAGCAGCACCAGCTTGGGGATGGCTATCTTAACTGTTCAGTTTCCTTCCCCATATTACTGTATAAATTGGGCTTTTAGAAGGAAGCCTTAAATGTCCAGCTGGCTGCTGTGTGAAAGAACGGTATACAAAGAAGAACATTTGGTTTCAACAATAAATGACTGGGTAACTTTTTTACTTGGAGATCACTCTTAAAATTTCATATGAATGCACACTGCAGTTCTTGATCTGCTTTTCTACAAGAAACTGTCAAGCCACATGCACTGCTAAATTAAAATTGGTACTGCTGAATAATGATAAAAAGGCATACTTTTGAACCAAGTTGAACAGGCCATGAAAAATGGAATTATGTACAACTGAGTGTGCGTTAATGCCAAATTTCTTGCAGAGACTGAAGGGTCAGACGAAGAAGACAAAGCTGAAGAGGATAAAGAAAATGACTCCACAGTTGAAGAGAAGGTGAGATATAAATTATAATTAGGTTTTGGGGCTGTTAAAGCACTGTTCAAACATTCTGTTACTAGAAATATTAATCAAAAGTATGAAGGTTTGTAGAATTAAGGAAGACCCTGAATATTTAATTAGCCAACATGAGGGAGTTTAAGTTCTCCTTGTAAATAAAAACTGTAACAGGGTATGGCATGTAAGTGTCCTGTGTGTTAGAAGGTACATGATACGCCACTGGAAGCTCTGTTCTGCAGCTATGGAGGGTAGCACAAATAATTGTGAATAATTGTAATTGAGCTGTTTGAGTCATGCACTGCTTAAATAGTGTAATAACAGTTGACTAGTATGACTGCATCTGAGAGTTTGAGCTTCATCAAAAGTCTAATTGTTAGTTGTATTTACATATTTAATAAAAGTGTTTTGAAAGATTTATAGTGCAGTGATTACAGAGTTCCACACGTGCATAGAAATATAGCTCTATTAGCTGAAGTTATGATACTTTGTCAAATGAATATCATAGATTTTCCAATTGTCATAAACTTTATATGATCTGAACTACATAATGCCTTAATTTAAAAGGCATCCAGAAATCCACCCTATACTTGAAGGGCTCATGTAAGCTTAAATCTATGTGAAGTTGCTCTGAAAAAGATGTAGCCTGAAATAGTTACATACACTTGGAATCAGTACCAATAGGTATTAACTTTACTTGCTTACACAAGATGGCTGGCTTTTCATTGTTTAAAAAGGCATGTAAGTGCTTTGTGGTGTGCAAATAGTAGGGTGCTTGCTGTTAGCTAAGTGAGTAATAGAGGGGAGAGACTGTTCCATTTCACTTGTGTGCTGAATCCTCCCCCTGCATTTGTCACTGCAGCAGGGAGAGAGATTGGTGAAGCTGTTGGGGAGGGGTAAAAGTAATTCTATGCCAAATGAACTTTTAAATGAGGTGGCCAAAGGGTTTTTTATTTACTAAAACCAAGCAGTGGATTGGTTGTAGTCGAATGTAATGTCACTTGAAAAATATGGCCAGAATATGCCATGGTAATTATGCTATGCCGGGGTGGCCAGACTTGCTCAACGGAAGAGCCACATATGGTAATTGTTGGATGTTTGAGAACCCCAAGTGAGTGCCTGTGGGTGGCAGCAGTGGCAAGCAGGCACCTGTGGGTGGCAGTCTGCAGCAAGCGGGTTCCTTGGGTGGCAAGTGGCAAACTGCAGAATAAACTCAAAAGAGCTGCATACAGTTCCTGAGCCTTGGTTTGGCCACCCGTGTGGTATGCCATAGCTTAATATTGTTTCTAGGAGAATTCTTGTGCTGGGAATAGAATATGGCAGGCTCAGCACTAATTTTAGATGTTTCCTGGATGGGGAAAAAAATAGCAAAGGGATTTATGGACATAATTATTTGCCAAGGCTGGCTAGCTCTGTAGGAGAAGAAAAAGATACACGGCATGATTTGCCAGTAGCATATAAACTCATGTCTCAGCCAAATCTAATGGGTCCCAATGTGTCCCATGCTAGCCTGTTCTCACTGCATATGTGCTAACACAGCCTATACATGTTGACTCATTTGGTTACATGAAGCTTCTCTACTGGGCAGACATAGCATTCTAGTTCTAGTCTAGCACAGTATCCATGGCTAAACGTTTCCCATTTTCTCTGAGCTTTTGTCTTGAACACCTTTAAAGTTCTTGTTTAAGAACAAACAAGGCTATTCTTGTGCAGAGACCCTTATGCTGATTTCTGTTTCATATCAGGTGTATCTTCCTTGCACATCAGCCTATAGTAGAGAGAGAAGTCAAATAAAGGTGGGATCTTGATTTCTGTCCAAGAGCTGTATTCTGCTATGCATAATGCATTGGGGGCCTGTGGGAAAGAGACAGATTATTCTTTGAACTGATTGTTTGCAGAAGGCTGAAGAATAGCTAAGAAACTGTTAAGTCTGACTGAAGGGGGTCTTTGCTGTGGTACCCTCCTGATTTAAGTCAAATCAGTCTGATTAGAAATAGAAGTGACATGCTCTGCTGCCCATGCTATAAAGGAGTGAGATCAATCAAAAGGAGACTTAGTGGTCTCTGTGCATCACTCATATGGACTTTGCTATACAGAGCCTATTGTTCAGAAGCTTCTGCAGCTAAGAATTCATTTTGGGTGGGAGCCCCTCCCCTTCCTGTTCCCTTGACAGCTGATTGACACTGATCCTTGGTACCAGACCAATGCCAGTCATTGATACCAAACTGATGTCATTTCCCAGTACTATCAGCATTGCAGCACAGATGATGTTGAAGCCTATCTCCATCTTTACAGCCTGGACACTATCTCTAGAGTCAGTGATTTCACTATCCCCATTGGAGCTGCTCCTGGGTGCAGCTGGGTTTAGAAACAGAGAAACAGCATATCAGAAGGGGCCTCCTGGGCCATCTAGTCTGACCCCCGGCTGTAGCCAGCTCCGCTCACGACATGCCTACCATGTGCATGTCTAGCCTGTCCTTGAACACCCTCACCAATGGAGCCTCAACCCATTCCATTCCATACCCTTGGGGTCCTAACTGTCAGGAAGTACTTCCTGGCATCAAAATAGAACCTTGCTTCCTTGAGCTTGGCTCCGTTGAATTTCCAGGTTTATCTAGGACTGGCATCTCCTTTGGAGGAGAGATGGCATTTCTTGGAGTAGGTGCTCAGAATGGCTTCAGACCTGGTACTAAAGATTGAGCAACAGCAGGATCAGGTCACTGACCCAGTCTTCAATGCCCTAGGTTCTGAGGACTCGGCACCAATGGCCATTTTCCTTCCTGCCAGCCTTGTTCCAGACAGTTAAGCAGTCTAGGAAGTTTGCTGTCTCCCAGCATGTCAAAGAAAGTGGAATTGGTACACTGGGTGCTGTGTAAGGACATTCCATTCCTTTTCCAGCACCCAAAGCTGAACTCCACCATCATCATGGGATGTTGTAGTGGGAGCACTTGACCCTGGTTGACCTAGAGGGACACCAATTGGCTGGCCTGGTAAGGTGCATCTATGTAGCCTCACCTCCTTGGCCTCTGGGGCTTGAACTATGAAGCGTCATGGCCTGATACCAGTTCTTTATGGGACAAGATAATTGTCATGAATATCTCCTGGATGAGCAAAAGGACATGTTCTGCCTCCTTCACATGGAAGTCTCTGAGTTGGCAAGATACCAAATTGCTGCAGCCAAGTACAATGTGGATTGTAATGCCAAGTCCATGATGGGTTCAGTGGTCATCTGCAGACATGCCTGGCTCCGCTCAGCTGATCTCCCACAATGGGGAAACTCTTCAGTGTGCAAACTGATTGTAGGATGGACTCTACCCAAAAAGTGAGGTCAAGGGCCAGGAGGATTAGCTGTCAGCAACCATCTAGACCATGTAAGTGGGCCTGGGACCTCTTTCTCCCTACAACAGAGGTGCTCGTCCACAGACCACCCTCACAGGCTCTAGGCAACTCCTCAAGAGACTTGACTCCCTAGCCTGCTTCAGAAGCACCTAGAAGGGAACAAGCACTGGTGCTGACTGCCTCCTCCAGCAGCCCCTACCATCCCTTCCCCTCACATCAGCTTTGATGGGGGTCTTGTTCATTTCCTCCCCACATAGGAAGGAATAACATCAGACTCATGGGTCTTGTTAAATGTGGAAAGAGGTTACAGGATTAAGTGCAACATCTTCCTACATCTTGGTGCAGTTAGAGGCAGACCCCCATTCCTGCTGCAGCAGGGACACTGGTTAACCTTCATCAACCTTAAAAGATGCCTTTTTCTACATGAGCTTCCAAATCAGGGAAGTACTTCCAATTTTTGATTTGCTCATTTGGTCTCTCCACTGCCCCCAGGATCTTCACAAAATGCATGCAGTGCTATGTACACACCTCTGGCTCCAGTGAGTACAGGTCTTACCATATCTTGATGATTGGCTCAGGGCTGGACTGTTGTCCCATCCTGGTAGCCCCATCTAAGACTGACCTATAGTATTCAGTCTTCAGTATCTACTCTACTGCAAACCCTGGGATTGTGTCTAAATCATGAAAAATCAGTTCTGTCCTCAGTCTGTACTTATAGGCACTCGCCTTGACTTGCTCTAAGTGGAAAGCTTTCCTCACAGAACCCAGGGCAATAGCAGTACACAACTTGCCAAGAAAGTCTGCTGCAACTCAAGAGGTACAGAAACTCCTCAGCCTCATGGCAGCCATGGTAGTGGTGGTCCATTTCACCAGACTGCAGATGAGACTGCTGCAGCTATGGTTGGTGCGCACTCACACAGGACAACACACACACCCTAACACCATCCTGAATATCCAGTCCTCCAGAACAGTGGTGGACCATCCCACAGAACCTCATCAGCTTCCTCCTTCCAGAGCCAATGAGAAGAGAGAAACAAGTCAACACATTTAACTTCCTGAAGATGCTGATTGTAAGCAAGGCACTAATCTCATTCCCTGTGCAGTCAACACAAACAGTTCACCATGGACAACACAACTGTGATGTTTAACTGGACAAACGGGAACACAGTCCATTTCACTCACCAGGCTAGCCATAGACATAAAGAACTGGTGCATCACCAATTCTATTGCAATCATGGTGATTCACACGGCAGGTCAAAAACATCTTGACACTCAACTGCACAATGTTCGTTTCACATGAGTTGGTAGTTGAATGAGTTGGTCCTGTGCAACCTCTATGACAGCTGTGTGCTGTGGCAAAGAGATCCCTCCAACATAATGTGCATCCAGTTCTGTTCCCAGGTGGGACAGAGAATCAGCTCCCTGGAAGACACCTTTCTCCTCTGATGGAGTGGATTCCTCTTCCACATTTTTCCTCCATTCCTCCTAATCAGGGTAATCACCAAGATCAGGACTGAACAGATCTGGCATTTCCTACAGACCTGTTTCTGGAAAGGCCTAACCTGCCTGTCAGTTACATAAACCTGGCAGCCATCTCCATTCACCCAAGAATTGAGGGGGTGTCTGTCTTTGTGCACCCACTGGCACACAGATTCCTGAGGACTACAAAACCTCACTCCCCCCACTCAATCCTATACCCTGGCATGGAGCCTGTAGGTGGTGCTACATGCCCTCACCAAAACTCCCTTCAAGCCTTTGGCTACAACTAACTTGCTTCCTATCCTGGAAGGTAGCCTTTCTAGTGCCAAGCTCTGTACACTGAGAGACCTGCCATAGGAAACAAAGCTGTTGTCCACCCAGACTGCCTTCCTACCCAAAGTCATTTCACCTTTTCAGCCAGGACATTGTCCTCCCTGCTTTTTTCTCCACTCTAGTAGTCTACCCTGCATCTGCCCTCACCTTATACCAATCCAGAACTGAGCCAGTCCATTGCTCACTCAGGTTGTTCATTTGCTATGGCTGGCAGTAAAAAAAAAAACCACTCTCTTCATGGAGACTACTTAACTTGGGTCCCTAAACTGTTTGCATGGCATGGTATGTATTGCAGGCCTCCATCTCACTATGCCACTCAAGGCCCGCTCCATGCAAACACTGGCCACTTCTTTAGGCCTTTTTAGCAGGCTTTGCAAAGAGCCCCTGTTGTCCATGGTTTCAATTTTCATCAGTCACTGCCAGCTGGACGTTCATGTGAAGGTGGACTGCTTATATGGTAGGGCAGTTCTGTCCTTCAGTGACAACAGCACATGACAAGCTAGCTGCAAAATATGTATGATGCAGAAAGGCCATAAAGAAGAAAGGCAGGTTGCTTACTGTTCAAGTAGTCAAGTGTGCATTCACACAACCCACCTTCCACCTCCACTTGCTGTCATCAACTATTGCCCTTACTCTCCAGGGAGGCTCAGGGCTGCACTGTTGTCCTCTCTGAAGAGATTCACAGCAGTCTCCTTAGAAACTGAGGGAATGGGCAGGAGCCCATCCCCATGCTTTCTGGGAAGAGGAAGTTGAATGAATGCTTACCTACCAATTGTGCTTTTCCACAATGGGCTATGTTCAGGTGCAAAGCCCTTATGTGTCACACACAGAAGACTGAAGAACAACAATTACAGGTGAGCAACCTGCCTTTCTGCTTATCTGCAAGTTTCAGGCAAAGACTGAAATGCAGTGCGAAATGCTGATAATGGTTAACAAGGCCTATGCAGTCCTGCAATTTATTTACGCAGCCAGCCAGCTGCTTTTGGGAAGCTGACTAGCAGGGCATGAGTGTAAGAGCAGCCTTTTGTTTGTATTCTTCAGGAATGGGTATTCAGAGGTATATTGAACATACTCTGTAACTATCATGACTAGTGGATATTAATAGCTTTATCTACCATGAATTTATCTCTTAAAGCAATTTGTGTTAGTGGCTGTTACTGCATCTTAGGGTAGCACATCCCATAGTTTAATTATGCATTGTGCGAAGTACTTCCTTTTAGGTGTTGTAGATGAATTGTGGGAATTTTACATAGGATGACCCCAGATTCTAGTAGTATGAGCGAAGGACAAAATTCTGTCCGCTTGTTCCATCCTGCATATAAATGTGTACACTTCTGTCATTTCTACTTGTACTACTACTATGATGCTTCTATGACTTCTAACTAAATAGTCCCAGGCATAGTCTGAACTACTCTGGATTTTATCTACTGAGGTAAGCTGTAAAATCTAGCTTTGCACTATGGGATTTTCCTCCTTTCCCCTACAGTCCCCTGAAAATTTGTTCTGAAGGATTCCACCAACCATTCAGAGCAGATTTTGAAGAAATGTGGGGAGAGGCAGAATTGCATGCACATACCCTATTCTGCTGATACTTAAATGAAACAGGCAACTAAAGAGTGACCTCATCATTGAAGAAGACACAAAGTAAAAGAGGCAAGCAGAAAGATTGTGTAACTCTTCTAGTAGGATTGCATCACTTGTATTGTTTCAAAAATGGTATAGGATGAAAATCCCAAGTTATCTCTGTTGTTGTATTTCCTGCCATATTGGGGCTGACCCTGCTTTTCTGATGATTTTTTTGCTTCCTATAATAGGTTTGTGTGTATTTGCTCTTAAGACATAGGAAGCTAGTACTATCTATCCTAGTTTGATGCTTTCAAATTAACTTTGTTTTAGGAAAGTGAAGAAGATGAAGTTGGAAACTTGGAACTGGCATGGGATATGCTGGAGTTGGCAAAAGTAATATACAAAAGGTATGTTGTGAAGTTGCAACAAATAGCAACCTTTTCCATCAACTAAAGGTATTAAATTTTGCTGACTCTGCCTCCTTTACCTAGACAGGACACTAAAGAAGCTCAGCTGCACGCTGCCCAGGCTCACTTAAAACTAGGAGAAGTTAGCATCGAATCTGGTAACTACCTTTAAGTTGCTCAGACATGTAGGGGACTAATTTTGATAACGTTTATTTGTTGTGACAGCACATAATATTTCTGTATTCTATGCCAATTGGTATAAACTGTTGGCATTGTAATCACATTATCTTATCTAACATGTATGCCAGCTGGTTAGACATGACCATTAATCTAAACTGTTCCATGTAATGGACACTAGCATTCCTTGCTTTAATGTTCTATGCTTTAATTTGCAAGTCTAGGCAAGTAGAGTTGTGATTCTTCTGTGCTTTCTATTCTATTGGGATAAAATAACTTTGTTCAAAAACATAGTTCCTAGTTCAGTATCCCAAAATTCCCATCTTGCTAAACCATAGTACTGTACATATCGTCTAATTTACTTCCAGATGCTGAACTGTGGTCTAACTAGTCAGGAATTTTGGAGACAAGAAGGTCTTAAGACTAAGGTTTAATAATCTGAACTGATGTATTGTTCAGAATTTGACTTGGGAATCAATGCTAATGTAATAGTTTTTGTACACTATTGCATAAGGCAGAATTCAGTCTGAATCTCTGCTTTCAGGTGAAATCCTGTCCTGACTTTTTGGTATCTTGCACAGAAAACTACATCCAAGCTGTGGAAGAATTCCATTCCTGTTTGACTCTTCAGCAGAAGTATTTAGAGGCCCATGATCGCCTGCTTGCAGAGACTCACTATCATCTGGGTTTAGCCTATCACTACAACAATCAGTACGATGAAGCAGTACTGCAGTTTACTAAGTCAATGGAAGTCATTGATAAACGAATGGGTAAGTGAAAGTGCAATTGATCCGTCTCTTCACATAGTTAAAAATTTCTACTACTTTGTTCTGGTCTTTTCTGAGCTTTGGATTGTTAGTGTTCATTGGGTCTATGTTGGCTGTGGAATTTATTTTGATTTTCCTTAAAATCTTGAGATTAGCTAACCAGAATTTGGTGTGAGAAGCGTATGTGTAGAATTAAAAGATTTTGATCCTAGAAGTGGTTTTTCAAGTAACAGAGCTAAACTAAATGTAGTTTTTCCACAAAGTTCACTCCTTATTGCCCTAAACTTCCTCCTTTTCCCCCTGTAAAGGTGGATCACTTGTTCCTGCTGTTCTTAAAATGCTTGAGAATAAGAAATCCTTGCCAGTCTGCTACAAATCATCCAGAGAGCTACCTGTAGATCCAGATCTAGCTTCTGTCCAGACTGGTTTATTTAGTTTTTGTTGGGCTTCTAAGAATCAGTTTTCTTCCCTGAAGGGAGTGTTAAAAGCCACTCCCTCAGGAGTCAGCTAGCAAAAAAAAATCCTGTATATTTGATAGCTATTGCTGATATTTGAGAATCCACTTTGATTCAGTTGCTCAAACAATATTGATGGCTCCTAACATTTCATCTTCCTAGTGATGTTGACAGAGCGACTAAGAGTAAAAGGGGAGGGATCCACTGAGGATGAGAAGGAAATTGAAGAACTCAAAGGGTTACTCCCTGAAATTAAAGAGAAGATTGAGGATTCAAAGGAATCTCAAAAAAGTGCAAGGATGACTGAGATGGCTCTGAAAGCAACTTTGGTAGGTTATATCCTTGCTAATATGTTCTCATGAACTTGTGTTAAATGGTAACATCAAAAGGATAGTCATATCTAGGCACAGCAGAACAGTGGGGGAAGTTGGAGAATATCATTGATACTTTGTTTAGTTACTATTAGAATTGGGTAAGGCCTGAGCTCAGGGAGACCTCTGCTTTGATCTGAGATAAGTACTAGAATCTGTACTGTAGTGGCAAAGTTTGGGGCAAAGGGCCCGAAGGATTCTATTAGTGACTTTCAGACTGACAAATGGATCTCTCTTTCTAGGTTGGTGGATCATCTTCCAGTTTTTCACAGGGGACCGAAAGCAGTTTGGCTTCAACAGTAAGTGATACCAGCCCAAGAGCAGCAGTTCAGTGTTATTGTACTTAGTATTTCATACATACTCTTTGCCTTTTCTTGTAATAGATTCCAGTTGGACAAACAGCTGATGGAACGTCTCAGTGTATTACAGACATCTCCCATCTTGTTAGAAAAAAGGTATGTGTCCCAGCAAACTAACACTAATGACTGACTTTCAATGCTTAGTCCCTTCATTAAAAAGTGTAGTTTACCCTGCTACAAATTCTAGAGAACCTGCATAAGATCCTTTCCACTGGGAGCCAGTCAGTCTGGGAACCATCTAAGCTTCCTTAGTAACATTTGATGGTTTTGTGCTGTGCAGCACCCTCCTGACTGATCCTGGTTTAATTTCAGAGCTTAGCTATGTGGGTCCTGCAGGCACTTAGAACTTGGCTGTGTCAGACCTGCAAAATTGCTTACAATAGAGGTTCAGAATGCAAAGGCAATAAAGTCTGTAGAAACTGAACTTCACAGCCAAACAGCCAGGCTGAGCTGGGTTCCCTTATTTCAAGTGGAAATGGAGACTTGGTTAAAATAGCAAAGCCAACTAAAACCACATGTACAACTGCATTTGATTTCAGGGCTGGCAGTCAGCTAGAGCTTCTGATTATCAGAGTTGCATGAAGGTAGCTAGGTAACTCAAAGCTTAAATGGTCTTACAACAGTGAAGCAGGTTAACTTTCAAACAACCAAATATGACCAGTTAGAAGAATTACACACCTTGTAACCCCTGCTGCGACACAGACCATTATAAAACAGTCCTTTGGCAACTGCTATAGTCCGTAGTTAATGCACAATGATACTAGATACTCTTTATTAAGACTTACATTTGAAGTTGTACTTGGTGAAGACTAAACAATTTTGTCTTCAGAGGAAACCAGAGGAAGAAACTCAACAGGGAGACAATGAAGCTAAGAAATCTAAACCAGAACCGGCTGTCAATGGTGGTGGTGATGCTGCCCCCAGTGGAAATGAGGTTGCAGAGAAAATGGAAGAGGAGGTGGGCAGTTGAGTCAGGAGTCTGTGTATACTTTCCCTTTTCAGGCATACTTTTCCTGCCTGTCTTTAATTGCCTGCTGGTCTTCTCTCTCAAACTGATTGAAGTTAAGAATTCACCCATGTTGCATGTTGGAGTCTGTATCTCACCTAAACTGGGAGTCTAGCTGATAGACTAGACTATTTACAGACAGCAGCATAGACATCTAATAATATTTTTGAAAGAGCAATCTTAAGTACTGTTATGCAGGCCTTCTAATTCTGTGCAAGATTTGAAATTCAACAAAGACATTAAAGCAGATTATTTAAGCATAACATGGTTAAAGGCTCCTGTCAAGATGTAGCCATGTTATATTTTTAAGTGATCAATTGTGTTAAACAGTACTGAATTCTTTAGACCTGTTGCATGAATTTAACTGGCCTGGAAAGAGGAGCATATACTTATGCTAAAACTACACTTTTTTTTCTTTTCACAGACAGAGGGAAGGCCACAAGTTGAAACAGTTCAAAGTGCTGTATGATAGTTCTTTAATATTGGACATTCTCTCCCAAGGACAATGGGTTTTGTATATAATGTATTTTTTCACTTTTGGCAACTTTTGTATTCAATAAAGATTGTACTCAAATATTAACACTGCCTTTTGGTAAGATGCAGTAAAATGAATGGTTTGCGTCAGCCATTTGATCTAAAGGTATTGGATGTGTCCCATGGCTAGTTTACAGTTACAGTGTACTGGGCCTACACTGGCTGACAGTTAAATTATTTTTGAATCACTTCAGTACAGGAAGGTTCTCAAGCCTAAGTAAAGGCTTAGGTTTGGGCTTTTCAACTTGCGGCCATAGTTTGGTCTGCAGCTGCAATCAGATCTAGCCAGTCTCACCAGTGGTAAAGAGATGGTGGTGATTATATACAGTTTATACCGTGCCTCAGGTTAGGCTGAGAGTCTGTGACTGGCCCGAAGTCATCCATTGAGTTTTATGGCAGAGTGCAAACCAGAACCTAGATTTGCATCCTGGTGGTACATCATACTTGCTGTCAGACTGATGGGAGTTGTAGTCCAAAATATCTGAAGGTCATAAGTTGTCTAGACCTGGTTTAGAGAGTAAAGTAGTGGTGTATATACATGTTTTGGAAGACCTGGCATTTGAAATGTAGGTGGGTTTCTTTCCTTCCAGTTTCTGTTGGGACTGTAGCTCTCAGGTAGCACTAAAAATGATCGGTTTAGAAGGCACAGCATAGTTTAGACACAAAGGATACAAACTTTTGCCTCTGTCTTGCTCAAATGTCATTTGCTAAGAGTAGCAGCAAATCTAGGATAGGGGAATGAAAAAGCCTGTGCACAATTTTTATTTTAAGCAATATACCGTACTCTCCAATACAATTTCCAGAATGGCTTTTGAAATTTAAGCAATAAAACTGCCAGAATAAATCACACCCAACAATATCAAAAGTCTGAAAATGAAAAATACCTGGCACTACTGTGATTTTTCATTTTCAGAGTAGAATAGGAACCACTCAAGCCTCCCTCAGGGAAACATTCCACAATTGGGTACCAGTGCTGCAAAGGCCTTTTCTCACTACCCTTTATGTATTTGGATGGCAGGCAACAGTCTGAATATGCAGATATAGGTTGCACATAGCTCTGCAAATCATACTTGAGTGTCATTGCAAAAAAGTTATTAGCCAGTAGGAATATTCTGAAAGTCCTAAGTTCACTGTGCTCTCTTCCTCTTTCTGCCAAGTAAGTTCAACCTCACCTTTACAGAAAAGGTGCTGATGTTCTACAGATCTCATTTCTACAAATTAATATTGTTTGACAAGATTAATTAGAGGTGATTCCCTGTTAAGTCTTGGGTTACTCAATTCTCATGCCAAAAGCAGTTTTTTATTCTCATGCTGATAAAGGGCTTCATGTGTATGCAACAAATATTTTCAACCATTTGTCTTTGTTTACAGCTAAAAGTCCACTCCATTAATTTTTCTACAGCAGCTGTTTATAAATGAGACTAACTTTCAGTTATTCCTTTTGGGATAAGAAGCTTGTTATATTTGCACTATGCTGTTGAGAACACTTGTACAAGTGAAGAATAATGACTGAGGGAAGGTATTGCAGTAAAACCCTGCTAAGAAAACAGGCTAGAGCACCAGATACCATACATTAAAGCTAGAATTAATTTACATTACAGAATATATAATATATAAGTAGGGGGTTGTAAAAATCACTCTGGAAGGCTATACTAGATAAGTAAAGAAACAGGCTGGCAACCTACTAAAAAGGAAATCGCATGGCATCTCTTGACAATGTATTTCACTCCCATTCCCTGCAAGGTTTCTTGGTTATTGTGCTGACAGTATTCATGGGCTTATAGACCCTTTGATACGGTTGATATTGAAATAGTAATCATTATACTGCAAGTTAGGTTGTTCTTTGCAAACAATGGTAGTGCACTTTCACAATAGTTGCTAGTGGATCTTACAGTGTATGCTTGAGATGTCTTCTGGCTTTTCTTTAAAGTTGTTCCAAAGCTACCAGCCTTGTCTGAAGTAAAACAAATACACAACCAAACTTGATGTTAAAACTAGCATGCTTCATGAAAAACAGATAAAGCATTTTTGGAATTAGAATGGTAATTCAACTATATATGAAACTTCACAGCAACTAATATTTGATCTGGTCTTAATCTCTGGCTCACTAGAATTATCTGATGTACTTCTGATCCATTCCATAGATCAGGGCTAATTATGGGATTTGTCCTGAATGAACAATTTCTTGGTGCATCCAGTCAGTAAATGCTGCCTTCACAAATACAACTACAAACCAATTGTACCTGCTTTTGTAATGTTGCTGGTAGCATTAATTCTGCAATTTTTACCCCAAGGGACTCCTTGTTGTACAGATCAAGTGCTTTCTTTGGCAGATAGGATTGATCGATATCCTATAGAAAACAAGAGCATGTGATCAAGGATGTGATGGTTTAGTCACTCTAGCATATGTAGTTTTTGGTCTTGGCTTTTCTCAGTTACAACCTTATGACTCTAGGATAACATAACTACTGCAGTCATCCCATGTTGTTATGCTTTTTAGTGTTTTGACTAGGGCTGACATGGAAGATCATCTTTCCCAGCTAATGAATGGCTGTGTATGCTGTGTGGTTCCTTCAGTGAGCAGTTGCTTACTATGCTTTATGTTAATAGGAGGAATAAATAACTTTAGCTGCTCCTTCATTAGCTTCTTTTAGTATACATACCAATAATGAATATCTGAATTTCTCACTCCATCTTCCATCAGCTATACATACAATCACAGATGCACCTGATACCAACTGAATCTGGAAGAAGTACATTTTTAATCAGATTTTTTATGTGTATGATTTCTGCACTATAATAATGAAGGAGATGGAGCAGCCCATGCAGATTGCAATCACATTGTTTTGTTCCATATGCCAGAGGCTATTGGGGATTTCATATGAGTAGGGTCAGGCAATCTGGTGTCCTCCAGATGGTTTTTGGACTAAGCTTCCATAAACACTAATTATTGGTCATGTTGGTTCCAAATAGCTGGAGGGCACAAGTTGCCAAGCTCAAACTCCAGAGTGTTCCAACTGCCTCTGTTTCAAAGTCAGATGCCTGCTTCTATATGTGAGCAAACAAGTGTGGAGAACCAGAATAGGATATTGCTTTCAAAACTGATAAATGTTCCTATCTACATCCAAATGGATTTGCAAGTCTGTATGCATATTGGTTCAGGTAGATGTTCAATTTAGAGTATATTAAGAAGATGGAATCAGATCAGTGGTCTATTTTGGTTTTCTTCAATCTTTTCTGACTCAGAACTTCATTAGCCAAAGTTGTGTCTGGAAATTCCTTAATTTTTGCTGCATTTTTATACAGCAGTATTAATGTTCAGTCCACTGTACACTAAAGTCCAGTGGTCTGACAACAGTTCTCCAAACTTTGGTCCACTGATCCTTTGCTTTTAGTAGCATTTTGCATAGTTGGCTTTGGCTATCAGATGGTATAGAAATCTAATAAATGTCTAGCCAAGCCTGCTTCTTGAGCAATCAAGTTTTCTCTTGTGGATCCAATGTGGTATGCCAGTTAGAGAGTGCTGGACTGGGGACTCAGAAGGGCCAGTCACAGACAGTTCAACCCACCTCATAGGGTGGTGGTTGTGAAAATAAAATGGAACTATGTGCGCTGCCTTGGATTTCTCACAAGAGGAAAAACAGGATATAAATGTATAATAATACCATGTGCTACAGGTATAACCAAAGGCTTGTAAGGAGTACTACACACCAAGTGTTCCCTTATGAAGAGGAGTTGCATGAGTTCACATAAATGTTATTTATAAAGCTACTGTTCTATGCTTGCCCACTCACCACTTTCTTATGAAGCATGTTCTTCATAACACTGCTGCATTTTGCTTGGGTTAAGGAAGTCAGCACACTCTGTTTAGAGAAGATCATACTTTGAAGAATTAATCAAAATATTAATTGAACTTTCTAGTTCACTATTGTGTAAGGGGACTTAAGACCACTATATTCCAGTTGAAAGTGAATGCGTGGAGTCTGTGTGCAGTACTTTATGCTCCTGAAGCACTGAATAAAGCAAAATAATCTGATGTAAAGTCTGGACTAAAAATTTCCACCAGCTCCACCCAAAAAATTTCTTGACATCCTGAAACTCTGTAAAATCACTAGTGAATAAATACTAGGGGCCAATAGCTGGTGCCTCCCAAACCAAATAGGAGCAATTGAGTTACTGATTTTCCTTAATTCTTAACCCCAATATTGAAAGATCAGTTATTGTTCCACCATCAAGATGGTATGGGGAGTATATTAAAGCTTTAGAAATTGACCTATTTCTCCTACATGTTTTCAGAAAGCTGGTCAAATTGCCATTTGTACCCTTTACTACCACTGACAAGACTTTTTTTGGCAATAGATGTATATAGTTTTAATATAGTTAAAAACTTGGTCTTTTGTAAAGTACTGGATGCTATACTGAAAGCAATCCTTCCAATCTCCTGTTATTTTAAATACTGCTTTCATATTTTATGGTATTTTCTAAGTAACCACTAAAAGGTCCCTTTTGTTTGCAACTTAAAAGTGGGATTTGGGCAACTTCCAACCTAACATAAAATGCTGATATACAAGTGATGCAAGGAAGTTGTGTAAGAGGTAATATACATTTGCTAGCAAGGATATCAATGCACACCAGCTCAGTTGCCATTATTCTGATTAAAGTGTATCTTTGCAAGAAAGTAGATGCATGTGTAACACATGTTCTGTAATGTTAACATACCTCCTTAAGGGCTAGAAATAACATTTAGAATTTGCTTAAAAGTAACATTTAGAATTTGCTTAAAAGTAACATTTAGAATTTTAGGAAGTCTCAAGTTTTGAAATACAAGTTCTACAGCTTGTATTGTAATCAAGGCTATGCAAATTTCAAGACAACCCTTAGCTCAATCCTGGCTGATTATTAAGATGGATCATTACGCCCATGTATACCAACCCACCCCCTCAGATCAGCTCAGGAGGCCCTTCTGTCAGAGCCACCCCTCAGGGAGATGAGGGGTGGCAACTGGGCCTTTTCTGTTGCTGCTACCCATCTTTGGAACTCCCTAGG